TATTTACCAACTATTTTATTAATACCATGAAAAAATTAAAAAAATATATAATTAATAAAGCCAATCATATTAACTACTTGAGGGATTTGTTGACAAAGAGAGTATTCAAATCACACAACAAAAAGTGAGAACTACCTCGCAATGTCCTTGTTTGACAATCAGCAGTTAACGGATTATATTAGCGGATTTGACCTGCGAATTATATCAGCGGTTGGTAATATATTTGAAAAAATTAGCTGTATAAATTACCATATAAAATGACCTAAGGGTATACATAATAATAATAATAATAATAATAATAATAATAATAATAATAATAATAATAATAATAATAATAATAATAATAATAATAATAATAATAATAATTGTTATATATATATATATATATATATATATATATATATATAATTAAACCAATCATATTAACTACCTTTGGGATTTATTGACAAAAAGAGTATTTAAATCATTCACACAACAAATTGAAGTGGAAAACTACCTTGCAATGTCCTTGTTTGGCAATCAGCAGTTAACTATTCAATATTAGTATATATTTAATATTTTATGCATTAATTTTTATTTGCTCTCCCTTATGTCCCGTATTTGGTTTCAGCCATACCTATACAATTATAATCAATCTTGAGTATAGTATCTTGCATTTGTAAACTTAGAATTACCTATTTAAATACACAAATTCAACATTCAAGTATCTATGCATGAACAATTCCAATATAATCTTGCATTTATATACTTTAGAGTACTTATTTAAAAAAATATTGGGCATTATCCCAATCGCGCAATGCGCGTAAAAAACTAGTATATAGTATAGAAGAGAATTGTATTACACTATTTTAAAATTTTAGAATAGAATTTTTTCACAGAATTATTGTACGAACGGGAAAGTAGAAATCAATATATTTTATTGGGAAGAGGGATTTTTTAGGAATTGGGCGGGAAGTTAAAATTCTAAGATTTTGTTATTATATATAGTATAGATGTACAAAGAGAATTGTATTATTTTAAAATTTTAAAATATAATTTTTACCCAGAATTATTGTACGAATGGGAAAGTATAAATCAATATATTTTATTGGGAAATGAGATTTTTTAGGAATTGGGCCGGAAGTTAAAATTCTAGGATTTTGTTATTATATATAGTATAGATGTACAAAGGGAATTGTAATATTGTATTACACTATTTTAAAATTTTTGAATAGAATTTTTACCCAGAATTATTGTATGAATGGGAATGTAGAAATCAATATATTTAATTGGGAAGAGAGATTTTTCAAGAATTGGGCGGAAAGTTAAAATTCCAGAATTTTGTTATTATATATAGTATAGATGTACAAAGAAAATTGTATTACACTATTTTAAAATTTTAGAATAGAATTTTTACCCAGAATTATTGTACGAATGTGAAAGTAGAAATCAATATATTTTATTGAGAAGAGAGATTTTTTAGGAATTGGGCGGGAAGTTAAAATTCCTGGATTTTGTTACTATATATAGTATAGAGTATAGATGTACAAAGAGAATTGTATTACACTATTTTAAAATTTTAGAATAAAATTTTTACCCAGAATCATTGTAAGAATTGTATTTTTTAGGAATTGGGCGGGAAGTTAAAATTTCAGAATTTTTTTTGTTATATATAGTATAGATGTACAAAGGAAATTATATTACACTATTTTAAAATTTTAGAATAGAATTTTTACCCAGAATTATTGTACGAATGGGAAAGTAGAAATCAATATATTTTATTGGGAAAAGAGATTTTTTAAGAATTGGGCGGGAAGTTAAAATTATAGGATTTTGTTATTATATATAGTATAGAAGTATAGATGTACAAAGAGAATTGTATTACACTATTTTAAAATTTTAGAATAGAATTTTTACTCAAGAATTATTTTACGAATGGGATTTTACCCAGAATCATTGTACGAATGAGAAAGTCGAAATCAATATATTTTATTGGGAAGGGAGATTTTTTAGGAATTGGGCGGGAAGTTAAAATTCCAGGATTTTGTTATTATATATAGTATAGACTATAGATGTACAAAGGGAATTGTATTACACTATTTTAAAATTTTAGAATAGAATTTTTACCCAGAATTATTGTACGAATGGGAAAGTAGAAATCAATATATTTTATTAGGAAGAGAGATTTTTTAGGAATTGGACGAGAAGTTAAAATTCCAGGATTTTGTTATTATATATAGTATAGAAGTATAGATGTACAAAGAGAATTGTATTACACTATTTTAAAATTTTAGAATAGAATTTTTACTCAGAATTATTTTACGAATGGGATTTTACCCAGAATCATTGTACGAATGAGAAAGTCGAAATCAATATATTTTATTGGGAAGAGAGATTTTTTAGGAATTGGGCGGGGAGTTAAAATTCCAGGATTTTGTTATTATATACAGTATAGACTATAGATGTACAAAGGGAATTGTATTACACTATTTTAAAATTTTAGAATAGAATTTTTACCCAGAATTATTGTACGAATGGGAAAGTAGAAATCAATATATTTTATTGGGAAGAGAGATTTTTTAGGAATTGGACGAGAAGTTAAAATTCCAGGATTTTGTTATTATATATATTATAGATTATAGATTATAGATAGATTATAGATATTATAGATGTACAAAGTGAATTGTATTACACTATTTTAAAATTTTAGAATAGAATTTTTACCCAGAATCATTGTACGAATGGGAAAGTAGAAATCAATATATTTTATTGGGAAGGGAGATTTTTTAGGAATTTGGCGGGAAGTTAAAATTCCAGGATTTTTTTATTATATATAGTATAGATGTACAAAGGGAATTGTATTACACTATTTTAAAATTTTAGAATAGAATTTTTACCTAGAATTATTGTACGAATGGGAAAGTAGAAATCAATATATTTTATTAGGAAGAGAGATTTTTTAAGAATTGGGCGGGAAGTTAAAATTTCAGAATTTTATTTTTATATATAGTATATATATAGATTTTGTGTGTGTGTGTCAACTAAAATCACAAAAACTCTGAATCAATCCCAATCAAGTTGGTCAAATTATTAGTTTGTTAATCACAAAATTTTAAATTTGATATCAAGAATTTATAGTCCATTGATACCCAGTTGCTCCCATATGTGGGAGGTGAATGATGCGATTATAATATCATTTGATATATATTGTGGTCTATTAAATTTATTGGGTTAAATCAATTATGAGCCGGGAGCCACGTAAATTGTATTGGTTTTGATCTTTAGTGACTTCATATGCATAGTCATCCTTTTTTGAGATTATTTTTATATTTTTTTTAATAATACAAAGTGCATTAAATTCACATCTCCAATACTACCTTAATTTTTTTGAATCAATGAAAAACACGCAATCACCATATACTAAGTAAATGTCGCAAACTATATCAAAAAACACTAAGGGGGTGTTTGGTTAGATGTAATTTTAGTGTTATTGAATTACAATTATGTGGAAGGTCCAATTACGCTGTTTGGTTGGAGGGAATTGCAATTCCCTTCAAATGCTGAATTGCAATTCATACCTCCCCCTATGAATTGCAATTCGATGGTTTGATACTTTGATGGGAGAAGAAAATATAGTGTAAAGACCATTTTACCCTCCAATATTATTTTGTCTTATTAGCTTTACTTCCTTCTTTTTCTTGTTCCTTCTTCCCCATTCATCATTCTTTCCTTTCTTTTTTCTTTTCCCTTCCTTATTCTTTCGGCTATTCTGTTTCTTCCCCATTCTTTTTTCTTTCCTTTTTGTTTTCCTTTCGTCCTCTTCCTTATTCTTTCCCCTTTCTTTTTTCTTTCATTTCGTCATCTTCCTTATTATTTCACCTTTCTACGTATTATTATTATTATTATTATTACATAAGGGCATTTCAGTCATTGTATCACTTATTCCCTTTCAATTCCATGCCTTATTCCTGCATACCAAATACTGTAATTTGAATTCATACTTTATTCTTACCTGTATACCAAACAATGTAATTCGAATTCCTACTTTATTCACACCTTATTCTTTTCCTACCGAATTACAATTCCTTTCCACCCTAATTCCTTCCTTCCAACCAAACACCCCATAAGAAAACTCAGCTCAAATCCTTTGTTAAAAGATCAAAGTCATGACATTTAGACAATGTCGCAAAAAACGTTAGGCGCCCCCTAGGCGCCGATTTTTTTTTTTTAATTAAAAAAAATTCCAAAATTACAAATTTTCAAAATTTAGTACTAAAATATAAGGTTTCCATAGTTATTTCTTAGAAACTATTTATAAAAGTGGCTGTAAAATTGTTCAAAAGATTGTTTAAACCATCTAAATACATAAAAAAACTAAAATTAAGAGCTAAAGAAGTATTTTTTTTTGAGAAATTAGTGGACCTAGGCGGTTTGCCGTGTATAGATCTCGAAAAAATACGCGATTTGAAGAAAAAAATTGTCCAAATCGGATAACCGAGTTAAAAGTTATACCTTCCGAAAGTTTTCTGACATTTTCAAAAAAATAAAAAATAAAAAATAAAAAATCGCCGAACCGCCAAACCGACCGGTTAGGCGGCCGGCCACGGAGGAGGTCGCCGAGGCCATTCCTCGCGGCGGTCTTCTACCGCCTAGCACCTAGGCCCGATTTTTGCAACCTTGCATTTAGATATAAAGAATTATGATATAGTAATTAACTTCGGATCTTTTCAAGGATACTTACTTCAATCTTTCTTGAAAGAGTAAGTAAGTTGGTCAAAATATGAGCAGTGTCATAACTGTCACCACCTAACTGGCTAACTTGCTCCCATCTATCCAACCCAAAATTTCTGGAAACAAAACAGCACTACTGGTCAATATAATAGAAACCAGTCAAAGAAGTTGATCCAACTCCATAGATTCAAAACAACCATCTTTACCTCCAACTCTCCAAGAAAGGTCACAATCCACAGAAAGCTATAAATCACGACATCCTTAATTAACTCCCACAATCGTCCAAGGATTATTGACGACGTCGCATGCAATGGCACATCTGAAGGCTTCTGGGAGCCTGAGCGCAGTAGTGACAGCAGGTTTAGTACTAATATTCTTCTCGGGGATTTTAAGGTCGAATGGTCAAATAAACACAGCATGCACTACTACAGCACTCACCACCTTCACCCCTTGCTTCAATTACCTCACCGGAAGTAGCCGCAACGGCGCGTCGCCGACGGAGGACTGCTGCAATACACTCAAGTCGGCGATGACTGATAGCATTGACTGCGCGTGCCTCATCGTCACCGGAAACGTCCCTGTCTCCATCCCGTTTGTTCGGACCTTGGCACTTGCCCTTCCTCAGATGTGTAACGCCGGTGTGCCGGTCCAATGCAAAGGTACGATGAACATATATGATTTATTCGATCTCTAAACCTCGTGATTTTGCACTGTTGATCGATCGAGAAACTAAGATATGTCTGATCTTTTGTCGGTACATTCGATTTGATATATATTCGATCTGCACGCAGCCACCGGCGCCCCTCTACCAGCTGCAGCAGGTCCGGCAATTCTGTCGCCGCCGGCGCCTCACTCTCGTCCTCGTACTCCTTCACCCCATCCACCTGCGGCGCCTCCCCACAGTCATAGAGGTACGTACCACTGCATGCACCCTTTAATGCTGACAATAATGCCCCGGGCCCACTCAAGTCAAGGTGGACGAGTTGTTGACTCGGAGAGAACAGTTTATTAAACTTCTTGATTTGAGCGAATGAGCTATGAACTATCTAAATTGCTTCATTTCTTATGATCACTTATCAGCTATGATTACAATGTCACATTTACTTTCCTGCACACAACACAATGGGTTTATGACGGTATAACTGTGGTTCGAACCTAACTATTTTAGTTCTTGTCCTAATAATTATAATTTTGTCTACTCCTTATGATCTGATGTGACATGTTTTGATTGCTGAATATAATGGAGTTATGATTCTTATCTTTTTTTTCCTCTAATAAAAATTGAATACAAGTGAAAGTAAAAGGTAGGAGTAAGTTTTTGGAGTTGAAGTAGTATTTTTGTAATAATAATGGACATGAAAAATTTTGTATGAAGCAGCGGCGGCAGTGTCAGTTGTTAAAATGGAGAAGGCAACATTAAAAGTTGAGCCACCAACTACGCCGCCCACGGCGGCAGCCGCACCTCCATTGTTCGTCCCAAAGACAACTCCGGCAGGGATCAGACCGGTGATGGTTCCAACATCTGCTAATTCATCATCATACCTTATTTCTTCCTCCCCGTCTCTTCTTCTTTTGTTTTTGGCATTCCTAAATATGTTCCTCTATTATTAATGGATGAGTATGAATTCCGATCCGATTATTATTATTATTATTATTATTATTATTATTATTATTATTATTATTATTATTATTATTATTATTATTATTATTATTATTATTATTATTATTATTATTATTATTATTATTATTATTATTATTATTATTACAGTAAACTATATCAATTACATATATACTTCTCACCATGTCCTATTTTATGTCATATTTACTATTCATTGGATATTGGTCAACTCAACTCTTTTTTCTTTGTTTATTTTTTTTAATATTGTTTACTTATAATGATTTTCTTTTAATAATATAACTAACTTCACGAATAAGCAACATTAAATGCATTGTAATGTACTATTTTTGTGACTCGGACACATGTAATATAAATGTTTTGACTTTTTTCCAGAAAAAGGAAAAGAAAACGTACACTAAACATGGCATTTTCTTCGTCTTCGTCGTCGTCCTCTTTCTTGGCTATTGCGAGAAAAGACGACGAAAAGGAGCAAATATCGTTGTAAGGTAACAAACTAATAAAAGCAAAAAATGGTCATATCCACGTTCACGTGTAAGGGCAAGGATGGCATCACGTACCAACCAACACCGCAATTATAATTAATATAAATCTAAACAAATACTTGTCACCAAGAGTCTACATACATAGTATCCCGGTTGTTCAGACAGTTGTCTTATTAATCATACAACATTTTAAATTTGATATTTTGTGAAAGTTGTTTATTGATTTTTTTAATTTGAGTCTGTCATCAGTTATGAACAACCTAAGTTTGTTTATCATGAAGTGTTGTATTGACTTCTTGATTTGAATATCGTCAACTTATTATAAGTAACATAGGTTCAGCTAGTTCATTTTATTATGGTTATAAGACATACTTCACCCATAGTGTATGCATATGCTACATTTTATCCCGTAAATAAAAAAGACGAACAGTATATCTGGCATAGTAGGTGCATTTAAGGAGTGGTTAAGTTAATAAAACATGAATATCGTACTAAGTCATGAGTTTGATTATTGTCAATATTTTTTTGATCGAACTCGTTATAATACTTTAATTGCACTCTACAACATAGTAGCCGTACCAGGCAAATTATATATCAAATACGTCATATATATATCATATGAAATAAAAGTTCATATTGTTATAAACTTATAATCACACATACAAGCATATATATGGTAAATAATTCTTTATAAAATATTAAAGTACGTTTTTCCATACTATGAAAAAAAGTGTGTAACATAATGTACGATATTATTAAAGAGTATAAATATAAATATAAATATAGTTAAGAGATGACAATGGTAGGAAACTACATACAAAAAAGTTAACATGCCAAGTTGGGAAAAAAAATTAAGAATAAGTAAAGAGTAATGGTCTGATACAAATAAATAAATAAAATATTACATAATATTGTAGTCTATTGCATGACCTTATTGATTTTTTACCGGGTAATGTAATAAGGCAAAATGTATACACTACACACAATTGAATAGTGGATGCGAATTCTCATTGTTAGAAAAATAAAAAATAAAAATTATTACATAATATTTATGTGTTTAATTTTGAGCTAAATTTAAATTATAATTTCTCTTGAGTTATAAGTATGTCTCGGTTTAAATTGAATTAGTCTCACGGTGATATATCAAATTATGTCCTATGCATGCTCATATACATTAACAAATTATAAAATGAATTTTATAGAGATCAATTGCTAAAGTTAGATGGTGATATTTTTGTATTGCTTTTTTCTTTTTAAGACTTATGATTTCTTACAAGATAGTATTTGTTCTAAATATACTTTCGCAATAAGATTTAATCTTGTGACTACCGATTTGTATTGTTGTTATTATTGTAACTAGTTTTTTTACGCGCTTTGCGCGAATGGGATAATGCCCAATGATTATTTTAAGTATATTAACGCAATATTATATCGGAGATGTTCATGCATATGTAAATAAATATTGAATTTGTTTATTTAAATCGGTAATTCAAAATATATAAATGCAAGATAATATTGAATTTTCTAATCGATATTTGGTAGTGGTAGTTTTCCCCTACATGTTTCATGCATTGTGAGATTTGTGTCGTAGGTTATCATGTGAAAATATTGAACAACATATTAATATTTATTATATTTGTATAAAATACTTGGTAAATAAATATATATAATGCATTTTGTATTATAACTTTGATATTTAATTACAAGATAATGTAAAAAGAAGACAATGGACAATGCAGTGAATATAATAAAATTAATAAATTTGAAGGTAATGAATCTTTGAATTGTAAAAAATAAAGATAATATAACTAATGAAATTATATCTATTTTTAAATTTTTTATAATGAATAATTTTTTTTTAAATAAAGGCATTATATATAGACATCTAATTCTAAATTAATTAAATGCATATGTATTTTTTTTTTGTATCTAATACTTTATTTATAGTTTAATAAGAGTAATAAAGTGGCGTACATATTTTTCATCAACAACAACACAATCATTGATTTTTTTTTTTTAATTTACATTCGTTGTTGAGACAAATTGTTTTGAGAGTGTGTCAATGACAATTGTTACAATTCCTGTCAATATAGGATATAATAAATAATTCAAAATATATAGTTACAATAGATATTGTTATAATAATATAGTAAAAATTAACTTACAATTTTTTTTTTTATAAATTTTCATGCATTGATAAAATTCTGATGTCTAAACTTGTTCAATTAGAGCCAGCGGGATGTCAACATTGTCATTCGTTAGAAAATTATCCTACCGTTTTAGAGTCCAGCTGTAATTGTATTTATGATCAACAATTTTGTAGTTAGGTCGCGCAGGCCTGACAATGATGTAAGAACAATTTTGTCTGATAAAAAAATAATAGTATAATATTTGTAAAGTAATGTACAATAATTGTACCATTATAAAAATACATACAAAAAATATTAATACCATAACAACCTAAATCATACTAATAATGCAAAAGTATAATTGAAATATTAAATTTTTTTATGATCTAAATAATCAAAAGAAGATTAATTAAACAAAAAGAAAAAAAGAAAAAAAACTCAACCTAAATATGTTTTTTTTTTTAAATGCATAAAAATCAAATGATTTTTAAAGTTCTTGATTTATAATCTTTGATGTTTAACTTTGAATGTTATATATTTACTGAAACTAATTATTTGAACAAAGTTTATGTTAAATTTTATATTATATATATTTTAAATATATTTTAACATATTCGTAGTATATGTTTAACAATTATGCCAACTCTAATTGGGATGTGGTTCAAAACTAAGACTTTTCTTATATAAATTAATGTGCAAGTTAAAATAATAAATAGTTAACGGAATATTCCGTTACTAAAGTTTATGGTAACGGAATTTAGGTTATTTAAGGGGAGAAAATAATATAATAGAGGGTAAATAAGGAAAATCAATAAAAAATACTAAAATAAAAATAATATGAACCATTCATTTTAAGAAACAATAGGACCGACATTTTTTTGTTTCAATTAAGGGCCTAACATTATTCGCTCTTATTAGAATTGTATATGTATGTAGATTGTAGATAGATGTAGAAATAGATAGATGTAGATGTAGATAGATAGATGTAGATGTAGATAGATGTAGATAGATAGATTGTAGATAGATAGATAGAAGATGTAGAAGATAATAAAAATAAAGATTTATATAATTCTAAAAAGTAAAAAATAAATAGTTATTACTATAAATAAATGTTTATATTTATGTAAATAGAACAATAAATTTGTATTTTATATTTTAAAAATGTTAACCTACTCTTGTGTAATAAGTCCTTAGAAAAAACCCTTTGAATTGATTTGATACAGAATGTATTGGTAATAATCAAATTCAACCACCTAGGAGAGATAAATTATGTCTGATTGAGGAGGTATTGACATATGTCCTATTTGGTAAAGTAGTTAGCATATAAGTCAATTTCGACTTATTTGATCACTATTAATTATTTAATTTGGTTAAAAATCAATATAAGTATTTGATTAATTAGTTTTTTTGTAACTCCAAAATACTAAAATTCAAAAAGCTACTCAAATCAATTTTTTCAATTAACTTTTTGGACTAGAAATTATACCAAATAGCTATCAGCTAACAACTAATTTAGCAAACAACTCTCTACAATCAGCTAATGTCATCAACTAGTTATACCCTATAATTAACCCAATCAGCTAACAGCTAACAACCATTTACCAAACAGGGCCATAGCTAACAACCATTTACCAAACAGGGCCATAAGTGAACTAGTTATATTCATGTACAAGAGTCGTGCTTCAACAATTTGACTACCATTTTGCGATAAGTTGTACTACATGTACTCTCAAATCTTATTTCCTTGATGTGACCGGCGCTAATATGTTATTTTTCTTTATGTTGACCCCTGTAAAAATGTCAACATCAAATATATGTGAAAATGTCAACATCAAAACTTTAAGAGTACATATAGTATTTTCCTGTGTTTTTTAAAAAGTTAAAGAATGACTAAAAAAGGGTATAAGGTAAAGTAAAAGGAAACTGAATGTGCTTTTTGGTCAATATTGTGGCCTATAAATACTTACATTACATGTAATAGATTCACCGCACTTTTCTACCTTGTGTCTCATCACTCACCTGCTCTCTTCCTGCTATAAGCTGCGTTTGTCCTCCGCTCTATAGCGATTCTTCCGTGTACGGTTCCATTGTCCCGTCCACCGAAAACTCTGCGCCTCCTTTTTCCCCCCTCTTCTCCACCGCCAAAATGCCATTCAAGCGATCTCGAGTCGACAGCTCCGGCAAGTTTAACGTGCCGGAATCCTCCACCAACTCTTCCTCTCATAGGACGGTTTCTTCTCCCTCTGCCGCCCCGCCGCCGCCGCCCAACAGCTTTCCGAGGCAATCGGCGGCGGAAAAGCCCACGGCTCTTGCTCCTCCGGCGGCTCGCCCCAGCGGGAGCAGTCACGTGAGGCTTGGAGAGTTCCTCGAAGAGTGTTTCTTCTGCCGGAGGAATATTGCCAGAGATTGCAACATCTTCATGTATCGGTCGGTATATTTATTCGATTTCGCCTATGTTTTCGCCGACCTTTTTCCTTTTCAGAACTTTGCCACTTCAGTAACTTCAAAGAAAACCCTTCAAAATTTTAACTAATAATAATAAATTTAGAGGCCCATATTGTATGAAAGACTCAAAATTGAGTCCCTCAATTCTAGTCCTATGTGTACGAGCAATTCAGTTGGTTACAATGGTGATATTTTAGAATAATGGTTCGAGATTGAGTTTCATAGTGTGGGAACAACTACTCAAAGTGAGGGGTTCGCAGTAAACAAAGATCTAGTCTCTTTGTTCAACTGAATTATCATACCATGATGTATATTGCATGTTCCTAGATGTTTTGTTGGACTGGGGCGTAAGATCCTTTGAATTGAGGATTCAATCTTTTAGGAATAATTAGACCTAATTTGATGAGTTCCTTGCAAGTGGTTATGTTACTTAATATGTTGTTAAGTCCGGACACAGAATTTGTGCACAAGAAATTTAATACCTTAATTGAATGGTATTATTAGGGTAATACGAAATTGAAGTATATTAAATCTGAAATTAATTGTATAAAAAACATGAAATTTTATCACACAAACATCATAGAATTTCTCTGTAATTTATGCAAATTTGTTGAATGCACGCATGCAGATCATATGCATTTTGCCGTGAGGAATGCCGGGACCGGCAGATTTCAATTGACGACAAAAAGGGGAGCACGCAAGATCAGGGAAAACCGGATCAGACGGTGCCGTTAGCGAGGCCGCCAGGCATGAACAAAGCGGAGGGGGGTCATGCCAACGCCCTCTGACCGCTCAGAGGGGTCATGTCTGGCCGGAACGACCGCACAGGGCCCAATATAATATATTATTTTTTTATACTTTGATAATTTTTTTTGAAGTCATAGATGGGTCTTAATTGTAATTAACAATAAAATTTCAGAAGAAACTGACATCGAAATTTGAGTGAATATTTTTCTATTTTAATATGAACGAAAAAATATCACTTTTAAATTAACTTTAGAATTGTATTCTTTCTCTGTTAAATTTTTATGCATTATATTTAGACAAAAAAAATTTAATTACATATTTAGTTTTGTTAAAGAATACAATAACTTGAAGTCTAAATGAATTTGAACTCAATTACCTTAGTTATAGAGATTGTCTAGATCCTCAAGACTTCCATCTTCATCGAGATCTTTTGAGATTATATTTTTTACCATTATAAATAAAAATCTTTGTTACTATAACGAAATTTAAATATTTAAAAAATCTCTCTCCCTATGTTCTTATCTTTTTATTATTATACTTTTGTTTTGTAGTTTACTCTATTATATTTAGATTGATCTCGAAACAAAAATAATGAAAGTCCAAATTATATTATTTTACGTAGGCAAATTAAAGTGAATACATGGCTGGCTATATATATAGTTGCGTTACGTTTCTGCATGGTTATACTGTAGGTAGTAGTTTTTTCTGCCAATTTACCTCTTCTTGTGCAGTATATAAGAGTTTTAGTTACTGCTGATAGGTTATCTTCTTATTGCGGGCCCTATAAAAGTATCTATAAAATTTTAAGTCTGAAAATAAAAGTTAAAAGTAGAGTATAATAATACATATAATATTTTTCTAGTATATAATTTAGGAATATACTCGTTATATATATATATATATATATATATATATATATATATATATATATTATATAGTATTTTAATTTTATTACTAGATTTACTAGAAAGCTTGCAATGGTATCATCTATTTCAATGTTATTTGGCCAGCACAAATGGTTTTGTACACAGATGACTATTTTGGACCAATTATATATATTTTGGGTATAGAATGTATGAACAAATGTTTCTATCAGCATCATAGGATGCTGTACGTAACTACTATGAACCAGACAAAGTTACGTACGTGATTGTGTAGTTATATACACTGAATACCGTCACTAATTACAACATGCACTACACGGTGTCTTAATGATATGCTTTCACATTAATTCCCCAAGAAATTGTAAGTATTCCGTATCTCATTAAGATCATATTGACTTCACGAAATATCCTTATATTTACTGAATAACACTTGTGTAAGACCGTCTCACGGGTCGCAATCTGTGATACGAATCGAATCTTTGATTAATGGGTCAGATTTGTGACCTCATTCATCAAATATCCAAACCGTCTCACACAAGTTTTTGCACTAGCGCCAGTATAATGAAGAATGAATGCCTAAATTGGATGGTTATGTATTGTTAATAAGTAGGGGTGTCAATAGGTTGGTCCATAAGCCTGCTTTAAAATGAGATAATTGAATTTTAATTTTGTACGATGACCCTTTGTTATTCAATTCATGTTACATGTGTTTTTTTTTTTTTTTTTTTTTTTTTTTTTAACTGTAAAGCATGTATGTGTTTATTGTGTTATACATTTCGGTGTATCATGTTATCCAATTATGTACCTTAAGCGTACGGATTTCGTACTTGAAATAAAGCAAATATAACGTGTGTTTTTTAGTCTTGTCTCTTATGCTATGTGTTTTTGTGTATTGTGTTATGCATTTCTGTGTCTTATGTTATGCAATTTTGTAACTTAAGATTATTGATCTTGTATCTGGACTAAAGTAAATATATATAAAACATGTGTACGCGTCTTGTGTTATGCGTTTATGTGTTTCATGTTATGCAATTCTGTACCTTAAACGTATGTATTTTGTACTCGAAATATATTATTAGTTGTGTAATACATAACATATTGTGTCTTATTTTCGAATTTATGTCTTGTATTATGAAATTATGTGCATATTGGACATATATTAATATATTATATACATAAATTAGAGTTGAGATTAAGTAAATATATAACATGTGCATGTGTATTGTGTTGTGAATTTTTGTGTATAGTCTAGTGTTATGAAATTTTGTACCTTAACAATATTGATTATGTAATTCTGTAATTTTAATAAATTAAAATTTGTGTTGAAACATGAGAAACGGGAAACTACATAGTCTGTTAAAGCTTAAATATCAAAACAGTATCGTTTTAATTCAAGATTCACAATGCTACGTGATCCACGATATAAATTGCCAAAATGGGAGCTATGATTCACATTAGGAATAAGGTTCAAATTGACCACTGAACGTAACCTGAAAATTCAATTAGGCCACTGGACAAAAAAAAGTGCAATCAGGCCACTGAACACTCGAAATGTAAGCAATTTCACCTAATAGCAGGTTACCATCAATTTTAGCAAGTTACCTGCTTACGTGGCAACTGAGTTGACATTTTTAATAATTTTAAATAACTTAATAATAATTTAAAAAAAAAAATTAAAAAATAAAACGATGCGGCCACCCCGTCGTTTAATTAATTAATTAATTTATTTTTTCAATTTATTTAATAAATTTTTAAAATTTATTATTAAAAATTATTAAAATGCCAACTCAGTTGCCACGTTTAGCAGGTAAAATTGATGGTAACCTGCTATCCGGTGAAATTGCATACATTTGGAGTGTTCAGTGACCTAATTGCACGTTTTTTGAGTGTTCAATGGCCTAATTGCATTTTTCTTTTTGTTCAGTGGCCTAATTACATTTTCAAGTTACGTTCATTGGCCAATTTGAACCTTATTTCTTCACATTATAATGAAAAATGAATGCCTAAATTGGGTGGTTCTGTATTGTTAATAAGTAGGGGTGTCAACGACCTAGCCCGGGAAACTCACCTTAAAATGTGGGTTATGATCCACAGTATAATGATTCACGCTTCTTCTATTGGGCCGGGTCTTACTGGATATCGAAACAGGCCTAGTGGGTATCGGATAATGATCTTGACCAATATTTGGGTTTGGGCTTCTTTTGATGTTTGGCATCATGAACATAAATAGGAGCACAACATGATAAAGGCAAATTATATTATGCACCGCGGTTATGCACCGCGCATCTTTTTTTTTAAATGAAAATTAACAGTGTTTGTTTTCGCCGTTTCGCACCCTTTTGCAAAATGTAACTCTGTTATTCAGTGTCATTTTGTATACACTGCAGTTTCAGTTGAACACAACTACAGTTTCATTTCGATATAACTATAGTTTCATTCGATATTTATAGACTCAAATATGTGAAAATGTTATTTAATTTTATTTTATATACACTATAATTTCATTAAAACACAACTACATGATCATTTTGATATAATTACAGCTTCATTGTACAATATACACTCAAATATGTGAAATGTTATTCAGTTTCAGTTTATATACACTGCAGTTTCATTTCACTATAACTACAGTATCATTTTGATATAACTGTAGTGTCGGTTTGGATATACTATAGTGTCAGTTAGTGTTTAATACACCAAATAAGCGGACTCCGTTAACTCTAACGGCGGACCGTTTCTTTACTTAAAGAAACGACGTCGTTTTTTACCGCGGTGCACATGCACCGCGGTCTATAATATAACGACTCCATGATAAAGTGCTAAACCCTATCCAAAATTGGGTTGATTTGACCCAAAATTATATGTCTGACATTTTTCTTTAAAAAATTAAATTTTGCAGGTATGATTCAAAAGTTTAGATCGAATCTAGATTAGTCTTTGATAGTTAATTTTTATTTAACTACCAAATTAAATAATATTTTTTTTTTAAAAAAAAAAAATCCTATTCCAACAATAGAGGGTTCGGTCTGACATGTCTATTCGAACCGAACTGTAATCATATCTAATCATGGAGTATGAATGAGATGTTGCGTATCTCTTCTAATTTAACCAGATTTTTTAAGTTTGAGCCTGACAAGCTTAGTATGGCATATTTTTGACTAGATTATTATTGTGTTAATAATAATAATAATACTAATAAGTCATAAGCAATTTATGGATGCTAACTCCCACATATTTTTTTTTAGAATATAAGTTTGTATAGTTGTGGTGAAAGTGGGCATCTCAAGTTCACATCAACGTCTTTATTGTCCTAGCCTTAACCAAACAGCATCATACGTGCAACTACTGCCTTTTCTTCAAGGGGAAATTTTAATTAATTTGTACAAATGCAATGTATTATGGAGTACACGACACCAATATCTAACTCTGGGTAATTTAGGATATGTTTTTATCCGAATTTTAAATTTCGAATTACTTGTCAATTTAAAAGATATAATGAGTATCAAAGTTATATCTCTCATTTATGTCCATGATTTTAATGCTAATCATTTTGTACATTATGCTTTTAGAATTGTACTATATAAATTGTTGGACAAAAATACCCATACCGTTATAACTTCCGTTATCTTTTCCATTATTGTTACTATGCACATGCATTCACCATATATTTTCTTATATTCTTTAATAATATTATTATTTGTAAACATTATATATTAGATTATTATAATAAATAAATTTGATTTCATATAAATTTTAATTAGTAGGGATTTGTTAGTTATTTTTAAAAATATAAATATTGGACATATGTTTTTACGCATCACACATAGAAAAAATTAGTTTAAAAGATATGTATCTTTTTTTATGAAATTAATTAAAACGGGATTTGTATATTTAATTCAAAATAAATTTTAAAAAATGAACAAAATAATCTAATAATGAAAAGCCGACGAACCTCTTTGAATTAAATTAATAATAATCGTACACATTTAATACTTACACCTAACATCAATATAAATGACAATTTACCCATCCATAGTTTAATCTCTCACAGAAGTACTCAATTTTATATTTGTATGTATATATCTATTTCACTTGTCATCACATCTCACTACACACATTTTTCACTGCATTTGGAAAGCACATTTCACTTTTTTTTTTCTTTTTTTTTTTCTTTTGTAATACGCCGTATCAATATTTTGCACGTTCTGTATTGAGTCACCGTGATTTACATCCTCCCACATGTTCTGTCGGGTCGGAGTGTGGGGACCCTTACGGTTGGGGATTAAGCTTTTTCGGGTAAGAAAGTATGTATTGAATAAACTATGTTTCGCAAATTACATTAAGAAAACAATGTGCGACGAACTCGACTGAAAAAAGTACGTAATCGGAGATTCATATTTCACCCGATCCCTTGCTCGATCACCCATTTTGATGCCCGATATGATTATAGTTTTTCATTTTATATATTCCCGTTCCAATAAGTACCAACTTTTGCCACGTTTTTAATTTTGAACTACATTATATATTTCTATATGATTAATGAAAAAAGCGACTAGTTTAATAGCCACCAACGTAGATACATTAAACAAACGTACAAATTAAACAAAATATAACAATATCACATGGCTATTCATCGTCCAAAGCCGTAGCTCCATAATATTTCTTAAATGAAACAACCATATCTCTTTATTATAAAAAGATATCTTCTCCGTTCCAAAAGGTTGAATCCTTGACCTCAAGAGTTACCCACATATCGACCCGAAAAAACATTTAGGGGGATGTAAATCACGATGATTCAATGATTTAGCGGGTGAGACTCTCAAATACTCACTATTGAACTATTGAATTAAGCTCGTGCATGTAAGTGTCAATAGTAGGAATAGTGGAGATTGGAGGATTGCGAAATTATTATCGGCTAATCATGCATGCATGTTATTTTATATATTCAGGGTTAATTATATATTATCGGCTAAACTCTATACTTGATAATAATTGCATTGCCTTAATTAATATTACACGAAATATATTGGATAATAATTACTGATTGTAATTTATATTTATTTTTTCTTTAATGTCATTAAATAAAAAGCAAATGCATGCTTTTATGTAGTGAAATTATTGGAGGAAACAGAATAATTATAGACGCACATGGCTTGATTACATTCTTGGATAATTGACAAGTAACTTGATAATCATCACAGCTAAAGTACTGAGTGCACAAACTAGTAAACGAAAGGCAAATTATGGATGGGAACTTTTAACTTTTACCAATTACCATAGTGTAAATATGTAATCTTTACTCATTGAATGTAAATAAGATGACGTAAATTAGGAATAGTAATTTGCTCCGTCTTTGATGGGGATCTTCAATCCCTGTCCCATCAGGGACGGGAATACCCCTTGATGTAATTAGAATGTAATTGGAGTTTTTGTTTTTTGTTTTTTTTTTTTTGTTTTTTTGTTTGTTTGTTTGTTTTTTTTTTGTTTTTGTTTTTTTTTTTTATTAAATGCAATTCAATATGAAAGAAAGCTACATTGTTTGGTTAGCTCATTGAATTTGAATTCATACCCCTACCCATGAATTATAATTCAATGGGAGAATGAAAAGGGAAAAATGAAAATTTAACATATTTGTCATCAATTATTATTATTATTATTATTATTATTATTATTATTATTATTATTATTATTATTATTATTACACCACAAGGGCATTTTAGTCTTTATATTATTTTTTTCCTTTCCGTTCTTAATAATATAATTATATTCTTCTATACCAAACAATGTAATTTGAATTTCTACTTTATCCTCACCTTAATTTTTTTTTCCAAGGAATTACAATTCTTTTTCTTACTAATTCCTCCCCCCCCCCCCCCCCCCCCCCCCCCCCCAAAAAAAAAAAAAAAAAAAAAACAAATGCCATGTAAAGTTGTGGAATTGGAATTCCATAATAAATTACGATTTTTCTATTTTTATTACTATTATAATACAATGACATTTTAGTATTTATACACTACTTTTCTCTTTCAATCGTAACAATTATACTTATGCTTACTAAAAAAATGAAATTTGAATTCCACATTATTAATATTTCACGAAATTACATTTTTTTTTTGAAAACACGAAATTACACTTTCTTTCTCCTAATTCTATTATTCCAACCAAACGTCCTATAAAATTCATGTGGGAGTGCTTTGAGTATAGTTTGACATATAAGATAACAATTTGGTTATGATTTTAAACTAGCAAGCAACTCATGGGTTTGTATATAGTTTGAAGTTTGAACTAGAGTTGAAACTTGAACCTTATGAAAAAGTGTCAGTTCCAATTTCGCGAACATATAATTAAAATTTGCAATATGCATTGGATAAATTCGGTTTCACAAAAAAAAAAAAGAAGATAAATTTATATTGTGAAGGCCTTATCGGTGTACTTGATCAAGAGTGTTGTAATAATAAAAAAGTTGCGACTTGCTAAACTCATCATATCCAACCACTCCTTTATGAACAAGTTTTGTCACTTTTGTGCATACATGGTATGTGTGCATATACATAATACGGCATCCAAGGCGAAGAGAATAATCCAAATGGGCACTTATTATGAGAGTTATAGGAAAAAAAAAAAAAAGAAGAAAGAAATTGATGCATGACACACGTGGGCCCTATGTAATTGAGAATTTTGTGTCGTGTGACGAATAAAGACCACTCCGAGTGGCTCCGACCCACCGGCCAAGCCGCCCCCCACAACCTGGTAAGTACATTCACCTTACCTCGGCGCTGTCTTCCATCCTTTTTATGCATCAACTGAATTTACACATTTACCCCCACCCCCTCACCTACCTCTCTTATTATGAGACTTAATTAGCTACGGATATTATTTATTTTATTCGTTAGGTGTATTATTCAAATTGAAAGTAATTTTGCTAATTTTTATTCATTTTAAGACAATGACCAACAACTAAGCCGACCACATGCGTGGCCACAAATCAAATCCTAATATTATATTTGCGGTTTCCGGTGAATTAATTAATAATTAAACAAACGCTAATAACGTGCTTTGACTATAATTAGTAAATTACATTTCGTGATCCTAAATGATTTACTTATGTACTAAGCATAACTATTCTCGAGGCTGGTCAAAAGTCAAAACACCCTCAAGCACAATGAAGAACAACATCTTCGAAGTGAGGAATCCGGTCAAGGGACAACATCGTAATTTGTGAGAGTATTGAGTGTTAGGTGATTCATGTAAAACCTTCTTATTTAGCAATGATGGCAGCCAATAATAATTTCGAGGAAATTTATTTATTTATTAAAAAAAAAAAAAGAGAAGAGAAAGAGAAAAGACAGAACACAGGAAATATTGGATACACACGTTAAAAAGTTTGATTATTTTGTCTTTTACTGGGATTGCCCCTCTTCTCATAACGTTATTTCCACTTTGACACTTGCTCCAAAGCTGACACACTAAGCGAAAGCCAGCCTAACTGCAGCCAAAAAGCCATCAACGCAAGCAAAATTCCAGAGAGAGAGAGAGAGAAATGGGGTGATCGAAACGGAAGCGTTTTCTTGGCGGCCATTGAAGTCACGCGATCCAGTTTTTGGTTTTCTGGTCAGTTTCTGATTCCCAAGATTTCATCTTTCAGTTTCAGCATGCAAAATTAATGACCTGTTTGGTTCAATATATGTAAATTTTGCTTCTGTTATCTTCTGATTGGGCTGTGATCATGGCGCTGAAAATCATGGCTGATCAGCTTATTGATGACTGAGATTCCCAGATTTCGTTGTCAAGTGGGTGTGAGGAAAAATTGTAACTTTTCTGGGTGATCATGGGATTGTTAGAACTTAGAAACAAAGTGTAAAAGTATGATTTTATTGATGTTTAGCTGGTAAAGTTTTTTGATTTCCTGCAATTATGACAGATCTGATCTGGGGTTTTGATCTTCAACTTGTTTTGCAGTGTTCTGCAAGGTAATTTTTATCCAAAAACCTTCAGAAGGCAGCTTTTACTCTATCTATTTTGTTGGACTTGGATAATTGCTGTTCAAATTTTAGGTATTTTGCTTACCTTTTTTTTTTTTTACCATATGTGATCTTAACTGTATGATGGTGATTAGTCCACTTCATCTCATTTGAATCATTGCTGTTTGTTGGTTGGTTAGGTGTAAGGGTGTAGAGATCAGAGGTTTTATCAACTGTAACTGTCAAATTGGGTGATCAAAAGTTCTGGTTTAACTACAATAACCTTGGGGGTGGTTTTGGCATATTCCCTGAGTTTCAAAGTTGAGGAATGGCGAAATTGTCGCACGCAGACTCTAGGCGAATGTACTCTTGGTGGTGGGATAGCCACATTAGCCCCAAGAACTCGAAATGGCTTCAGGAGAATCTCACAGGTATTCTTCCTTGAATCCTCTTGATCTGAAATGTGTAGCTTTTATAGGTTTATTGCCCGTTTTGTCTTGCTGTTATCTAGTGTACAAGGTTTCTTTAATTTGTTGTCTTCTTGTTCTTTGTGAGTTCTGCTTGATTTGTTAGTCGGTTTGTGCTAAGGTTGTTTGAAAGAAGCATTAAGGAGAAAGGAAGATGTGTTTGTTGCATTTTACTGAATGAGTTTGATTCCGTTTTCCCTTTGTTAGATATGGATGCTAAAGTGAAATCGATGATCAAACTCATTGAAGAAGATGCTGATTCTTTTGCGAGAAGGGCGGAAATGTACTACAAGAAGCGTCCCGAGCTCATGAAAATGGTGGAGGAGTTCTATAGGGCGTACCGTGCTTTGGCTGAAAGGTATGACCATGCGACGGGGGTGATCAGACATGCTCATAGAACTATGTCCGAAGCTTTTCCGAACCAAGTTCCTATGGGTTTTGCCGATGATTCGCCCACGAGTGCTGATTCCTATACGCCTAAGTCAACCCCGGTGCGCTCCCTCTTTGAATCTGATGAAATGCCGAAGGATTTTAGCTCTGATGCCAAGAGAAACGGAGGAGCATTCACGGAGGATTCGAGTTCTGTAACGAAAGTGCGGGGGTTGAAACAGTTTAACGATCTCTTCGGGTCCGGGGGCAATGCGAAATTTGCAGATGGGAAGGTGAGGAAGGGCCTGAATTTTCACGAGTCGGGCGACGAGTCCAACAGTTTTGAAGCTCAATCGCGGCCCGATTTGGATGAGGCGGTTGAATCCGAGGAAGCTCTAAGGAAGGCGCTTGCCCGAGTGGAAGCTGAGAAGGAAGCAGGTCGTTTGCAGTACCAACAGGCGTTAGAGAAGTTGTCGGAGCTGAACTCACAAATCTCTCGTGCACAAGAAGATTCTCGGGGACTTGGCGAGCGGGCAAGCAAAGCCGAAGCCGAAGTTCAAACTTTAAAGGAAGCTCTCTCTAAATCGGAAACCGAAAAGGAAGCTAACCTTCATGAATACAGGCAATGCTTGGAGAAGATTTCTGAAATGGAGAACACCCTCTCTTGTAACACGGTGGAGCTTAGTCAAAGAGCTACTAAAGCCGAACTCGAAGCCCAATCCGTGAAAGACGATCTCGCAAAGATAGCTACCGAGAAAGACAAAGCTCTTGATCAGTACATGCGGTCTCTGGAGACGATAGCTAAGCTCGAGAATAAATTACAATGTGCAGAGGAAGATGCCCGGAAACTAAACGAAAGAGTCGAAAGAGCTGAAAACGAGGTCGAGTCTTTGAAACAAGCCGTTTCCGAATTGATTCGGGAGAAGGAAGCGGCAGCTCTCCAGTACCAGAAATGTTTGGAGACCATCGCCGCTCTCGAGGCTAAGCTGTCTTCTGTTGAGGACGAAACGCAACGACTCAACTCGGAGATTAACAACGGAGTTGCCAAGTTGAAAGACGCAGAAGAGCAGTGTCTTCTATTAGAACGCACAAATCTTTCTCTTCAATCCAAGGTCGAAGCTTTAACCCAGAAGATGGGCAACCAAACTCACGAGCTTACAGAGAAGCAGAAGGAGCTCGGGAGACTATGGACGTGCATACAGGAAGAGCGATTACGCTTCGTGGAAGCCGAAACCGCCTTCCAAACTTTGCAACATTTGCACGCCCAAGTTCAAGAAGAACTAAGATCTCTCACCGCGGAACTGCAAAACCGGGTCCAACTCTTTCGGGAGCTAGAAACCAATAATCAAACACTCCAAGACGAAATCATGAAGGTCAAAGAAGAGAACAAGAGCCTCGAGGAACTGAACGTATCCTCGTCCATGACGATAAGAAATATGCAAGACGAGATCTCGAGCTTGAGCGAAACGAAAGGGAAACTCGAGCAGGAGGTTGAGCTCCGAGTGGACCAAAGAAACGCTCTTCAGCAAGAAATATACTGTCTGAAAGAGGAACTAAACGATTTGAACAAGAAACATCAGTCCATTTTGGAGCAAGTGCATGCAATAGGCTTCGATCCCGAGTGCCTCGAGTCATCCGTGAAGGAGTTGCGGGACGAGAATACCAACTTGAAAGGCACGTGCCAGAAAGAAAGAAGCCAGAAGGAAGTTCTTCTGGAGAAGCTCAAGTTATTCGACCAGCTTGTCGAGAAAAATTCTGTCCTGGAGAATTCCCTATCGGATTTGAGTGCTGAATTAGAAGCAATTAGAGGGAAAATAAAGACTCTGGAGAACTTATGCCAGTCTCTCATAGCCGAGAATTCAACTCTACTCAGCGAGAAAGAAACTCTCACCACCGAACTCCATGTAACAAACGAGAACTTGGGAAAGCTCTCAGCAAAGAACACCGTTCTCGAGAATTCCCTTTCTGATGCACACGACGAACTCCAAAGCCTGAAGGAAAAATCGAAAGGCTTAGAAGATTCATGCCAGATATTAATGAACGAGAAGGCGGATCTTCTTGGTGAGCAGGGAAGGTTGATTGATCAGTTGCAAATCGCACTTCCGAGACTGGAAAACATGGAGAAAATGCATGCAGATATCGAACAGAGATACTCGGTTCTCGAGAAAGAAAAGCAAGCTGCTCTAGGCAAAATAGAAGAGCTACAGATATCTTTAGATGTGGAAAAGAACGAGCATACAAGTTCCATTCAGACGAGTAATAAACAGTTGTCTGCTATGGAATCCGAGATGCACCTTTTACGAGAAGACTTACAATGCAGAACTCGAGAATACTCCGAGGAGCTCGATAAAGCTTTGGACGCTCAAATTCAGATCTTCATCTTGCAGAAAAGTGCACGAGATCTTCAAGGAAAGAGTTCCTCTCTGCTGACCGAATATCACAAGCTTCTAGAAGCATCTGCATTGTCAGAGAAACGGATTCTAGACTTAGAGCAAAGGAATCTCGAACAGAAAACCGAGGCAAAATCTTTGTCCGATCAGGCTAGTACTCTGAGGAACGAGATGCACAAGTTATTGAAGTCTTTAACCAGAACTGAGGAAGAAAATCAGCAAAATATTGTAGAAAATTTCGTTCTTGTCGCATTGCTGAGGCAGCTAGAATTAGCGGCAGAGAATCTCCGTTTAGAAAAGACCACCATCGAGCGGGAGTACAGGAATGAATCTGATCGGTTTTGCACGTTGCAGAGTGAAGCTGTTAAACTGCAAGAGACAAACGAAGAAATGGAATCAAAGATAAAGGAGAAAGATCACAAGGAGAAGCTGCTAGAAGTTCAGGTAGAGAATCTAGGCAGCAGGTTGATGAATCTACAAGGAGATTACAACAATTTGGAGAGAGAGCATTTAGAACTTCACGAAGAGAAGGCTTTAATGGAGGAAAGGAGTCGTAGCCTAGAAGAGGAAAATTATGTAATCTGCGGTGAAATGCTCTCTCTCGAGAGCCTTTTTGCGGTTTTAAAGAACTGTGTCAATGAGAAATCTTTGGAACTAAAGATGCTTGCTGCCGAGCTAAACGAGCTTAATGAAATCAATGGTGAAAAAGGCGAAAAACTGAGCTTAACCGAGAAGATGGTGGAAGAGCTAAAGCTTGAAAATCTTAACCTTATGAAGACACTGCAGAAGTCGGAAGACGAGTTGAATACCATTCAATTTGTCAAGAATCAATTGGATCGTGATATTGAAATAAAAAATAGTTCTTTGTTGGAGAAGGAACATAAACTTCAGGAAGTCGAGGAAAAACTGAGTCTCACCGACAAAGAGAAGTTGGAGTTGCATGAAAGTTTGCAGAATCTGATACGAGAGCACGGTGAGGCTAAAAGGACCACAGAAGATCTAGCAAAACAGATAACATCGATATCCACAGAAAGTGATAATTTGAGGACCGAGAATGGGAATCTTCACGAAGCAACTCGGTTATTAGAGGATGGACTTTGGCACTTGCGTGAGGAGAATGGAAAGATGAAAGAGCAAAACGATGCATTGCATTCTGAGCTCCAAAAACAAAAGAGCGAGATCTGCACATTGGAATCAGAAATGGAGGAGCTATTTAGTGAATTGCAAATCTCCAGTTTTTGTCATTGCTTGTATGAGCACAAGGCTTATGAGCTCATGAAAGTGAGCGAAGGACTCGAAGCCGAGAGTACTTCCAAGGACATCGATATTAAACTTCTGAAAGAACAAGTAAGCTCTCGAGATGCTGATAATGAAGGTCTTAAGACTCAACTGGAAACATGGCAATCAGATACCGAAGAGCTATTTGGTGAATTGCAGAGCTCTACTATTTGTCATGGTTTGTATGGGGAGAAGGTTCGTGAACTCATGAAAGTGAATGAAAGCTTTAAAGCCGAGATTAATTCGAAGGATGTTGACAATAAACTTCTGAAAGAACGAGTAAGCTCTCTAGATGCTGATAATGAAGGTCTTAAGACTCAACTGGGAACATGGGAATCAGATGCCGAGGAGCTATTTGGTGAATTGCGAAGCTCCACTATTTGTCACCGTTTTTATGAGCAGAAGGTTCATGAACTCATTAAAGTGATTGAAAGCTTTGAAGCCGAGATTAAATCTAAGGATTTCGACAATAAACTTCTGAAAGAAAGAGTAAGCATTCTGGATGCTGAAAACGAAGGTCTTAAGACTCAACTGGAAACTTGGCAATCCGATGCATTGGAGCTATTTGGTGAATTGCAAAGCTCTACTATTTGTCACGGTTTGTATGGGGAGAAAGTTCGTGAACTCATGAAAGTGAACGAAAGCTTTAAAGCCGAGATTAATTCCAAGGATGTTGACAATAAACTTCTGAAGGAAAGATTAAGCATTCTGGACGCTGAAAACGAAGGCCATAAGACTCAACTGGCAACACAGGAATCAGACTCGGAGGAGCTATTTGGTGAATTGCTGATCTCCACCATTTGTCATAGTGTGTACGAGCAAAAATTTCATGAACTCGTCAAAGTGAGCAAAACCTTTGAAGCCGAGATTACTTCCAAGGACGCTAATATTAAACTTCTGAATGCTGAAAATAAAGGTCTTACGACTCAACTGGCCGCATATAGCCCTGCTATTGCTTCTTTGAGCCAATGCATATCATCCCTGGAGAGTCACACCTATGGAAAACTCCAAAACCCCGAGAACGAGGTATATATATATAACATGCCACGGTTTTATATAAGATTGAATGAGTATGTGAATTTTTCTTTTTTTTTTTTTCTATTTTAACCATCTCCTCGCTTATTTTCAGGGAATTGAAGTTGCGAAGTGTCATGATGAAGGTAATCTCGGAGAAATGAAAAATGCTACTGTGATGGGTGCATTTCTTGACCTTCAAGATATGGTGGCGAGGGTTCGAGATGTTGAGAGGACATTGGTCAAAATCGAGCAGGTTGTAGCGGAGGATAATGTTAGCATGAATGGTAAACTGCAGGCTGCGATGAAAGAGATTGAAGAGTTAAAAACCGAGAGTAGTAAAAACTCTAAGCGCATGTCTGAAGTCATGGAGGCAGACAATGGGATTTTGACAAAAGATATCGTGCTTGACCAGATATCCGAGTGCTCACGGGCCAAAAGAGAGCACTATGAAGCCGATAATCAAATTCTCGAGTTATGGGAAACTACCAACCCGGATGGCGACAATGATGGGCAGACAAGGCAAAAGGTTCCTCCGACGGCTCAGAAATATGGCGATTTCCCTCGTGTTAAGTCGATGAAGAAACCAAAAACCGAGCGTCCTGGTTCAGATGCACTATCCGAGAAGGAGTTGGGAGTGGACAAACTGCAAATATCCAAACGATCTTCGGATTTTCGAGAGGGAAACAAGAAGAAGGTGTTGGAAAGACTTAATTCTGACGTCCTGAAACTGACGAATCTTCACATTACAGTCAAGGACTTGAAGAGCAAACTCGAGAGCACTGAGAAGAGCAGACGAGGCAAAGCAGTGGTCGAATGTGAAAGCCTGATGGGGCAATTGAATGAATCCGAGGCTGCTGTCCTGAAGCTGTTCGATCAGAGTGGCAAATTGATGAAAAATTTCGAAACCGGATCCTTCTCGTCTGATTCCATGCCCACATTGGGGTTAGACGAAAACGAGAGCATCAGCAGGAGGAGAATCTCGGAACATGCTCAAAGGATATCTGAGAAAATCGCGAGGCTGCAGTTAGAAGTACAGAAGATGCAGTTCGTTCTACTGAAACTAGACGGGGACGATAAAGAAAGCAAAGGGAAAACCAGATTCTCCGAAACCAAACGGAGAGTTCTTTTACGAGATTATCTCTATGGCGGCATTCGACCAAGCCACAGGCAAAAGAAAAAACCGTTTTGTGCATGTGTTCAGCCTCCAACACAAGGAGATTGATACATTCCAACGTAGCTTCAAGTCATACAGTACTAGAATTCTTTCTTTTCCTTTTGTCCATAAACCTCAGTTTCTCCAAATAGACATTCTAGACATATGTACCACTAGAATGATGTTGCATGGTCTTTCCTCAAGTTGTTCATGTCTCTCCAGAGTAACTTCTGTAAATTTTTTGAGGCTGCATCCAGCTCAAATAAACTGCCTTTTGTCTACTCACTTCCCATTTTTCTTTCTTTACAGTTTTCCATTCAATATCCCTACCACTGCTTTTAGCAACTTTTTTGATTAGCTTTTAGAGAAAGTCATTTTGTATATAATCAGCTATAATACTATCAACTAATCAAACTCACTAACGCAAATAGAATTTTGTATATAATCAGCTATAATACTATAAACTAATCAAACTCACTAACGCAAATACCTAATCAGCTAATAGTTATCAGCCAACAGCTATTTACCAAACACCCTCATAACCTTGTGATTATCAAATCAACAACCATACCAACTTGATTGGAGATGTCCCGTTTATTGACATTTTTGTCAAAGACAAGCTGATGATGTTTCCTTGTAAAACTAGAGTGTCGGCATCTCTTCAAGAAGTATGATTATTTAGAGTTTCACAGACTGAACATTTGCAAGGAACATGTGAACCCTGCTAACACAATGAACCATCACCAAACTAAAGTTCAATTTATTTAACAATAATAATAACTATTATTATTATAAAACAAAGGACAGTGTTTAAATGATATGCAATATTAATCAATAATGGAGAGTGGACCGACCTTTCTTGGAAATTTTGATTGCAAGACAGCTCTGCCTCACCAATAGCAATAATTCCATTGAATTAAATATCAGATTTCGCTAACCTCCCTTCGCATCTCACCGACTTCATTCCTTCCCCCCTTCACACTTTCTTCAACATACACTCCTCATCATCATGGCGAATCCGCATCTCAAAATGCCTTCTAAAAGGAAAAGAAAGTTCGCATTTTTGTATAATATACCAAAACATACACTATCATACTTGTTGTAGGACTTCCATGAAACTACCTTTCCGGAAAAAATGGTTTGTAACTAGTCATTTTAAACAAAAGTTACTAATGATTTTAGATTTTAGATTATAGTATATGAATTTTGTATATTTATATGTTTAAAATGGTGTATTTTTTTGGGTGACGAAAGAAACCTGCCGTTACTATCAATGTTGCAGAAGGCCTAGGCGCTAGTCGAGCACCTGGTGCTTAGACACTGCCTAGGCGACTGGTTAATATGAGTATATCGTCCCCTTTTTTTCAACTTAGGAATGAGAGTTGTAAGATTATTATAATCCCTTAAACTAGTCAACTACATATGTTATATGTTTACATGACTAGAGGAATATAGAAGATGAGTGGCTGAGAAAGTAAAAAAAAAAAATCATTTGACCGAGTTAGACACTGACTAGGTTGAGTTAGGCACCCAACTTGGGACTTGGCACCTAGTCGGCCGACCAACTAAAAGCCGCATAGCTCTGAAATCGCCTCGGCCTAAAGACACCTAGCGCCTAGTTGGTTGCCTGGGTCGATTTTTTACAACACTAGTCACTACTCAAAAGTATGCACGAGATAAAATGGTGTCACTTTGTTTCTATTGATGATATACTTAATTAATGAAAAAGTTTGTAGGTGCTCTCGAAGGCCTTGTGACTCTAGAATAGACACTCATAACTGACTGCTCATGTATCCAACAAGATATTTAATCCAGTCGATTATATGCAACTTAGAATAATTTATTCATTATCGGTTAGGATTACAAGCGAGATTTACCTAGTGGACGGAGTTTGTAATATCTGGATTATGGATTGTATAGTACAATGTAAGAGAGAAATTGTACTATGTGGTAGCACGAACGACTTGGTGGCATAATGCATCAATAATCCGAATCCCTACAGGCCTACCTAATAAGCTGGCTATATCGTCCGTGCACTCTCCTGTCCTTTTCCAGAATCTCAATGAAGTAAAATACGAACAAACAGTACACCAATTCAAACACTATACAGTTGACTATTGGTCCTGTAAGGTGTTTTGAGGTAGGGAGGGGCCTCCTATAAATCCTAATCGTGTAGTCGCTGCGTGGCTTCCACTTCCCACAATCCCCCTTCTTTCTTTCTCGCCTTCTCAAGTTTGAATTTTTCATCTTTTCAGCCTCGTTTTTGCTTCGTTTCCAATTCTTTTGCCGCCCCCTTCCAGATAAAATATTTCGCTAAAATCCCTTTGGATAGTTTCCCAAGAGATAAATTGCTGCATTTCGCCTTCTTGGGTTCCCATATACCCTTCTCTCTCGATAATGGAGTGGCCGAGGATCTGCTTTGACTGATACTCTTCGCCATTCATCTGCCCTCTGCAATTTCAAGTTTCAATCTTTCAGGTAGTTTTATATTATCTTGTTTTTCTTTGTTTGGGCAGATTTTATCACCTTTTACTTTCAATGTAATGGTTCTTGGATTGAGGATTTTAGGATTATCTTGTCTTGTAATCTGTGCAAAATTTGAACTTTTTTTTTCGATGTTCTTTTATGTTGCCTTTAATCTTCATGAGTTCATGGTGGAGCCCTTAAAAGAAATTGAAAGTTCAAAAAGAATGGAATGGTGGAGAGTAGGCATTCTTGAATTACTTTTCAATTTCACACATTTCTCTTTACATTTTGAAAGTTTACTTCTTTATTGCTTGTAGGATTGTGGCATATCAGCACAAGTGTTGTGCTACATTGAAGCATAGGGGTAGGCCACTGGGCCAAAGAGACTAAGAAATGGAAAACTATGAAATACTGGAGCATATAGGGAAAGGTTCTTTTGGTTCTGCACTGCTTGTGAGGCACAAGTTAGAAAAGAAGAAGTGAGCCATCTTTGCTTTCTTTGATTTTTTTTTGGTTTTTTTTTTTTTCGACTTCTACAGTTGAATGTGTGTATGTTAATAGTTTCTGCCATTTAGTTTAAATTGTTGACTTATGGTATATACATTCTATTTTTGGTCTTAATATTTTTTGTGTGTCTTATTTTGATTTTTCTGATTTCAAGTTTCCCTTTCATCTTTCAAGGTATGTTTTGAAGAAAATACGCCTTGCTCGTCAGACTGAGAGAACACGTAGATCTGCCCACCAAGAGGTTGGCCTTGGCCTTATGGCAAACTGTCATCCATTTATCTATGAAATGTGATGGACTTCCTGTTAGATATTAATGATAATGAAGAGTATAAAGTTTTTAAACAATGTAATATTTGTCACTGTTTTTCTTAGAATTTCCAGTGATGCCTAGATTTTGTATAACCTATTGGCCTTGATTGGTTCACAAATTTTCAATTTGGTTTTAAAATTTTGGCTGCAAAGCGTTCCATAGTTTTTAAAGAAAAAGGTTGATAGCAACGGGTCAGTGACTGACTTATTTTGTTTTCAGATGGAGCTGATTGCCAGAGCAAGAAATCCATACATTGTGGAGTACAAAGATTCTTGGGTCGAAAAGGTTTGTGAAGCTTTTAATCTATTTTATCATAAATGGTTCTCATGATGAACTGTTACCGTAAGATGACTTCAACTTTTATATTATTGTGCTCTCGTGTTTATAACCTGTGACCTCTCATCCTTGACCGTGAAGAAAAGAGGCACTTGGTCTATTGTCTAACCCTTGCTTTGGATTAAAACAAAAAAGAAAGAAAGAGAAAGGAGAAAATAATAACACTACCAGCTTGGTTGGCGTGAGCGGCCGTGCACTCTCATCCCTTAAGAGAGGTCGGGAGTTCGAATCCCCCTCTCATATGGAAAAACCAATCTGGCCAACACTTTGCCCCTTAATTGGGCTGGCCCGGTGCGAATGGGGATTAGTCTGAGTATGGTACGGGCTTAAAGGTGCCTCCTATAGTTAGGGCCTACTTAGGACACCTCATGGCTTGACCAAAAAGAATAACACTAAAATGAAATACAACGAAAAAGAAAGGTGCTACCCAAGTTGACTTGAAGTTCGCAGACAGTCAAACACTACTTGGTGTAAGATGTCATTGCAACATAAGAATTTTTTGTATAATGGCTGTATTTTATAGCTTTTGAAGTGTCTAGAAATTTATTTCTGTGCCATTCACGAAGCAATAATGTCGATTACAGGGCTGCTATGTTTGCATCATAATAGGGTATTGTGAAGGCGGAGATATGTAAGTAAAGCTCCATTGTTAGATATTTTAGGAACACTGAACCTAAGACCTCCACGTGTTGTCTTGTACATCTCTTTATTTACTTTTGTCATTTCTTCGTTTATGTAGGGGAGATGTCATCAAAAGAGCAAAGGGAGCTCTTTTCTCCGAGGAGGTTATTTGAATTACTTTTCGTAGCTATGCACCCTTTGTGATTCATAGGCTATTGCAACTATGTAGATGATTTTCTTGCTAGTTTTTTTAATTTATGTTGTTATTATCCAAATTTCAAACAACAAACAGAAGCTTTGTAAGTGGCTGGTTCAACTGTTGATGGCTCTTGATTACTTGCATTCAAACCATATTCTTCACCGTGATGTTAAGGTCGGTGCCTATGTTTATGATGTATTGATATAGAGTTGCATTCTATCTAATATCCTCAAAGCTATATTGTGGCTGATATAATGCGTTTGCTTCAGTGCTCAAATATATTTCTGACGAAAGATCACAATATACGCCTAGGTAAGCCATTTAGCTCTGAGTGAATCTTTGATATGGTTTATACCACTATTGCAAAAATCGGTCTAGGCGCCCCTAGACCGTGGCGATTTCCCCCTAGGCGCCCACTTAGGCGACCGGCCGCCTAGCGCCTAACTCGGCCGAGTTAACTCGTCCATTTCGGTTGAGTTAGCTGAGTTAACTTGGCAGGCTCGGCCTTGCCAATTCTTTTCATTATATAATATGACATATATACACACACATGTGCATTGTTTTTTTTTTAGTTAGCCGCCTAGGCTGTTTAGGTGCTAGGCGCTACTCTACCGCCTGACTAAAGCCTACTGCAACCATGGTTTATACTAACTTGAGGTTTTAATCCAAGTTGAATTTCGTTGCAGGTGATTTCGGTCTTGCAAAGATTTTGTCTTCCGGTGATCTTACTACTTCTGTAAGTAATTTGTCGACAAATGTACAAAAAATGCTCGCGTATTTTCTGCTTTTTCCTTCCTCCCATCATCTCATCATCGTCGTCGTCTTCTTTTATGGAATAATATTTGCATATACTGATTATGATGTACATCTGTGCTACACAACAGGTGGTAGGCACTCCAAGTTACATGTGCCCTGAGCTTCTTGCCGATTTACCTTATGGTTCAAAGTCAGACATCTGGTCTTTGGGTAAACCCGTTAACTTCGTAAGTATAAAAGTAGGCCACATTTGTACACTCCTATTCTGACCGTTGGGTACACTCCTATGTGTAATCCAGGCTGCTGCTTGTATGAAATGACTGCTCACAGGCCCGCATTCAAGGCATTTGTAAGTTAGATTCTATTCTGTGATAAGATTGAACTGTGAAATTGTTGTTCCGTATGACATTACGTTTTCATGATTTGGTTTTGCAATCGTTTTGATTCATGCCCGGTACTTGCCTCATGACGCAGGATATGCAAGGTTTGATTAATAAAATAAATAAATCTATAGTCGCTCCACTGCCAACCGTATATTCCGGTGCACTGTGAGTTTCTTATGCTCATTAATTTTTATTTTTTTTTTATAAATATTTTCGGCTGTTGTTTTTACTTTTTAGTAAAAATTTGTTCGACTAAAGATTGATTAATTGCTTTTGCTAATGCCACACTCAAAGTCTCAACTTTCTCCTCTTTTTTGTGTTTTTTTTCCCAGTCGGGGGCTGATTAAGAGTATGCTGCGAAAAAATCCTGAACTTAGACCAAGTGTACGTGTATCCTACATCTCTTGTTTCGATATTTTTAAAATGAATCAAAATTTCAAAATAGCTTCGAAGAAACATGCTTGTAAGCAGATTTTGCAATCCAAGGAGACAAACAGAATAGCGGTTTTGAATTTTGATTCATCCTCGACCCTCTGGAAGTGCCAAACTTGATAATAGTTGCAATCATTACATTAATTACAATCTCTCCAAAATTTTGTTCCAGGCTGCAGAATTACTGAGACACACGCATCTTCAGCCTTATGTCTTGAAGGTTCATATGAAGTTGGAAAGCCCTAGACGTCACATTGGTTTGAAGTATGTAACGAGAACAAGATTTGTAGAGCCTGAAACTGTTCCCGGGCTTACTGATGGAGAGAGGAGATCATTTTACAGTGATAGGGGATTGAATCCTAGTATATCCGGAGCTGAATTGGACACCCCCCGGTTGTCTCTAGGAGCTCAAGATCTTATTAGTTCTCTGAGGATAAATTTCTCCGAGCCATCAGTTGGAAGTACTGATGATGACATAGGTATTAGAAAGTCCGCTATCCCAAGATTAAGTTCTCGTAAAACATCAGCCACTACTCGGGGACAGTCAAATCCATTAAGGATATCCAATCCTGGTTCAACTTGTGAATTGGTAAGTTTTTTTTTTTTTTTTTTTTTTTTTTTTTTTTAGTGCATTAAACCTGATTGTTAAGAGTCCCCCCACATCTATAAAATAACAGAGAACATATGGGTTTATAAGGCCATGGGTTAGACTAGCTAATAGGTTGGATTCAATCTTTTAGTGTGGTTTGGCCCAGGTGCATTATAGCCCAGTTGAGTGACCATGACCCAATCGTGCATTATACGCCCAGTTGAGTGACCATGGCCCAATCTTAAATTATAACACTGATCATGTTATCTTCATTGGTCTTTCGTTTCTCGTGTGCAGCTTCCAGTGTCGCATACTCCAGCCAACAAACCTTCCCAGTCAACACGGAGGGCGTCTCTGCCATTGTCTACTAGAACTGCAAAGGTGGAACAACCTTGTAAACCTAGTATTGGTCTGCTTCACAGTCTAGATTCTCTGGATGTTTCTATGAATGCTCCACGAATCGACAAAATGGTCGAGTTTCCCTTGGCTTCCTCGGAGGACGCTCCTTTCCCGATCCACAGAACCCAATCCACATTTACCCGGAGCTCCTCTCCCTCCCCACAGAGCGGGGACTGCTCAATCACGAAAGACAAGTGTACAGTACAGACACTCGACAGCGCCTTCCCCAAGCCAACACACGCTGTTGATCATTCTCATGAGATTCCTCAAAACGAAAGCGAAGGCTCGGAATACAATCAAACCACCACCGGTGGGGCATCGAGCCGCTCATCCTCGGATTCAAGGCAACGCAGGTTTGATACCTCTTCTTACAAGCAACGGGCCGAAGCCTTGGAAGGGTTGCTGGAGTTTAGTGCACAACTTTTGCAGCAAGATCGAATCGATGAGCTCTCTGTGTTGCTGAAGCCTTTTGGACCAGAAAAGGTGTCTCCCAGGGAAACAGCCATTTGGCTGACAAAGAGTTTCAAGGAGAACACATCTTAACCCCTTTACAATGTCTTTGTTTGTTGCTTGTATCAAACCCTCTGAGGCATACATTTTGGTTACTTATTGTAGTGAACAAGTAAAAGAAGAGAACATGAATTGCTTGTTCTTGGAAATGCAAAGTGTACAAAACTTCCCACAATTTTCTTGTGTTTCTTAATGGGCTTTGTATCTTGTAGGAATATGTGGTTATGTGGGCTTCAGCACAAACACATTAGAGCCCAGTTAAGGCCTAACTTTCACATTTACCCAATATCAACCAATAGATTCAAGAAAATCATAACCAATACTTTTAAGCGAATTGTTAATGCCCAAAAAAGGCGAAATTCTTCATCCCAAGGGCCTTACATCCTGGTCCGATATGATTGTAGAGGAGTAAATCATGGAGGCTTGGTGGCTCATTAGATGGGAGGACCAATCCTTGTGTCACAAGGAGCTACTTCCACAAGAGAATGAAACTCTCATATTGTGGCCGTCAGGACTCAATCCTGCGTCATTATCCATAATATGCCCTGTTGATTTTACAGCCTCGGGGTTCTAGAAAATCTCCTTCCATCGCTCCGGAGTACGGCACCTGATCGGCCCCAACCGCCTACGGGAGGCGGGCAGCCTGGCTACTGCGCCATGCCCATTATTTGGGTGACGTGGTCAAGCTGCAAGCTCCGAATGCAAGGATATGCTCCTAACTAGGTTTTCTATTCGGGGGTATCCATCATGCCCCATGCGGGCATGAAAGATAAACTCTTATAAAGGTGTGTCATGTTAAAGAGTTTTGGGTCAAACTTTTTTCTGATTAAGAGTCAAATACTGTAAACATAATTCTCACCGATTCTGAATTTGCTTTGATTGCCTTGTAAATTGTAATGGTATAAATTTCTCTTATTGAAAGTGACAAGAGAATCAAAGTGTTGAATTTGGAGTGTTTTGAAAGAATAGGTAGAAGGAATGTGGGCTGGCTGATGAATGAAAGGGAAAGGGCAGAATGATTGTTGGTAATTTGAAACCCAATAATAGTTTCTCAGATCGCTTTCAAGCTGCATGCTAATAGTTGAATACTTCTCAACTCTGGTCTCTGGTAAGCACTGCATAGTTTCTTGGGATAGTTGAAATGGCATGACTTATGTTATGTAAACAATGTTTATATGATTATATCTACACATGATATTTACGTGAAAAATTCAAAAAAATAAAAAATAAAAAAATTGGGTGTGATTATAGACTTACTTTTATATGCCACACAACCCTTTGTTATACTATGGACCTAACTCTATAAACCCGGATACAAACTTATTTTTATTATATCACATGTTTATTTAACAAATTGTATAGATTCATGAACTATGTTACAAATTTATTATAGTTCAATAATGTGTACTCCCAACTTTGAACTCCACTGATCCCGCCTTTAGAGAGCAACACTTGTATTGAACTCCACTGATCTCGCCCTTAGAGACCAATCAGACCATCTTATTCACATTTCGAGTGTCTCGCGGTCATAATCAGAACTATTAGACTAATTTTTTTAATCCCCCACTATCAGGGTAATCAGGATGCCATCACACTACAGTAGTTGGCATGTATCAACAGATTTATTTATACTAAAATTAGTTATATGTCTAAGGTAAAATCATTGCAATCATGGTTAATAATATGAAATTTGAGTCGGATCCACGGGTCCGGGTGGACCATGTGGTTGATATCATTACAAAGTGCGCAAGTTAGTTTATTAGCAGGTGGACGGTGGACCATGCTCTTTATTTCCTATACAAATTTCCTATTCCCTCCCTCCTCAAACTCCGCAAACATAAACAACAAACCCGTTTCTACTCTCTATTACTTTACTGTGGCACTCTAGTCTAGTGAACTCGGGAATCATGGATACCAGGTGGTCGGAGAAGACCCTCGCCACCGGCAACGGCGTTACGCTGCCGGAAAGCCCAAGAGAGCCCATGGAGTTCCTCTCTAGATCATGGAGCGCCTCCGCTCTGCAGCTTTGCAAAGCCTTAGCTCCTCCGCCTTCTCTGCCTCCCAAGGCCAGCGCCGCCGCTACCACCGCCAACACCATACCGGAAACCACCGCCGACGCCGAGCCCGAGGCGGCGGCGAAGCTCTCCGGAAACACATTCTCCTTCGGTTCCTCTGCAACTTCTCAGCTCGTTCTTGAACGCATCATGTCACAGTCGGTAAGTATCTCTTGTTGAGGATTTTTAACCAAATTCTTGAACTGAATCTCAGTTTCATATCATAATTTTTCTCTGAATTTTAGATGCATAATGGGCAAGAAATATCGCCATTAACGTCGGGAAGGCTGTCTCATAGCAGCGGACCGCTCAACGGTTCTCTTACAGAGGAAACCGATAGCCCTCCCATCTCCCCCTCCGAGGAGTTTGAAGATGTCATTAAGGTTTCTTTCTCCCCCACCACCTTAATTCAATCATGGTTCATTATTGTTTCTTACTTGTGTCTATTTACTATGCATTATTGCTACTAATTAAGTGTTGTCAAACTATAATCATTATTATGGCCAAAATACATTATTGTTGTGAAGTAGGGGAGTCATGCTATATTTCACCAAGTAGAGCAACCATATAAAAAACCATCAAATTGGAGTATTAAAGTAATTCTTAAATCCATCAAATATGTAGATTGAGATTATCTTATGTGCACACAGTTTAACTGGTTGATCAATTAAACAAAAAGTTAATAACATAATTTCATATCAGATTTTTTTTTTCATTCCGTACCGGCCTATTACTCAAATGTGCGTTTTGAGTAAAACCACAATGCAGTAAACTCAATCTAAGTTGTCAAATCAAGAAGGCAAAAAAAGAGTCAAACATAAAATCTTATGGTTATCAAGCCCATTACTTGACCAACTCCATTGAAGTTGCTTTTTTTTTTTTCTTTTTTTTTTTCATTCTCTATTTTTCTTTGCGTTTTCTTTCTTTAACTTTTTTATTTTTCTAAAGAAATGAAGAATATTTTTGGCTACACATTTCAAAAAAAATATATATATATATATATATAATATGGATAGTTGGATTGTGATGAGATCTCTTTATTCCCTTTTTCCTTTTTAGGTTAAGACAACTAATGTACTTGGCCTTGTAATCAATGAGAACCCATACATTATTAGTCAATGATGGCGTCTTCCTAGGTGGAGAGGCTATATAGGGATTAGGTTTGCTCGATCTGACCATGATCTGAAGTGCAAATTTCAAAGCTCTGCTAGCTTAGTGTTTCGCAGCCAGCAAGGTTAAAGAAAAACACAACCCCACTTTGATGCTTTTGAAATGAACTTTTCTTTCTTTACAAGAATGCTTTAGCCGTCTAATCCCTCACCTTTTGACTTGTTTTATGCCAAAATTTATTAAACTATATTGTGGAATTGAAGAACACTATCGACTTTGAGTTCTTTATGCAAAAGAAAAGGATCAAATATAACTCTTAAGATTAAAGGTTACAGAAATCAAAAAAGAAAAAAGGAAAGCCTACCCAAAGGGTGATATATCAAGTATGGTACAAAGCTTTGGTAATTTTTAGGAAATGGTAATGAATAGATTTACTAATAGATAAAATATGCTGGCTTAGCTTGCAAGTTGCAATGTACTATACTTTTTGAAACATGGCCATGCTGGCTTGCAATTTACTATACTGACCTTCATTTTAGTGCTGTTATTTCAAATCTAGTCCTATTTAAGTTTGTCCAATATTGATCTTAATGATATTTTAATTGAAAATTTGGGTTCGTGTAGCTCTCACTTGTTTTTGCTTGTTTGGAAGGAAAAAATCAAAAAAATATTTAACTGAGATTAAGATAACTACAAAATTTCAAATTCCACTTCTCTTAAGAGTGCAACTAGATTGAGCTTAAGTTTGCTTACCTCCTTATGATTCTTTTCGGGTTAGAATCACAAGACAGTTTCACCCAATCAGTAAAAATTTTCTTGTTTTACATGCTGTCTAATCTATATCAAATCTGCCACTCTTTTTTACCCTACTGCCAAATGATCTGAGTGTATACAGTGATACAGTCTAGGTAAAAGGAAAAAAAAAAAAAGGTAAATTAAACCACGGCTAATCAATGCAAAATCTGTTAAAACAGAACCACTAATTAATCACCCATTAAGTCCAATGTGGTAGCTCAGAAGTACTGAACTGAAAACATGGGTGATGAATGCATGCAGTACTTGAGAGCAAACAACACCCTCCAGCCATTGTTCACGAACATGAAGAACGGCAATTCCAGCGGCGCTAACACGCCGAGCGGGAACGCCGTGAGGAAGTGGCTGAAGGAGAGGAAGGACAAGAAGAAAGAAGAGACGAGAGCGCGGAACGCGCAGGTGCACGCGGCCGTTTCGGTCGCCGGACTTGCCGCTTCGGTGGCCGCAGTCGCCGCCACCACGGCGGCGGCGTCCTCGACCGGGAAGGATGAGGTGACCGCCAAGAATGACATGGCCGTGGCCTCTGCCGCAATGCTGGTGGCCGCGCAATGCGTGGAGGCTGCTGAAGCCATGGGCGCTGAACGTGAACGCCTCATGTCGTCCATTAGCTCCGCTATAAACGTGCGCTCCCATGAGGATATATCCACTCTCACCGCTGCTGCTGCTACAGGTCAGGACTAAGTAACATAAGCCCCCCCCCCCCCCCCCCCCTCCTCTCTCTCTCTCTCTCTATATATATATATATATTCAGGTTCCCATGCCCCGATCACGCACTAGTACGCATAAATGCACCACAAAGTGTTTGAAAATGCACAATTAAGTGTAATGCATTTGTACATTTCTTACTAATTGCACCGTTAGCATGGGAAGTCCTGTCCTAATTTGAACTAGTATATATGGGATGGTTTAGGTGAAAATATGCTCCAGTTTGCTGAAAATAAGGAAAAAATGGGCTGTGGAAGTATAAATGGAAAATGACTTTATGTTTCGTTTTTTTTTTTTTTTTTCAGCTCTTCGTGGAGCAGCTACTCTGAAGGCAAGGGCATTGAAGGAAGTTTGGAACATCTCGACGGTTAATCCACACGACAAAGGGCATGGAATTGGCGCAGGTAGCAACAACAATGGTGGCGGCTTGTATGAGGGGGTAGTTGAGGTTGAAGAGAATTTCTTGGGAGTGTGTAACCAAGAATTACTGGCCCGGGGTCGTGAGCTTCTCAAGCGAACACGCAACGGTAAGTCATAAAGGCAACTAGAGATCAATAATTACGACAGTTTAAGGTTTTGACATGTGTTATGCTACAGGTGACCTTCATTGGAAGATTGTGTCTGTTTATATTCACCATGGTGGGAAGGTAATCTTGAAGATGAAAAGCAAGTACGTTGGAAATACCATCACCAAGAAGAAGGAAAGTAAGTGATTAATTTCATAAAAGCAAATCTTGACCTCATAAATAAATAAATTACATTCGGACATAACTTATTTTTGAACTTATAACTTCTTGCAGACGTAGTGTTGGACGTCTGCAAGGACATTCCGGCGTGGCCGGGGAGGCACCTGTTTGAGGACGGAGAGCAGCGCAAGTACTTCGGGCTGAGGACCGAGGTACGTGGACTGGTTGAGTTTGAATGCAAGAACCAGAAGGAATACGAGCTGTGGACGCAAGGCGTGGCAAGGCTTCTCACTATCGCGGCAGAAAGAAGAAGGAGATTCCGCCGATGAATGGACAAGAAAACAAAAAAAAAAACTAGAAATGGGGAAGCTAGGAAGATGAAGTTTAGTGAATATATGCTTGTGTAATGCATTTGAAACTATTCTAACCTTTTGAAGTTTGGGTGATCTTTGCGATCCAAAAAAAATTCTAACCTTTTGAAGTTTGGGTGATCTTTGCGATCCAAAAAAATTCAATCTGTCCCATATTGGTAAGGCCCTCCAAACAATATTAGTTAAAACAACTAAAGTCTAAATTAATAGTAGAGTACACACATCAAAACAAATACAGCCCAAAAGATAATTGCAAAATGTAAATCACAATGAATTAGTTGTTTCCCTTCAAAAAAAAAGATGGATAATGTGAAAATAACCCCAATTGAATTGTTAAACTTAGTATTATGAAAAATTGGATTAAAAATAACTTTAGTCAAACTTCATTAATCGAACCAGACACATAAAATGAAATGAAAGGAGTAAAAATTCAACTCCTAATGAAAGCAATATATTAACCTTCTTGATTTGAATCGATCAAATATGAACAACCTAAATTGATTAACCTCCTAATAGAACCTTAGTTTGAACATATCAATTATGAACATTGTTATAAAAATCAACTTAAACAGCCATCTAGGCACTAAGCACTGATGAGGAGATTTCAAACCTAACTCGGCCGAATTGAGCGCCTAACTCGGCCAAGTCGGGCACCTAACTCGAGTCAGTGTCCAACTCGGCCAAGTAATTTTTTTTGCTTGCTCAACTACTCCTATATATTTCTCCAGTCATGTACTCAACTAACTATCTAACATATGTAATTGACTAGTTTAGATTGCTCCTAGCCCTGAGTCAGGAAAATGAAGACAATATATTTGAATTACTTGACTGCCTAGACGCCTGACTAGCACTTAATGCGTTCTGTAACATTGACTATAGACAAACTAAATTAACTTAGCTTCTAGTGATTCTTTGCCATCTAAGATAACAAGACAATGTTCACCATATCCGTCACATAGTAAAGGTGAGTTTCCAGCTTCATCCAAAAACAAAGATGATATAGGCCAAATGTGGGCCAAAACTAAGAGTCAACGAAGTGGAAAATAACCATATCACGGCATCAATAGTGCATACAAATATACAAATATACAGTTCAACAACGGTGCCACGAGCATCATTCAAAATAATCCATGATGGTTGGGAGAGAATAGAAAGAAAGCAATAACTGCACACTCTTCAACAGTTCAACTATCAGCAGCTCTAAAAACAGTCAAGAGGGATAGGAATAGGTTGATGACATCAAGGTACAAGGCGACGGCGGCCCAGATATATTCATCGTAACTGTATCGCTTGATAAGGTTATCCGTGTCATATACGATGTACCCACAGAATACTATGGATGCCAGACAGCCATAGATCATCACTGAGATCTTCCCCATAGGAAAGAATATCTGCAGAGCAAATATGAACATATTGAGCTTTCATCTAACAAGAATTTAGCTCTGCAGATAAACATTGGAAGCAGGACATAATTGCAAATGAAACACGGGTGAAATCCACAAACCTGGATCAGTGAAAACAGCATAAGCACCAGAATAGCACCGAACAAGAATGGTCCTAGGAAATTAAAATCCTGGCCTCTCTTTGCCGCCCAGAATGTGTACAGAGTAAGAGCAATCACAACTGCAGCTGTTAAAATGGCTGCTTCTAGGATCACTTTCCCTGTTGCCAATCAACCCAGAGATTAATATTCCCATCTTAAAGACAATTTCAATTCTAAAATCACAGATACCAACCACCACTCCACACCCAAAGTTGGAACAGATTAAGATATTAACTTTGATTTATCATCCGAGAATGATTAGGAACCCGGTTGAAGCTCAAGAATGTCCATGAGATATAATGAGCAGAAAGTATGAAAAATGCAACTAGCAGTTTCCATAACCATAAATATCAGTAGCATTTGTTGAATGGTACAATGTTTGATGATACTTAATGATTAACATCACACCATACAAGATTTCACAGTTCAGTTTATTCGATTATCCTAGACTTTACCAATCTGATTAATCTTTAAAAGGCAACTAACACAAAATTACTGAATAAGCCAATAGCAATATCATACTATTTCTGTGATTGTTTATAGTTGTAAGACCAATGGAATCACAATTGGCACAAGCAAGGAATCTCGAAAAGAAAATAACTTTCCATCGATCAAAGCATGAATAGGGAACATCGAGCTAAAACTAACCCTAGAAATGTGAATGAACAGACAACGTAAAATGGGACAAAAAAATTAAAAATTAAAATGAGTTGCTCACCACTAGTGTATGCACAAGTCAATCCGGTGGCGAAGGAAAGAGCCACCGTGAAAATGCCAAGCAGTATATAGTTGTACGGATGCTTCTGGTGGTAGTAATACAACGGGCATAGCACTGCGGCAATCGATTAAATTAATCACATTAAGAAAACATCAACCCTAACTGAGAACAAAGAAATGAAATCAAACGGCAAAGAGACAAATCAAAGGAAAAAAAAAAAAAAAAAATAGAGCAGCATACCAATGAAGGGCGTGATGATGAGAACAATATAGAGAGCCAAACCAGCGCCAGTAGTTGCAAAGAAGCGAGAAATATGATGATTAGTGATGACGACGGCGCCGACGGCGATGGACAAGACCAATTGGATGGCTACAATGGAATACACTTTCCGAATGAATGACCACCGGAGTTCCGGATTCTCCAGCATCGTCGGATACAGCGGCGCCGACCCGGACTCCTCGTCGCCTTTGTACGCATAGTTCCACATCTCTCCGATCAAACCAATGTCTTCCTCAATATTCCGATTACTTGACTTTGAAATGCGCGGAGCGGAGTGTATATATTTTGATTTTTGAGAAGTTGATCAGAGTAAGCAACAACGGGTCGGTTCAACGGTTTTGAGATTAACCCGGATGGAATTCTCGAGATGCGTCTAGGTACGTGTGTGGCAAAGGGTTCGCACGTGTTACGAGGAATTTCTCCCCACTTCGCCTACCATTATAGACTAAAAATGAGGCCCACCTCCTTCCAATCCAATTCTTATAAGAGCATCCACATTGGTTGGGGAGAATGAGGGGATAATGTAAGAGTGATTAGGAAAGAGAATGTGGGAGGGGAGAAAAAAAAAAAAAACAAAAAACAAAACAAAAAAAAATTAAAAAAAAAAAAAAGTAATCAGATGCGTCAGGCACGCCAGTCGGCGCGCCTGACGCGCCACCGGGCTGCACGCGCCCGGCTTTTGCCCAGGCTGTGCGCGATTGCTTCTTCTTCTTTTTTTTTTTTTTTTTTTTAAAAAAAAAAATTTCTCATTATGCCTACACTTGCAGGACAACTATTTCTAAATTATCTCCCCCTCACATTAGTTATTATCTCTACATGGGAAGAAAGCAAACTGAAATAACTCCACATTATCCACTAGTGTGGATGCTCTAAGGTATATAAGGTGGACCATGGTTCACACGACAGTTTATACATGGTCCAAAATTTACCTAGTATTATGAACCATAAATTGAAATATCGACGTATTTGTACTTGTAAAATATAAAATTTTATAACATAAAACATAAAAAATCACAATACAAGATACACAACATATTATTATGATTCAACTAGATTGAAAAGACGAGCTACAAAATTCATACTTGTAAGGTACATAATTTTATAATACAAGACAAAAAAATTACACATACACATGTTATATATTTACTTATTTTTCAAATTTGATATAGGTACATAATTTGTGTTTATAGGCACGAAATTTCACAACACAATACACAAAAATTCATAACATAAGACACAAGTACTAATTTATTCCAGGAGAAAATTTCAATTTTGGTCATATGACTATAGGGACTTTGTTAATTTCAGCACTTGACTTTTAAAAGTGTCAATTTAGTACCTTGACTATGCAATTTTTATTAATTTTGGTCACTCCGGCCAAATTGCCGGTCAAATTTGGCCGAAAAATATTAAAAGGTAAAATAGTGAGGATAATTTTGTCATTTTATATCTCTTTTCTTTCTTCTTCCTGGAGAATCTGCATAGTCATCGGAGAACCGCACGCGTTTCGCCATTTCCGCGAAATAAGAGAAGAACCCTGTCGCCGAAACTCCCCAGATTTCACCATTTTCCGATGATCACAGTCGTCGCCGAAAAGAGATTCTTCGAGGGGCGGATGAACCAGCGATTCTTGCTGCAAAACCTCACGAATGCCGATTTTGGTTTCCGGGCCAGGTAGTCCGCCGCATTCACGGCGTTCACTTCCGTGAATCTGCCCGACAGTATCCTCTGTCTTTTCTACGGATCTTGCAACGCCTCGCGCGGAGATGCTGAAGTTTGGGTGGTTGAAATCGTCGAACATCTCCCGACAAACATACGATTCGAACGTGAAACATTGGCGATTTTTTAATTTCAAGAACGCGGCGGAATCAGGCTGCCGCGTCCAAACCCCACCCTGCAGATTCCATCTCCCAACACAGCTCCCGGACAAAACTTCGGAAAAACACTGTTTAAGCTCCGACAACAGCTTCAACTCTGTCACCACCGTTAGAACTCCGGAGTTTTTAGTGTTCCTCATGCTACCAGCTCTCCAACGATTCTACGACGGATTCTCTGGAAAGAAGAAAGAAAGTAACGTAAAATGACAAAATTATCCTCACTATTTTACCTTTTAATATTTTCCGGCCAAATTTGACCGGTAATTTGGCCGGAGTGACCAAAATTGAAAAAAATTACATAGTCAAGGTACTAAATTGACACTTTTAAAAGTCAAGTGCTGAAATTAACAAAGCCCCTATAGTCATATGACCAAAATTGAAATTTTCTCTTTATTCCAGGTACATAATTCATACTCATAAGGTACAAAATTTCATAACTTAATACACAACAAGACATAACACAAAACACAAACACATGAACCAAGGTCCATAGTGCAATGTGAACCATGATCCATTGTATAATAATTGATGGTTCACCCAACTATGTGAACTATTACATATGATATATTATTTTTAGACAGAAATGCCATCCCACACCATGAACTACCCCATATTATTCATGTCGCACGTTAACTTTTCATAACATTTATTTAAATTTACTTACCATTATTTTTTTTCGTCTAGCAATTTTCACATGTTCCCCACTTAACAAGATGATACATTACACTAGTTTTTAGCTTATGTGGACCTTCTTTCGTACCAGTTCATGAAACTGATACAAAAAAATGTCCACATCAACTAAAAAACGGTGTATTTTACATAGACTTTCATTTTTCTACTCACTTTGACATTGCATGCTTTGATTGCTTCATTTAATAGGAGGTCATGATGTTTATTCATTTTTTTCCGTCCAATTAAATTTAAATATAAATGAGAGTAAAAGTTGATAGTAAGATTTTGGAAATTCATTAATTATTTAAATAATAAACGAAAAAAATTTATGATAAGTAAATTGAAATAAATGTTATGAATGATCAATGTGTGACATGGACCATCCTTGATAATTCATAGTGTGAAATGACCTTAATATGGCGTCTAATCATATCCGTATGTTGGCCTATAAAAGGGGTGCATGAAAGCCATATTGTTATAAAATTGATAATGATTACATATTTTGAGCAATTATAATCCAAATTATCCATTATCAATTAAGAATTGTAGGCAAAATGGTGTTACTCCAACATCTCCCTATCAAATCTATTATTTTTGCTATCTTTACATTACATGAAACTCAGGTTTGTTATGGGCATAAGATAAAAACACCATCAACTATGTATATGTGTCATGTGTGAACCTAACTCTATAATACAGTTATAATTAAAAGAATATAAGTATTAATTTTTCTTTATATTTTATAAAAATTTGTCTATAATACTGATAATAATATATTAACATCATATACAATAAAGTATGTCATACAATAATATAAAACATATTTAATTATGTCGAATAATATTATAAATAATGTAGACAGTGGCGGAGCCACAATGCGGGCAGGGGACAGCTACCCCCACTCCCCCACCCTATCTTTTATATATATATATATATATATATATATATATATATATATATATATATATATATATTGTATAGGTCTCTAGTGAATACATAGTTAACTTATAAATACTAAATTTATATAAACTTAATCAAATGTTGAGTTAGTTTAGATGGTAAAATATTTGATTAAGTTTATATATTCAATTTTAGAGTTAATATCATATGAGGTCCTCCGAGTATAGTGGTTTTGTCATCTTTAGTCATACACTTTCAAATTGACCATCCGTGGTCCTTCAACTTTCAAATTTAACCATTCGTGGTCCAAGTTAATCACCCATGATCCTTAAACTATTAAATTTTAACCAACCATGGTCCTTTCAAGAGGACCATAGCTGGTTAAATTTCAAAACTTGAAGGACCATGAGTGGTTAACTTGGATCGCGAATGGTTAAATTTGAAAGTTTAGGACTGAACGTGGCAAAACTACTATATTCAGAGGACCTCAAATGGTATTAACTCTTTAATTTTACAACATGAATTTATAATAAGATTAATTCTAATTGAAATTTTTATTTGTAATATTGTGTTTTTTAATATTAATAGTGATATTTACAAACAAAATGAGAAGGGAGAGTAACTAAAGCTATAGACCTTCAAGTTGGGGGGTTGGGCAGCTAGCTAGCCAGGTAGGCCGCGGCCAATTTCATGCTGGTGAAAGCCAACTCATTGTCCCTGAGCTACCCAACTCGCTCACCAAAACCCGGTCTGCTCACTCTCTCATCTCTCAAATCCATCCCGCCAAAGCACCGAGCAGGTTCCCGCTAAATAGATGCCTGATGCCGCCCGAATCTGACGTCATCTCACCGGTGGAGGCAGTCTCCAAGTCGCTTCTCGACAAGCCCCTAAACCAGCTAACTGATGACGACATTTCTCAGCTCACTCGCGAAGATTGCCGCCGGTACCTCAAAGAGAAAGGTATGTCTCCCAAGTCCGAAAGTTCTATCTTCACGATAAACATAAAAAAGGTATAATTGTCCGAAAATAACACATGTGGATTATGATGATCTCCCTTAACTGAAATTCTCCGGCCAGGTATGAGAAGACCGTCGTGGAACAAATCGCAGGCGATTCAACAAGTGATTTCGCTGAAAGCGCTTACCGAAATGCCGCCGGATTCTGACTCCGGCAGTTACAAGAAGCTGTACGCTCCTCGGTCTCCGAGCACCAGTAATAATCACGAATCTCGTGTGCGTTTCAATCATACTTTAGATTATTTTTAACATCTATTTAAAAATCATTTATTAGTTCAAAATTGTTTATTGGCTATTAATTTATTGTTGTGAATGTCGTAGCGCATTGTTTATAGCTATTCAGTTGATGATTATAATTGTTTAATGCAAAATGCAGGTCTCCAAAGAAACGGATATAGATGCAGAAATTTCGGAATCAGCGGAAGTGATGCCATTTAGGGGAAAAAATCTGGAAAAGACTGATCTATTTGGTGACCTACCAGCTCACCCAGCGGCTGCTGTCAAGGACTCTGCTCCATCTAGGCAAGCCTACTTTTATTTTCTCCACTGCTAATTTATGCAAATGTTTTTGAAATTAACTATTCGAGTTCCAGAATGTAAGTCTGCCTCACATGTATGTTCTAATGTGTACTGCAATTTATTTGTGTTGGTAACTTGTTTTTTTGTGCTAATTGCTTGGACCATTTGTTTAGAACATGTTCAAGACTGGCTGGATTACTAGGGCGGCATTGACATGCTTGAATCTTAGTGCACTACATAGCTTAGTATGTTGCATCTGACATAAGAGGAATATGCATACACTGCCATCAAACATGCAATGAACTTCTTGCATTATTGCTGGATCCTAATACTGTACCCACTATGTGGAATGTGTCATCTGTTGAGTCCCATCGTAGAGACTGTGCTTTCTTACTGTGCATAGAAATGTTGACCCCATAGTGCCACACACTCACACATTTAAAGATGTAGAGGGCCCATGCAGTAACATGTAGTGTTATGAGTAGGACACACTGCTGAAGTTTTTTATTGTGCTTTCATCATAACGTATGGAACTACTGAACTATTACATCTTTCATTCAAAGTTGATGGTTCCATGAGCTTTTCATGTAAGATGATTGTAGATGTGGCTTATTATTACTACTTCGTGATGTTTTCCCACTAGTAGAGTAGTAGTAGTGGATGCTTCATGCCATTGCAAATTTTAGCAAAATTAGCTTTCCATCAGGATTCTTTTCCCCTTATTCGTAACATGCTATTACTGTGAAGAGTTGTTCATGACTTGAATTTCTTATTAAGAAGACTCCATAAATATGAATTCAAAAACTGTTCTTGTTACTGGCCTCTCTATTCAGAAGCACAGAGTCAACATGTATTCCAGCTAGGCAAATGGCAATCTTCTATTGTGGCAAGGTGAATGTCTATGATGATGTGCCAGCTGATAAGGTATTAAAATTTCTTCTGAATTAGAAATACTCTAAAATTATTCTAGATGTTAAGTCCCAAATATGTGAGCAACAACTCATGTTATAGGCACAAGCACTCATGCATTTTATTGGAAGCACACTCCCTGTTCCTCCTGACTCTCCATATGATGGTGCTGTAACTGCACAACATTCAGTGTGCCATTTACAAGCTGCAAATGTTAAAGTATGCCAAGAGTATGCAGTGCCGCTCTCACCAGCAGTGCAAACAGGTGGTTTAATTATATATGAGTATAAGAATACTGGAATAATGAGTTTTTGTTTTGAAACCATATTTTGTGGAATGCATTTTCTTTTGTTCCTGTTGCCCAATGACCACTTTCTTGATTTTACAACTTAAAAACTCCTCACTGGGCTTTCAGTGGTATGAAAACTCTCTCTGAAAGATGGTTTTTAACCTTAGTTGACTTAACAAATTATCAAGGACATTACAAGAAATGCATTAAATTTTTCTATATATTGCGAAGGATATTGGTTCAAGTTTTACAGTAAAAAATGTGACAACACTTGAGTATACATGGAAGAAAGCAACACATTTCGTGAAGATAACCCTGGTAAACTTTTTGTAACACTCTTGCAGTGATTGCCACATATGAAATTTTTATTTATGGTTCATGATTCTTTAAGATGGGAAATATGGAATTGGTGACCTCTATGGCTCTATCACTCTCAAGCTCAAGCTCAAGCTCACTGCACAATTCAGATGCATTTTTTGTAGGGATGACAATGGGTCGGGGGTGGATCGGGGAGGGCTACATCCACCACCCGACCCACCTTATACTTTCTCCACCCACCCCACCTGACCCGCATCGGGTGAACTTTTTCAAAACCCACCCTCACCCCACTGGGTGCAGGTGCCCACTACGGGTACCCACCACTTATTTATCTTATTTTTTTTAAAATAATATTTAAATTACTTACACATACTAAAATAAAAAATTCATTAGTTATACTAAAACATAAAATAATAGAAATATTCGCATATAATAATTAAATTGTTAACTTTTTAAAATAAACTTAGTAGTTTAGAAATAAAAATAGTAAGAAGTTAGCAAAAGTTATAGAAACTTTTATAATTAACTACATACTAATACTTATTTTACTATTATATACACACACACACACACACATGGTGGGTCAGGTGGGGTTCAAGGCGGGTTTTGTACATAGAACCCGAATCCAACCTGACCCACCGCGGGTTTAATTTTTTAAGACCCACCCAGCCACCTCCAACCTACCACCCACTATCACCCCCAAAAAAAAACTGATTTGTGCGGGGTGGATTCGGCCATTCGGGTGGATATCTGCGGGGCGAATTGAAATTGTCATCCCTAATTTTTTTCATTGCAAAACTTTCACCTTCTATCCATTGTCTTCTTCCTGTCCTTCATTGTAGACAAAGTCCATCATTACCTCATTACCAGCTTCAATAACTACTCAGTGCTCACTCCACTTCAATAACTACTCAGTGCTCACTCCACTTGCCTGCCCTTCAAGTTCCATCCATCTTGACCAGATTTTTACCAATGTGAATTTCATTAATGAACATTCAAAAGGTGGTTAGTTCTCTCTGTTGCAACCATTTGTTTTGAACAGTGTGCTGTGAGTTCTCTGTTGCAGCCATTTGCTTTGAACAGTGTGATTCACAGCCCTTTACATCAAACACTGATTCTTTTACATGCATTATCTTGAGGATTGGAGGAATTAATGCCCTTGGAGGCTTCCTGGCTGGATTACTTGTTAATTTCCTTTTGTCCTTTTAGCAATGTCCTGAAATGAAGAAAGGCTGTGGGCGTTTCTTTAGGGTACAGCTATAAGGTTATTTTTTGTCAGACTGTAGGCAAATATTTTCTATCAGAACAAGATGTATGTTGAAAGCTTGATGTAGATCAATGGATTTGAAGTGTTGTAGACCATTCTCTCCTAAGTTTGATTTTCATTAGATGTTATTTTTGCAAACAGTGGAAGGCCCAACAAGCAGAAAAGCATCAGTTCAGAGATATCTTGAGAAGCGAAAAGACAGGTATTCCTAACTATTCTGTGTTTGGAAATAGACAAAAAATGCATTTCTTTTTTCTTTGTACTTCTTTTCTAGCCTCTCACATCTCTGTTAGGTGAAGGTTCAAGAGCAAGAGTAAGATAGAAACCGCTTCAACGTCTAGCTTAGACATCTACTTGAACCATCAAATGGGAAGTCATAACTCCAATGAGCACTCAAGTAAGGCAATGCTTTCAATTCTCCTAAATTAGGCTTTCTTCTGCTCTGTCAATAGAATGGTATGCTAGAAAATGCAAATCTTTCTACTGAATTTAATGACAAAGGGATATAATTTCTCCTTTAGCAGACCACCTGTGTTATCCCCCACAATATGCAAAATTCTGTACTCGTGTCTTTGGTTTGGAATCTGCCCCTTAGATATGTCCATATTTTGCTTTTAAAGGTACTCACCACATGTATAAGGACCTTATTATAATAAGGTATTGTTACCATGCAAATATATATTCTTAAGTGTGCTTAGTAAAGATAGTTGTCCACAAATCCTATGGCAGGGCTGCATTTCATACTCTATATATCTTTGCCCAACCCATTTTTTCAAATTAATCAGGGATGATTTCTAGGCAGCCATTTTTCACGTCATTGAACTGCTAACCTCAGTGGAGATTCATGCTCGCTTCTGTTTATTTGAATATATAGTGTAACAGTACTCACATTACCCTGACACTGCACTCCACCCTACCCCCTCCAATGAAGAATTACTAGTGCTTGTAGTTTTAGACAATGGTCCTTAGCAGTAAATGACCAAAAAAAATTGATTAACTGTTCATTTCTGTTGCTTTTCAGATGTTAAAGACTGAATGTTGAAAGGGACCTATTACACTTTATGTATAGTGTCTTCGTGTTATGAAAACTGCGGGTGCAATTTCAGGTTGTAGCATGTAGGTGGTTGACTAAAATTGAGGAGCTACATTGATGTAAGAAATTTTCAAGTACATACTCGTCTTGAATTTGATATCTGTGCTAAGAATGTAACTATTCTTCAACTACAAGAAAAGTTCCAAGCGAGCTGTTTACCGGCCATAAGCTCCTTCCCTGTAAAATGCCATTCTTTTTGGGGGTCAGAACTAGCACTTCCCTCTTTCAATGGCAGTTGCCAGTCGGTCTCTGGTTACCAGTAATGTAATGAAGCTATGCTTATTTTTCTGCATGTCATGGTAATGATCTAGAATTTTTTTTATTTTTTTTTTTTTTGCCAATTCCAGTCTGCAATGATAATCCTAATCCTCTTAACCAGAGGAATAATTTATGGCATTATTCTTCGAGTCCCAACTCCCAAGTTGCACTGATCCAGCATAGTGCTGGTTATACATGTTTTAAGGCAAATTATACCGTGCTTGATGGTCGAAGGTGCACTGGTAAACAAATCAAGACAGTTAATAGACTACTCTCATTGAAAGTGGAATTTCGAAGGTTGTGGTTACTAAACCAATAATCTAATTAATTTGGTTGGAGTTTGATGGATTATATTAACCCGGGGTCCGAATTAATTAACCGGATTAAAGTAAGGGATGTGACAAGTATATGATTCAACGAATAAAGAATGTGACAACATGACGAAACATGTATGAATACACGTCGCGAGACGAATATTGTATTAATTGTGTATAAAATGTTATTACAAAGGTAAGGATTATGTAATAACGAGACAAAGTATGTGATTAGGACAAGAGATGTTTGAACAAGACACAAATGAGGGTTTTTATATTCCATGTCGCCCTAACAACCCCGGAGAAATCAGTGGAGGTCCCCTCAATCGTCGCCACGAGATTCGAACAAGGCCAGGACCCTGCCCCTTAGCCAAGCATGGAGCTCGGCTAAGTGGCCGACCACGTGATGGCCGACCTCGAATGGTTTGCTCGGCCGTGCGTGTGGTCAAGTCGGGTCCGGTGCGCCGGGTACAATTTGCTCCGTATTGTTCCGCTCCGAACCCGTTCGTAATTATTCCATCAGAATTTTGCTCACTACTCTTGCTACCATCAAATCGTTTTACCTTTCACCCATAATTTTTATAGTATAGTTTACTTCTCTTATATAGTTTGTAGATTATTACATAAGAACAAAGTTTAATAGTGATTGCAAATATAATTCTAATAATAAAAAAAAATCATGATATCTTATTGTACAGGCATTCTGTTTTTTTTTTTTTTTAATTTTCCTTTTTACATTAGCATTTATAAAAAGTGCATAAACTGAGTGGGGCGTATGACAGCTCAACTGATTGCAGTAGTAAAATTTAAGAATCCAAGTCTTATAAAAAACAGCGTGAGAGCAATATGATTTAATTTTGTCACCGGAGTGGGGGCTACGGTTAGGCGGTTAGGCCTACACTATATATTAACATCAATAGTGATCTCGTTACTAGATATAAGAATAGATTTCGGACAATTTTATTTTCCCTCTCCGGTTAGGATCATTTCCCTCGAGTTCACTCCGAAATCAGGGATGTCGCCGGACGCCGTGCCGATCAAGCCGTCAGATTTAGCTCTAACCTAATGTCTAGGTCTCTCTCTCCTCTCTCTCGCTGCGTATTTATGTCGATTATACACACACGCACACACGTCTACGGTTCTATAATGGCTGATTCATGGTTTTCTGTTTAGATATAATTTCAACATTTTCGTTTTGAATTTGAATGCGCAACCGGCAACTCCATACTACTGTGCTAATATTTACTCATTTACTAAATTCTCTGTGCTTGTATTGTTTGTTGAAAATGAATCCTGATAAAAATGGACCGATAAGGAAGAAAACTACGGAGTTGTTAGTGTACTCGTAGTCTCGTATAGTCCTATATCATCACTATGGAATTTTGAAGTTGTAGCAGTTTGGAATTCTGCAGGAACCTAATTTTGTGTGGAGTGAATAATGGACAGATTTAAGATCATAGTTCTCGTAGGAGTGTTTTTCTCTGCTGCCTCGGGCTATGCTCACGATGTGTTTGTTTCCTGTATGAGAGCTTATGATGAAGGAGGTGCTCCAGCCTTTTTTGGATTGCCTGAATGCCCTCAATGGATTCTATTGGCTTCCCCTGAGAAGAAAGCACTCAAAGAAGGGAGCTGCCAGTTTGCTACACTTCAGGGCCACAAGAAATACCAGGAAGACCGTGTTATTTGCTATCCTAATGTAACAATTCCGGTTTTAGGTGCATTTCTCTTAGCTGCTCCTCTCTAGTGATTGAATAATACTTGCAATTTATTTATTGCTTAATCTGCATATGTCTCTGACTGGATTGTCTAGTTTGCATTGCTGAGGTTTGTCTCCTTTTGATGATGCTCAAGATGTCAGTGTTGCTGTGGGGGCAGTATTTGATGGTCATGGGGGCAAGGAAGCAAGCAAGATGGCTTCAGAAAAGTTTTTGGATTACTTTTTCCTTCATGTTGTATTCAACACATACAAGAAATTGTTCCTCCATAAGAAAGATATTGAAGAAATAGATATCCGTATCTTCACTCGTAAGAGGTTTGAACCAACCAAAACTAGGAATCAGATCATTCATTAATTGCAATTCATCTCCATTATCAGCCCGCAGAGTATACTTTCCTAACAAGAGTACAAGACCAACTTTAGTTTGATTTAGCAATTGAGTTGAATTTTCTATAAATCTTAGTTAAAGTTTTAAAAAATTCGAATGTTTATACCCTCAAATATTTGAGATCTGTTAGGTTTTCAACTGGTTTTGCTGGTGCCTGCATGACTCAGATTACGGGGCTCAGCCTTTTTGAACCAAGTATATAAATTGTTTTTGGAGTGAAAATCTGTCATTTGGGTTGGGAATTGAGTTACTGCATGGCATTCTATAGCAGTTAAAGCTATTTTAACTTTTCTATTATCTTTTTAAAAATGTTTTCAAGTTGTAATTAGTTAAGTCTGCTTAAGTTTGATATTTTTGCAGTTACAATGAAGCAGTTCCTGTCATAGATGATGAATTACTGCGTGGCATCTTAGAGACAGCCCTGTTGCAAACAATCCAAGATATAGATTCAGAATTTTCTCAGGCATTTATCATTCTCTTCATTTCTTTATTTTTCTTTAAAGCTATCTTCTGTGATTTTTCAAGTTAGTATTTCTTCTCCAGGAAGCCATGAACCATGGCTATATTTCGGGATCAACAGCAACAGTTGTTGTTTGGGTGAACAGACAGATTTTAGTAGGATCCCTCGGTGATTCAAAAGCACTTCTATGTTCAAGAAGAAATCATCCCGATGCTGAAGGTATTATTTATACTCTTCTCCTGCCCTTTTCTGTTATTCCTGTTTGATTGGAGAAATGATTAGCAAACCAAATTGAATAATTGACCATAAAATCTGTGTTCTCCTCAATTCTGCAACTCTTCACTATACTATAATGCTGTTTCAGGTGAACTGGAGTCAAAACTTTATGCTGAGGAACTAACAAGGGATCACCATCCAGATAGAGAAGATGAAAAAGCTCGAATAGAAGCAGCTGGGGGAGTTATTCGTGTATGGGGTGTTCCTCGTGTCAATGGCATATTGGCTGTCACTCGATCTATTGGTGGTATATACTTGAAAAGGTATTTTCCCTACTCCCAGGGCCTCTTCCTCGCATTACTAATAGCTTATAAAGGTTTTGTGTGGTAAAGCTTAGAATATAAGAATTACATTTACAATTGTGATTTTGATTATAGATTAATCAAATACTCCAAAAATAGACATAAGAAAATTAAATAAGCATGCAAAAGACATAAACACTTATATGTCGAGTATTATATATTTAAATAAATACATACATACATAAATACATGTGCACACACACATGTATATATATACTCTAAATAAATAAATAAGTATACACATTATTTATTTAATTTGATACGGAGTATTAATTAAATGAGGGCAACTTTGGCTTAGGAATTGGCAAATTGCTAATACTAAGGGCCTCTAGAAATATTCTCCTCACGAGGAGAATGGTTTATTCGCATGAACAGGTCTATCATTGAGAATGTTATTTTTATGTCTATTCTATGAATCAAAGATGATAACATTGGCCAACTTGAGCTCAACCGGAAAATTATTGTGTGAATTATAACAAAAAGTACATTTTTAATATACTAAAAATACATTATTCGTATACTGAATTACATTATACAAATTATAAAATAATGTACTTTCAATATTCAAATAATATATTTTCTCTGAATACAATGTACATTTTTAATATATTAAAAGTATATTATTTGTGTAGTAAATGTACATTATTTGATAGTATGTTCCACACAATAATGACTGAGTTCAACCCATGTGCTATAGTACTTGGGCAAGTCTAACGAGGTCCTTTCATTTAATCTTGGATGTACATTACTCTTTCTCTCTCTCTTTCAAGTTGAGCTTGTCTTGAATTATTAATATTTTTTTTTTTGTTATAATAAGTTAAATATTAAAAGTTACTCCATATTTATTTATATATTTTATTTAAAATAACTTAATAATAGATTTATGTTTTAAAATAATAAATCAAACCAAAAAAATAAATTTTATGAGTTTTAACCAAACAAGTGGTTTTCATACTTTCAACCAAATACTAGAAAATGGAAATGTTTTCTAAAAAATGATTCGTTTTTCAAAAATTATTATCTAGAAAATTTATGAATTCCTGTATTTATTTATTTTTATTATAATAAGTTACAAATTAAAAGTTATTTATTTACATATTTTTGTTATGAACATTACTAAGCTTTATAACTGTTATAAATTCTAAATTTATTTTAATATAAATAAATAATTAATATTTATTTATGAAATAATTATATTATCATAATCATCAATAAAATAATTAATATTTTATTAGAAAAAAAAAACTTTATAACAGATTTATGCTCATATCAAACAAAAAAAATTATTTTCTTAACTTTCAACCAAATATCAAAAAATGAAAACAATTTCTAATTTTATTTTTCAAAACAACATTTTTCATGTCATATTTATCAACTTATTTAATTTTTATTATAATAAATTAAAAGTAAAAAATTATTTATTTACATATTTTTATTGTAATAATTATTGATCTTTATAACTATTATAAATTACAAATTAAATTTTATTTTAATATAGATAATAATTATTATAATCAGCAATAAAATAATTTATGATAAATTTATGTTTGTGTTTTAGAAAATGAATCTAACAGAAAAGGATATAGTATTATGACTTTTAACCAAAAAGAAATATTTTTTTCTAACTTTCAATCAAATATCAATATAAGAAAACTTTTTCTAAAAAATAATTTGTTTTTTTCAAAGATCATTTTCTAGAAAATATTTTTAGTGTTATATTTATTAATTTTTGTATTTATTTTTATTATAATAAATTACATGTTAAAAGTTCTTTATTTAATATTTTTATTATAATTAATATTAATATTTTTTCCTTTGTCTCATTTTGCATGTCTTGTTTATTATTTTTGGTTAAACAAAGTATTTCTTCATTGCTTATTTTTTTTAGTAATTTTTAATTATTTTGAAATTTTATTTTATTTTATGTTTAATAGTAGTTTTAATGTAGTTTCTAAATATATAAATTTTATATACTAATACCAAATTTTTAATATTATAAAAAATTAAATTAAAATAACTTTAATTAAGCGTTGTTATCAAATTAGACAAATAAAATGAGAACGGAGTAATATTTATAACTATTATAAATTATAATTTTAGTTTATTTTAATATAAATAATTATATTATTATAATCAATAAAATAATTAATATTTTATTATAAATAAATGAAATTTAATTTTTATGTTTAATAGTAATTTTAATGTAGTTTCTAAATATATAAATTTTATATATTAAATATCAAACTTAATATTATGAAAATTAAATTAAAAATAACTTTAATCAGGCGCTGTTAATCAAATCCGACAAACAAAATGAGACAGGAGTAATATTTGTAACTATTAGAAATTATAATTTTATTTTATTTTAATATAAATAATTATATTATTATAATCAATAAAATAATTAATATTTTATTATAAATAAGTTTATAATAAATTTATGTTCATGTTGTCAAAACTTAATCAAAGAAAAAAAAATACAATTTTATGACTTAGACAAACAAAAAAAACATTTTGACATTGTTTTTTTTTAATGATTTAATTTTCATAAATCATTTTCTAGAAAAAATTATTTATGTTATATATTTATCAATTTATGTATTTATTTTTATTATAATAAGATCAATTTATGTAGTTATTTTTTTATTATAATAAGTTACAAACTAACAGTTATTATTTTTTACGTATTTTTATTATAATTATAATAAATTATAAAATATAATTTTATTTTAATATAAATAATTTAATTATTAGGGTCATGAATAATATTTTATAAGCAATAATTTATATAAAAAAAATTATGTTCATGTTTTAAAAAAAAAATAAATCAAACAAAAAAATATAATTTTATAACTTTTAATCAACAAAAAAGAGATTATTTTCTAATTTTCAATTGTGCACCAATATATGAAATTATTTTCTAGAAAAATGACTTATTTTTCAAACTGACTCTTAAGTAAAATCGAACTAACAAAATGCGGCAAGAAAGTTTATTTGTTTCCCAGATGTTAGTAAAACATCAAAGGATTGAGTAAAAGCAGAAGCAACTTTGATATATTTGCTATTGGTTAATCTTAGATATGGTGTTATTGCTGAACCGGAAATAAGTTGGCGAAATCTGACCAGCAAGGACTACTACATAGTCATCGGAACTGATGGCGTATTTGAGACTATGGCTCCACAGAGCGTGTGCAATATACTACAGGCTCAAGAAAAGGAGGCCCCCAACAACTCTCCTTTACGTTCATTATCCTCCCTAGCAGATTGCATAGTCCACAAGGCATTTGATGAGGGGAGCATGGACAACCTGTCGGTTATTGTGATTCCAATAAAGAAGAATGCAGCACAGTGATAGTAGGTAGGTCTAATCTATTAATTCTTTTGCTGTAGCGCTACAGATGGAATGGCCAGTTCTCTATAATTCTGTATCTTGGAATGCATAGTACAATACAAAAATGCTTCTGTTGTCGAGTGTAAGATGTTTACTGTTGCATTTTATTTTTTTCTTTCTATTTCTTTTTTAATCAATGGAATTGCATACTTACAGTGCCAACGTTCTCATACAACCACTTTGGTAACTACTCCTGCCTGCTTGAGGAGCAAACATCCCAACTCAAAACTCGCAGTCTGCTCGACACATTTCTGCAATAAATTATGCCAGTCAAAACTGGGACTAATGAACCTTCGAGCTTAAAAAGGGTGGAGCAAAGGAAATGGGGTTAATCATCAGATTATTGTGATTTGTGAAAAGAAAAGGGTTGAACAAAGGAAATGGGGTTTAATCATCAGATTATTGTGAAAAGAAAAAAGAAGAGAAGGGTGGAGCAAAGGGAATGGGGTTTAATTATTACATTATTGTGTAAATAAAAAGAGGAAATGGGTTTAATAATCAAATTATTGTGGAACTTGAGCATATACAGAGGCAATAAAAGAAGTTATGGATACCTTCAAAGCATGTGGAACTGAGCATAGACAGAGGCAAGTTAAACCTTTCCATCAGTTTGATTGTGTGCATGTTGTGAAAAATATGGATGCTTCAGAGCTTCATCAACACTCAGTCGATCCTCCTAGTTAAATTTAAAATGTATTTGTTGTTAAAATATACTCCGTATCTAATACTTTAGATGCACCTTCAAGTACCAATGCCATAAATGACAAAGATAATCCTAGCAATGATACTAGCAAACTACAGTAACAGATTCTCAATGCAATTCATAATAACTTATTGAGGGCTGACTCACAGGATTCCAGTGTAGCAGTTGGCGAACTAATCGCAAAGCCCATATATTCGGAAACCTGCAGACAGTGCACAGTCAAAAATAGAAAGAACTGACTAGCACCATGAATCAACTACTTGATCTCTCACCCTCTATGCATCTTTATGTATTCATTTTGTTATTAGGGGGCAGGGGGAGGTTTTTGGTGGTATCACATATACTGACCCTATTTTTAGAGGATCTCTGTTTCTAATTTGATGCAAAAAGAACTCTTCAGAGCATTTCCATGGAGCCGGTGAACCTGAGTCCTGGACGATTACAGTATAATGAAGCTCTGATTAATAATAATTTATTTCAAGTTAATGGCAATGCTAATAAGTAGGAGTAATATACTTGTAATGCAAGGTAAAGTGTCTTCCCTAAAGAACGTTATTATATACATCCACTTTTAGAGTAAAAACCACCCATGAGTGGGAGGTGGTGACAATTACTGTTTAGCAATCTGCAACTTTTATTATTTCTAGAGTGAAAATATATAGCACAAGCATGTCAATTAATCTCACAAAACACTAGAAGTTGAACTTACCGGGTAACGCGGCTTTGTTGAACTCCCAGGGATCAGGATACATAATTCCATGAAAGCTCTTAGTCTATTCAAGACACATGGCAATCAGATCCTCATTATTCATAAAGTATTGAGATCAATTTGTAGTAATAGAAACCATTCATTATAATTATGATACTCAATGCCAGACTTACTTGAAGGCAAGCTCCTTTATACTTTCATTCCACCCTTCTAGATGCTGATCTAAAAGAGCACGTGTCCTAGAACTTATCTGGAACACATTTGGTGATCCTAATATTAGTTCCAACATCACAACCCCAACACTCCACATATCGTACCTGTCCAACATGGGTAACAGTTAAAGATCAGTCACTTAGGTGAGATGAGAGGAAGTTCATAAAATACTGTATCCACGAGTCCCATTACATGTCATCTGAAAGCTATGGGAAGGAAGGAAGGAAGACACAAATGGAAAACCAACAAGAAAGAAATTCAACAGTAGTAAACGATTAAATGAAATTCGCATACTTAAGACTTGCTGAAGTTGGCCCCTGGTACCAGCTGGCATTAAGAAAAGCCTCAGGTGGAGTATATTCACAAGTTTGTTCAGCCCTGAAACAGTAGGAAGTATAATATACTCATAACAAAAATATATTCTTATGATCCTTGAAGCTGTGCCAAGCGGTTAAACTCTCTACCTTTGTGACTGTGTCATGAAATCTTAATATAGAAAAGGAAACTTTTAGCTACAGATAAAATACCTTGAAGGTCCAACAGAGCCATACAAATGCTTCAATGTGAAGTCATCCAGTGCACTCCCAAAGTCAATAATGCGCCTAATAGATGATAGAATACACATTAAGACAAGATAAAAGCACCTATCATAACATGTCATATACTATGTATAATTTTGTGGATAAACCAGGGTTTGGGGAAATGTGAGACTTCACAAATTCTAAATACCCCAGTAACAGCTGCCACTGCAGGTTTAAAACAACGTGAACAATGACATGGGAACAGCATCTCCTATTTGAAATTTTAACTAAACAAAGGCAATTTATATAGATTTAGAAGCCAAAGTAAAACTAGAAAAGCTAAAATTCAGTTTAAAAAAAAAAAAGGTGCTATAAGACTTCAAGTCAAACATATTGTGGTAAGAGATAATCTGAATTACATTTTTGTGGTATAATTGTTGTCCCCACTTGGATGTCCTTTCAAGCATCTCCCAGAATCCATATCTTCGAAGCAAATGACCATATTCTCTAACCAGAAAATGGAATTTCAGGTAGATTACTGGAAGAATAAGGGAGTCATTCTATATAAAGGAGAATAAAAAGGTTAACTGATATACTGGTAAATAAGAAGATAGCGATATGATCCATATTGTGTATAAGCTAGATATTTATGTTACTTCTGGATTGTTTTATCATTAAAATTCACACCTTAAAAGGGAAAGGAGGAACTAAACACTTGAGTCATCCTCATTTTAAGTGCAACTACTATACACTAACCATCATTTTGATGTAAATCAGTAGCACCTCTTAAGACAGGAAGTCTCTAAGGTACAACATGAAGTTCACCGGTGCATAGCATCACTACTGTCATGTTCCAGTAATGTTAACTGTAAACATACTGCATACAACACTCACTCTTAACATGGCAGGTTACAGCTAGCTCTTATGGTATCTTAATCTAATAATCTACATGTGAATATAAGAAAGTCCAATCACATCGAATTCATATCATATGGTATTTAGAGGTTCTTACCAGGTTTAATATCTCTATGTGTGATATTCCGGTCATGACAAGACTTGAGTGCCATGAGCTGAACAAAAGAAAAGAAGATAGAGTAACTCTATAAGCAAAACTGCATATAGATGTTACTTCTAAAAGATTGGCCCAAAGTCCAAACTAGAATTACTAAATGTAAGAAATTCCAACCAAAGTCCATCTATTAGCACATTTGGGGATAATGCTGTTAAAAATCGGAAGCTTAAAGCCAGAAATGAGTATCATTTGGGTTTTAGACTAACAATCTAGCAAAGTAAAAGATTAGATCTTAGTTCTTAAGCAAAATATGTGATTATGTTAACCAGTTTGCAGTATTCAACCACACCATATTTGATACTCAAGCAGCTTTCAATAGAAAAATAAATACCCCATTGACTAAAAGAAAGAGTTCGAGATTCATAAACCAACCAGACCAGAAACAACATTAAAACTGTGCAAAAAACCTGACCTGACCATAAAAGCGAAAGTGATGCAAATTATGACATCACGTACCAATTGCCATATAAGATTGCGCATTTCCTCCCGCCCTGCTTCTGTTGTCTTTAACCAGTACCACCATTTTGATGGGTGCAATATCTGAACATTCTTTACTTGTTCATTTCTCTCTCCTACACTATTTGCCACTTCTTCAGCTGTATACAAGATCTTTGACAAGGATACTCCTTCATGGCGGAAAACAAGCCATATTTCATTAGATTGGGACTCAAAAGATTCAATATATCTGGCAATGTGATTAAGACCTTCTTCATAGGTAGCTTGCATCACTTCACTTCTTCCACCATAGATATTGTCAAAATTCAAAACTTCACCCATTTCCAGACCAATTGAGTCATTTTCCATTAAATGGCCATGTGGCTCTAGACAAGTATCTTTTGAGAGGCAATAGGATTCTCTAGTTGACAATGGACCTCCAAGAACAGTAGATGCATTCAAGAAAATTTCACCAAAATGTTTCTCCCTTAGCCCACTTAGATATACAGCAACCCCTTTCTCCACCTTTTAACAGAAACAATTTATGACATCAGTACGACTCCAGAATTACAGAGTAGAAAATGACATCAATTCAATAAGCTTTTGACCAAAGAATTGGAAACATACTTAAACATAAAGCCGACTTGAAACCAAGTAGCAAGTACTCAGATTATAATAAATATGCTCTAAGTGCATGAGATGTGTGGATGGAGAACATTTATGATAGACAGAGTCACTGACAGAGAGCATAGAAGACATACCAAGCTCCCACCACTGTTACCAGAATCTAAATGATGCTACAGCACCAATAAGAAATTCTGAAACCTTTACTTCATTTTGCAATATGTTATAGAATATTCTGTGTGATTGAGTATCCCAGATTTTAGGGAACTAAATATTTGCATACCATATGAGTTTAGAATCTGCTTGTATTTAAGGAGTGGGTGACTAACCCTAGAGACACACAGAATGAGAGAGAGCTACACAGAGGTATGCTTCTCACTGCATTAACATGGTATCAGAGCTAGGGCGATAGTTTTTTTTTTTTTTTTTTTTTTCCGGCGTCTCCTGTTCTCACCGCCGGTCCACCGCTGCTCGCCGTCGTCCGGCGACCTTGCCTGGAAATTTTCAAGCCGAACCGACCTGCGCGTGAAGCTCACGCGGCCGCCGCCACGCGCCGGCGCGTGAGGGCTCTCCGGCGACCGGAATTTCTTCCGGTCAGTCTTCCAAGGGTCGCCTGAGTTAGGGGGTCTCGTTTCCGGGCTCAGTTTGGACCAGTTTCGCGTTGATCTTTTCGGTTCTAAGGTCAGGTTGTTTCGTTACCCTTCGGCTCCATTTTTTGTGTGTTTTCTGATCAGTTTGCGGTCAAAAAAAATTGTGGGTATAGCTGGGAATACGTCTGTGGTTGTCATTGATATAGTTCCTGTTAATTCTAAAATCACGGATTGTAAGCTTAATGACTCCAATTACTTGGAATGGATTCATGTCATTAAGCTTTATCTTACTAGTTTGGATAAGAGTGACCACCTATCCAAACCTTTGGCTGACCAAGATGCTACTTGGGTACGAGATGATGCCCGTTTGTTCCTACAAATCCGTAATTCCATTGATGAGGGTATTGTGGGGTTCATTAGTCATTGTGCATCTGTTAAGGAGTTGATGGAGTATTTGGAATACTTATACGCTGGGAAAGGGAATATCACTCGTGTTTATGATGTTTGTAAGTCCTTTTTCCGTGCTGAAAAACATGATTTGTCTCTCCCTGCATACTTTATGGAATTTAAGAAGACTTATGAGGCACTTAATCAGCTTATGCCATTCTGCAAAACCAACGTGAACAATTTGGCTGTTCTGAGTTTTTTGGCAGGTCTCCCTTCTGAGTTTGACACGGCGAGGTCTGCAATTCTTAGTAGCTCTGCAATCCCTTCTCTTGCTAATGTTTTTCCACGTCTGAGTTGATCGGTGCAATCGCAACCAAGTATGCCTGAGGCTGCCATCCCATCCAACAATGCTCTCGTTGGTCGTCATCCTCGCAGTGGGAATGGAAAGAATTCCCAGGGATACACTTCTGGTGGTATTGTATGTCATTATTGCCATAAGCCTGGCCACATAAAAAGGGACTGTAGGAGATGGTTAAGGGAGCGAGGAAATCCGACTGCTAATAATGCTTCCACAACTGAGGCATCTTCCAAGTTGATCACTGTATCTGCCGACGAGTTTGCCAAGTTCTCTGAGTATCAAGAATCTTTAAAGCGTTCATCCTCCTCGGTCACTGCTATTGCCGACTCAGGTAATGCAACTACGTGCCTTCTCTCATCCTCCTCCAAGTGGGTTATAGACTCGGGTGCCACGGATCATATGACAGGTAACTCTAGTCTGTTTTCCACACTTTCTTCTCGCCCACATAGTTCCCCCGTCACCTTAGCAGATGGTTCTACCTCCCATGTTCTTGGGTCCGGTACCATTACGCCCATCCCTTCGCTTCCCTTGTCTTCTGTCTTGCATCTACCTAATTTTTCATTCAACTTAATTTCGGTCAGCCAACTTACCCGTACTTTAAACTGTTCTATTACGTTCTTCCCTGATTATTGTCTGTTTCAGGATCTTTTGACGAAGAGGGTTATTTGTAAGGGGCGCGAGTCTGGGGGCCTCTACGTTCTTGACGCCACGAGGCGGGAGCCTGTTGCTTGTTCGAGTGTCGTCACTCCAGTAGAAGCTCATTGTCGTTTGGGGCATCCTTCCCTACCCTTGTTGAAGAAATTGTGTCCGCAGTTTTCAAGTTCGTCTTCTTTACATTGTGAGTCGTGTCAGTTGTCCAAGCACCATCGTGTGCCTTTGAGTCCTAGAGTTTACAAACGAGCGTCTGCTCCTTTTGAGTTAGTGCATTCTGATATTTGGGGTCCGTGTTCTGTGACCTCCAAACTCGGTTTTAAATATTTTGTTACGTTTGTTGATGATTTTTCTCGAATAACATGGTTATATCTATTGAAGTCTTGTTCTGAACTTTTTGAGGTGTTTTGTGGATTCTGCGTTGAAATAAAGACTCAATTTGGTGTTCCTGTCAAAATTTTACGCAGTGACAATGCTAAAGAATATTTTTCACTCCCTTTTGTCTCTTATATGCGTCAGAAGGGTATGTTACATCCAGTCCTCTTGTGTTGATACGCCTTCTCAGAATGGGGTCGCTGAGCGCAAAAATCGGCATCTGCTTGAAACTGCAAGAGCCTTGATGTTTCAAATGGGGGTTCCCAAGCAGTTTTGGGCTGATGCCGTTTCCACAGCCTGTTTCTTGATCAATCGGATGCCCTCTGCGGTCTTGAGTGGGAAAACACCTTTCCACACTCTGTTTCCTTCAAAGTCTTTGTTCTCTGTTGACCTGCGTATATTTGGCTGTGTATGCTTTGTTTGGGATGTCCGTCCCCATGTCACCAAGTTAGATCCCAAGTCCTTGAAGTGTGTGTTTCTTGGATATTCTCGTGTGCAAAAAGGGTATAGGTGTTACTCTCCTGAGCTTGGTAGGTATCTTGTTTCCATTGATGTTGTCTTTCATGAGGACGTCCCTTTCTTTCCTTCATCCCCAGAGGTTGTTCGTAAGGGGGAGGAGGAAGATATATTGATGTATACTGTCACGGCGTCTGTTCCTACCCCTCCTGTCTTACATGTGTATTCTCGTCGACCTCGGCCTGACAAACTCGTATCGGCACCGCCTCCCGCTCCCCTTCCAGATTCGGCTCCATGCCCTGACACCACCTCTGTGTCATCTGATCCAGTCTTAGTTGATGACCGTCCGATTGCTACCCGAAAAGGTAAACGTAGTTGTGCTTATCCTATATCCTCTGTTGCATCATATGATAGGCTGTCACCTGCCTCGTGTTCTTTCATTGTTTCCCTTGATTCTATATCCATTCCTAAGACAGTTAGGGACGCCTTGTCCCATCCTGGGTGGCAAAATGCCATGATTGAGGAGATGAACGCTTTGGATCACAACGGTACTTGGGAGTTGGTCACTATGCCTGCAGGTAAAAGACCTATTGGTTGTAAATGGGTGTTTACCGTCAAAGTTAATTCTGATGGGTCTGTGGCTCGATTAAAAGCTCGTCTTGTGGCTAAGGGATATGCCCAAACTTATGGAGTTGATTATTCTGACACTTTTTCACCTGTGGCTAAGCTTACTTCTGTCAGGTTACTCATCTCAATGGCTGCCATTCATGATTGGCCTTTGCATCAGCTTGATATCAAGAACGCGTTTTTGCATGGGGATCTTCATGAAGAGGTGTATATGGAGCAACCTCCTGGGTTTGTTGCTCAGGGGGGTCTGGGAAGGTATGTCGTCTTCGGCGATCGTTGTATGGGCTGAAACAAAGTCCACGTGCATGGTTTGGAAAATTTAGTCAAGTTGTTGAGAATTTTGGGATGGTGAAAGGCAAATCAGATCATTCCATGTTCTACAAGTGGTCCAAAACAGGTATCATCTGGTTGGTGGTTTATGTAGATGATATTGTCATTACAGGGAACGACACCGAAGGGATTTTGTCTCTCAAGTCATTTCTTCACAATCAATTCCAAACAAAAGATTTGGGACCACTGAAGTATTTCCTAGGTATCGAAGTTATGAGGAACAAGACAGGTATATTACTATCTCAACGAAAATATGTTATTGACTTACTCTCTGAAACAGGAAAACTAGGAACTAAACCATGCAACACTCCCATGATACCAAACTTGCAATTGACAAAGGAGGGGGAATTGTTTGAAGATCCTGAGAGGTATAGGAGATTGGTTGGGAAGCTAAACCACTTGACTGTAACCCGTCCAGATATTGCATATCCAGTTAGCGTTTTGAGTCAGTACATGTCATCTCCAACTATTGATCACTGGGCAGCTGTGGAGCACATCTTGAGTTACTTAAAGAGAGCCCCGGGACACAGAATCTTGTATAAGAATCATGGTCACACTCGGATTGAGTGTTTTACTGATGTAGATTGGGCAGGTTCTAAAGAGGATCGTAAATCAACAACTGGATACTGTGTTTTCTTTGGAGGTAATCTGGTTTCCTGGAAGAGTAAGAAGTAGAATGTAGTATCTTGTTCGAGTGCAGAGTCTGAATATAGAGCGATGGCACAATCAACAAGTGAAGTGATGTGGATACACAACCTTTTGTATGAGTCTGGTTTCAAAGCTCCAATTTCTGCAAAGCTATGGTGTGATAACCAAGCTGCTCTTCATATTGCATCAAACCCGGTGTTCCATGAGCGAACTAAGCACATAGAAATTGACTGTCACTTTGTACGTGAGAAGATACAACAAGGGTTAATCTCCACAGGATTTGTGAAGACAGGAGAACAACTCGGGGACTTATTCACAAAGGCCCTTACTGGAAACCGAGTCAGTTATTTGTGTACAAGTTGGGCATGATCAATATCTTTGCTCCAACTTGAGGGGGAGTGTTATAGAATATTCTGTGTGATTGAGTATCCCAAATTTTAGGGAACTAAATATTTGCATACCATATGAGTTTAGAATCTGCTTGTATTTAAGGAGTGGGTGACTAACCCTAGAGACACACAGAATGAGAGAGAGCTACACAGAGGTATGCTTCTCACTGCATTAACACAATATATCATACAATATCACAGATTTTGTCCTTAATCTCTAGTTTATTTTCACATAAATACTTTCACTAGAAGAAAAAAAGAAGATCCTTCTATTCACACAACTACTTGTTTGATTCTACATGTCAATGCACCTCTGTTCCATCTGAAAGCATGTGGTGCTGATTGCTGAATCTTATTTTCCATTTTTATTTTAATTTTTCCATGAGCTTGAGTGGAAGAGGAAAAAAAAAATGAAAATGAGCTAAAGGTCAGCGCAAACAATGAACAATGTTGCAGAAGGCGCTAGATCGGCGCCGAGGGGGGGCGGCGGCTAGCACCTAGGGGGCCAAGTAATCTGAGTATATCGTCTCCACTTTTCCCACTTAGGGCTGAGAGTTGCTACCCAATTATAATCCCCCAAACTAGTCAATTGTATATGTTAGATGGTTAGTTGAGTACATGACTAAAGGAATATAGAAGAGGAGTAGCCGAGCAAGCAAAAAAAAACCACTCGACTGAGTTGAGTGCCAACTCAGCTGAGTTGGGCACCGCCTAGGCCGAGTTAGGCGCCCAACTCGGCGCCTAGGGCGCCAAGTCGGCCGACCGACTAAAAGCCGCCTAGGGTTGAAATCACCTCGGCCTAGGGGCACCTAGCGCCTAGGCCGATTTTTACAACACTGAGCACAAATCATTTCCACCTCTTGACAAGACATTTTAAATTGAATATTATCAAACTTAAAATTAGTGTGTACAAAAAGAATATGATCTGAACTAGTAAATATGCAACTGAAGGGTATATAAGGTGCATATTTGAGATTAGTTTACCATTATACGCTTCAAAATGAACTCATCAGAATGGTCAATATCAGAATCTTCTGAATATGGAGTTTTGGCATTCTCTGAAGTCTTGTTGCCATGAGAGCAGTTCCAAGTAAAAGCCATCCATACTTCTCCATAAGATCCACGGTCATATCTTTTCTTTAGTATGTACCTGAGGCAAATGGAAACAATTTGCCACAAATATTAATTTAAACTGCTTGCATTAGCATTAAATAGGACAATAATACTTCAGAATCAACTAAATGAAATTGCTAACTATTTAAGTCCAGTGCAGTTAGGAAGAATGAAAAATAATGCATCTCATGAGCATTACTAATTACAAAACTGCTCCAACAGAACATCCTCTGAACAGGTTGCTTGTCCTAGACACCAACTCTATCAAAATGGACAGATAACTAGGGCAGTAGTCAATGAAACCCACACCCAACTCAATCTGTGATAGTAGTGCATGAAAATGAAGTTGAGATGTATCTAGCAGAATAGCAGATAAAGTTTTCACATAAAAGTTTGTTGCAATCTCTCTCAACTTGGGCAGAAGTCTATAAAACCATCCAAGTTACTAGAAATAGTTTATCGGCACCCATAGATTGCATGATGCAACAGAAAGGATTAAAGTTCAGTAAAGAGAAGCACCTTGAATCGGCTGTTGCATGCTCATTTGAAAAAGTATCATTAAAGGGAACTGATTCAAGCAAACCAAGGAACCTAGCAAAGCCTTCGGGATTTATGCACTGCTCTTTATTCCCTTCAAAGTTCATCCCAAAGTTTAAGCACAAGTGCTGATCATTATACAAGTTAACTGGTCCACCTTCACCAAGAAAAGGAAAATGGATTTAGATATTCACTTAAGTAGGCACACACCAAACTTAGTCTACCCAGTACCCACTATGAAGCAATATATAAGATAAAAGAAATATGGGATCTGAAAGAGTGTCACTGAAATATGAATATCAACAAACAAGACAGATAAGGGGTAAGAATCAGTAGAATGATTGTGAACAACAGTGTCCAACCCCATATGGGATCAAACACAAGTGCATAACAACTAGCCCTTAGTCCCCTCTCTTTAATTGGGGTAGCAAAAAGAGCAGGAAGACCAGCCCAAAAATCCATCCATATTATCTTCCAACACAAACTCTTTCAAGATTAACAACATTCACTGCTTACCAGAACTGTAACCAGCCCCTTCAGACAATCCAAGTCCTAGTTCATATGGATATTCCTGGACATCTTTTTGAATCCAGAATGTATTATCATCCTTTTCATCAAGGTTCTCAGAAAGATAGAAACATCTATCTTTACCTACAACCTGAAGCAAGAATGAAAGAGACCATTGTTCAGAACTATAAACATCAATTTTTAAAGGATAAAACACATGGAGTTTCCTGATAGAGCTATTCCGGGATCGAGTAAAATCATTCAATATATATATATATATATATATATATATATATATATATATATCCTAGTTCATATGGATATTCCTGGACATCTTTTTGAATCCAGAATGTATTATCATCCTTTTCATCAAGGTTCTCAGATAGATAGAAACATCTATCTTTACCTACAACCTGAAGCAAGAATGAAAGAGACCATTGTTCAGAACTATAAACATCAATTTTTAAAGAATAAAACACATGGAGTTTCCTGATAGAGCTATTTCGGGATCGAGTAAAATCATTCAATATATATATATATATATATATATATATATATATATATAACTGCAAGTAGTCACAGTTCAGCTCAAATTACACTGCTGAAAGAATAACTACAGAGCTAGCTCCAAAGAGAAAAGAAATCACTACTTTATTCTGTTCTAATTCATAAAATTGTTTGTAAATTTAAAATTCAATTACCTTATATCTTGTTAAGATGTGTATCAGTAAAAACCGATAAAAAGAAGGCACTCCAGTGTAAACAATTCATGCTGTGCATGGGGCATGGGGAAGCTAAAGATGATCAAGAGGTGCAACCCATAGTATAATATCTAACCAAACTTCATACTATAAAAAAAAAAAATCTACCTCTACGGTGAGTATAAGTGTACAACTCATCAAATCCATGATTATCTCCTAGACTGACAAGAGTAGTCAAACACCTTGAGTGCATAGTTGTCAGTAATTATACTAATTTAAGGGAGAAGATACAGGTGACAAGGAAAACATTGTTCTGGGAATTAAAGTCAGGGCCCAAGCATGCAGCCTGAAAATAACAAGCTAAATGCCTAAATAATGAATGGGAAATGTCATTCTGCTTGTTTCTAGTCTTACCAACAATCTGTCAAGGTAGGTAACAACTGGATGAGCTTGCTCCATTTCTGCAAGTTCTGATCCAAGTCATGGAAACAAAATAAGATAAGCATTATCAAGATACCTATGCAGAAACATGATGCATTTTTACACTTAAGACAACCATAAATACACTAAAAATAATTTACAAATGCAACTCATCTCTGTTTGCTAAATTTCTATACATACCAAAATAAATAAACCTGTTGTGCAAGAATTACAAACAAGGGAAATACATACTCAAATGTAAATAAAACTGATTCAGTTGAAGTACATTAAGAATTATAAATATAATAAAAGAAACAGTAACGATAACACTACAAAAGGAGGGGATGGAGATCTAGAATTTTGCAGCCAAAGCTTGGATGCAGTCCTGCACAAGATAGAACAAACATCTTTCCATGTACTTCTTAAATATTGAAATTAGAGTGAGATCAATAAGAAAATTAGCAACAAATTTCAAGATACCCTCAAGTCTACAGTTTAGATGAAATCACCATAGTTACATTAAAAAGATCATTGGCATTTGGCACTCATGTCACAAGATAATGTCAAATTAGGAATATAAAGTCCTATATGTCTTCTATGCTCATTTCTCATTGATATATAATAAGTATGAGCTATGAAGCAAGAATAGTGAAATTTACCTGACAGTCCAATGGAATAACCATTATATCCTAAAGCTGGGCAATCAGATATATGCAATCCATCACAGTCTTCCTTAGGCAGAGTCTTCATAGGCACTTTAGACCTAAATGGGAGGATTATGGCTGCCATATTATCTGTACTTCCCTTTTCGAATGCAGCATTTACTATGCAATCAGCTAATGAGTGCATACAGGAAGAATTTAGTTCTGATCTAACAGCGAAATCTGCACGTAACTTTGACAATATGTCACAAACATCTTGTGGGTTTAGTTGTTCAAAAACACCATCTGATGCAGCCACCAAGTAGCTGTCATTTTCTGTCAAAGGTTGCCAATCAGTGATCTCGGGCACAGATATAACACCATAACTGATAAGAAATCGAAAGACTGATAAGTCACATCTAAAGATAAAGATACTATTTGCTTGCTAGTAAAAACAGTACATTGGGAAGTCATTAGAGCTGAAGAAAACAACAAAACTGAAATAACCAGAGCATGCAATTCAAAGCCATATTTCAAATGATGAGTAAGGACAAACTAACCAAGAGAAGGAAATCTTAGAAATAAATATCTATGTGAAACACAGGCCTAAAGAGCTCACCTTTTCAGGTACACATCCCCAATAGCTCTAGAAACAGCCAACTGACCATTAACTCGAGCTACACCACCCCATTCAGAAACATGTCCCCCGGCAGACTCCACTCGAGACCTTTCGTCGTCCCTATCTGGGTGATGATCTCTAGTCAACTCCCTAGCAATCAAAAAAGACAACCTATCGGAAGCTACTGATTCAAATGTGCGATAATTTCTAAAGGGATGAAAGATCCCATCAACCTTTGTCTGCCTATACATCCTCAATAAAGCAGCTGCAATTTAAAAGACCATCTAAGTAAGTATTTGATGCTATCTACTCTTTACACTAATCCAGAATAAAAGGATGAATAGCAATCAAAATCCGGTTGTCCAATTAACTCATATCTGAGGTGAAAATGTTAACCTCACCCCTTGCCTCTGTTGAAGATTTATAATCCTCAGAGCACACAAACGCCTTTGAATCACCAATGTTGGCCACAAAAATTTGATTTTCCGCCATCAGTATGATTGCGGCAGTAGATCCAGAATCAAAATTATTTCTAAAAGCATCCTTCATGTGAAAAAAGTATACATCAGAAATAGGCAAATAGCAGCATTAGATGAATCAGAATCTGGTCAACCCAAGAAAAATTAGGCAAATAGCAGCATTAGATGAATCAGAATCTGGTCAACCCAAGAAAAATTATTCAAGACTCACCCTTGAAAATGCAGAATCAATATCACCAATTGCTCTTAGCACTGCTTCCTTGAATACTTCCAATGGAAAAGAGTCATCAAAGACTGATGACAAACTCAGCTTAAGCCTATAAGAATAAGGCTCAATTATACATTTATACTTCCTAGGTATTCATGAAATCTCAAAGTAGACATTGGTGATAACACTGTTTAAATTTCTGATAATATGCAAAAATTTCTTTCTGTGAATTCTAACACCCCAGTAATTTCTGTAATAAGAACAACCACTGAAACTTGTTTGCAAAAGGAGAAGGACTACCTCCCAAATTTCAACTGATGCTGGCCCAATTCCTCATCCCACTTCAGGTCCTGAAGTACATCATTCCCTCTTTCACTTGGTAGCCATCCCCTCAATTTCCTTAATAGGACGGAAAACGTTGTGTCAAGAAGAAAGAACATATGCACTGTAAAGTACTCCAGTAATAGCTTTGATGCCATTTCACTTGCTTCAGCACCATTATGGCCATCAAAAACTCCAACAATACCAACTGTAACCTCTGTGATACCTTTAGGACCTGCAACAGTAAAGGAAAAGGATGACAACAACCAACAGTGTGCGGATACTAATTCTAGACAAACAGCCCCCTTAGTGATTACCAAATCCTCTAAAAATATGTCATCTCAAATTCAGTATCTGGTGAACACTAGCTTTATATCTGATTAAAAGCAATCTATAGTAACAGCAGTGCTCACGTCATGTCATTATTTTGTTCCTAAAATAACTTCAAAGGACCTTTTCTTCCAATATCATAAAATTCCAGACTATACATGAGCGTAATTCTCCAATCTCAATACAGTAAAATTGAATGCTGAACGTATATTTTGAAAATGAATTGAAAATACACAATCTACCATATAGGAACCAGTAAATTTTATTCTCGCAGTCAGCAACAAAAAATATTCTATGAAAATGTAAATCCTATAAACAACGAAGGATATTTTACCGAGGAAAGGAACGCGAATATCTAGAGCGCAGATAGCGCGATCTTCCTGCTGCTTGCGACGACCTTGATGCAAGGCCGTCTGACAAATGGCGGCCGGCGATTGATACCGCGGTTTGGAACCGTAGCTCGGAAGTTTCCAGCGAGGACATTTTGGAGACTGAAAAACCGCCGGAGCACCGCCTTCTTCGTACACCGTCAGGCACGTCGACGATTCGCCGTAAGTACGTGTTCCTGCGCAAAGGATAAACCATAACACGAATACAAGCCTTTCACCTGTTGTCATTTTATGCGCCGATGCTACTCTTCACACTGAAGGCATCGAATCAAAACGAAATAGTACTATGACCTGACGATCATGAAATCGAAAGCACAGGAGTGACAACTGACAAGCAACAACAAATAATCGCGCGATTACTTTTGAAACTGCCCTTTTATATAGCATAGCCCTAATGATCCGGCCCGAGAAGGTTCGGAGCAACTACAGTCCCAGACGTTATGCCATGGAACCGTGTTCACCATTCATGGTGAACACGGTTCTAACGGTGTTAGTACACCGTTATCTTTTTTTTTTTTTTTAAATAATTAATTGCGTGACTTTTCTTCTTTATTTTCACATTTTGCGGTTTCACTTTAATTTGAGGTGAACAAAGATTTCGAACATTCATAAATTATGAATTCATGCCTGCACATTCACTTTGGAACCATGCCTACACATTCCCGTCCGCAATCACGGACATTCATAAATTATGAATCCATGCCTGCACATTCACTTTGGAACCATGCCTACACATTCACTTTGGAACCATGAGATTATGAATTTTCTGTTATAAGATTATGAATTTTCTGTTATGAGATTATGAATTTTCAGTTATGAGATTATGAATTTTCTGTTATGCGATTATGAATTTTCTGTTATGAGATTATGAATTTTCATTACATTCATAATTTCGGACATTCATAAATTATGAATTCATGCCTGCACATTCACTTTGGAACCATGCCTACATATTCCCGTCCGAAATCACAGACATTCATAAATTATGAATCCATGGCTGCACATTCACTTTGGAACCATGCCTACATATTCACTTTGGAACCATGCCTACATATTCACTTTGGAACCATGAGATTATGAATTTTCTGTTATAAGATTATGAATTTTCTGTTATAAGATTATGAATTTTCTGTTGTGAGATTATGAATTTTCTGTTATGCGATTATGAATTTTCTGTTATGAGATTATGAACTTTCATAAAATTCATAATCTCATAACAGAAAATTCATAATTTGATCAAACGTGAGCCGTTAACTCCACATCCGCGAATTTATTTTTTTTTGGCCTAAAAACGACGTCGTTTTGCCTTGTGTTCACCATTCTCGGTGAACACGATTCCATGGCATAATTTGCGCTACAGGGCACCGTAAGTTCTAACTTTAGTTATATTGCGGGCTGGGCCTCTCTAAGGTGCTCGTGTGGTAGAGAATAGGCCGCGTTTTTTCGTCTGAATGTTGTGTACACATGTATTGTGTATAAATGATGTCAATGAATCAACAACAACATTCTATATGCTTCGAAAGAAGTTATCAAACGGGTGAAATGTCAAAGAGTTTTACAATAATTAAACTAATAATATTCTAATATAATAATAATAATTATTATATTTTACTTATTTAATTGCTCTATCACATATTTACCCAGTAGACTTCCTTTAAAAAATAAAATAAAAACACTTTCACAATTTAATAGCAGTGCTTTTCTTCTAATTTATTTGTGTCCATGTAATAAAAACACTTTCACCAATCGTTATATGTAACAGAAAGATCGCTTGGGTGGTTGAAGCGGACAGGGAGATCAAGCGAGCCTTTGATCATCTGCATGCACAAAGCTCGGGCAGCTACAAGCGAAACGCCTTTAATCCTCACTGGTCCCCATCAAATGACCATGAGTGGACGTTGAACGTGGATGCTAGTGTCAAACCTTCATCTCAGAGAGCTGGGTTTGGGGGCATCCTTAGGAAAGCTGACGGCGAATGGATGGGAGGTTTCCATGGAAACTCAAGCTGTGCAGACGCTACCATTATTGAAGCCGAAGCCATATCGAAAGGCCTTAGCTGGGCTTGGAGGTCTGGCATTAGAGACATTGAAATCCAATCAGATGCTGAGAAAGTCATTAATTGGATTTTGGGTGATTCAGAGCTAAGAGGACCTATATGTGATCATGTTGAGAACATTCGACATTGGCTTAAAGAAAACTGGAAGGTTTCAATCCGAAAGATCGTACGCGAACAGAACGAGTGTGCAGATGCTCTCGCCAGCATGGGCGCTAACATAGACGTGGAATGGCGTGAGCTAACGAGAAATCCATCTGGTATGGAGGAAATCATTGGCAATGATCGCCTGCGTGCGACCTGGCATCGTAGTGAACGGAACTAGCTTCCCTTCGGAGTATCCCCCTCCCTGTCGATCCAAAAAAAATTAACCGGTTAGACCGAAGTTCAGTACAAGTCAATTCAGTTGGACCGATTGATGGCAATCCATTTTGCTGCAATGAATAGACTATGGCTAACTCATTTTATAATTTATACTATGCACATGGTTAAACTTTAATCTTTGGTCCATATATATTCTAATATCTTAAATTGTTGAAAAAATTACTCTCACTTAGTAGTTAGTAGTTGTAATTTATAAACTTATTCTTATTAATGTTATTACAATATTGATTATTGAATTTTTTTATTTTATTATAATAATTATTAAGTTAAATAGTTGAAAATAAATATGTAAATTTATAAAGTTAATTTACAGAAAAAAAAAACATAATTTAAACAAGTTGATATATAATTTTAATATATTTTTAAAAAATGTAAATTATGGTTCCGAACTATAAATTAATATCATATAAGGTTCTCTTAGGGGGTGTATTCAATCATGACTTTCATAGAGTTTTAAAGACTTTTATGAACTTTAAAAGTTTGGAGGTATTCAATTCAAACTTTTAGAGAGTCTTTAAAAGTCAGGCGGTATTCAATCAAGATTTTTAAAGAGTCTTTAAAAGTCGTGTGGTATTCGATTAAGACTTTTAATGAGTCTTTAAAAGTCATGTGGTATTAAAAAAGTTATGAACTTTTGTAGACTTTTTAATTTTAAGACTTTTGTAGACTTTTCCTTCTCAAATATAAATAGTTGAAATCCGACCATCAACCCCAAGATTTCAAATTTTCTTTCTAACAACTTTGAATGTTTTCTCTCTCTATTTAAACTCTATTTTTTCTCCCTATTTAAACTCTATAAACCTATCTAAATTCAATAAAATTATTTTTTTCTTCATTATCCTATATTTTTCTCATACCTAAACTCTACCAATTTTTCTCTCTCTCATAAACTGTAGAGTCTTCATCTAAAAATTCGAAATAATATTATTTTTACTTCATTAATGCTTGTTTATATTGGTTTTTATTTTTTTCTATGAATTTTTTATCACTAATTTTCTCTAATTCTCCCTAAATACATGAACAAAGCAAATTTTTCATCGTCAAATTTTAGTATATGTTTCATAATATTCATATAAATACTTATATATTTTGATTTTGATTATTTTTTATGTTTATATTCGTAATATACATATATATATATATATATATATATATATATATATATATATATATATATATATACATATATACATATATATATATATATATATATATATACATATGTATATATGTATATATATATATATGTATATATATATATATATGTATATATATATATATATATATATATATATTTATATATATATATATATATATATATATATATATATATATATATATATATATATATTAACAACAGGTTGCTACGAATAGCGAATTACTGTTCCTAACAACAATTTGGAGTTGTAAACAGTAGCACCTTGTTGTTGTTTGCAGTCTCAAATTGCTATTGCAAATAATAGTTCTTTGCACGATGCCTAGCAATATATCAAGGATAATTTTCTATATATTATTAATATTGGATTTTTATTTTTTTATTTTATGCAACTTGTAATTATATTTTTAAATATTTTATTTGATATATTTTATTTGATCAAGTCTTTTATTATAAATTTTATTATTCAATATTGTTATGAATTTCTAATGAAATAGTTTTTTTTTTGTTGATGTTTATTAATAATATATATAAGCTAAGTAATTAGCATATAAGTCTCAGCATACTATGGATAAAAATAATAATGTTATAAATGTTGATGTGGGTGAAGAACTATATAATAAGAAGAATTTTATGATATATTATAAATGTTTTGTAAGAAAATTGTAAATGATAAGAATCAAAATCATTGAAAGTTTGTAATGATGTATTCAATTTAGAATTTCAATGACTTTTGTAGACTTTTTAAAATAAAAAGTTGATAAAAGTCTATGAATGTTTTTTATATAGACTTTTATAGAGCTTTATAAAGTTTTAAAAAGTTTTGAACGACTTTATGAAAGTCAATCAAAGTTTATTAAAATCTATCATTTTAAAAGTCTTTAAAACTCCACAAAAGTCATGATTGAATACACCCCCCTTAGTGATTTTGTCAAGTTTAGTTCTAAACATTCAAATTGACCATTCATGGTCCTTCGACTTTTAAATTTGTACAATTTGCGGTCCAAGTTAATTACCAATGGTCCTTCAACTTTAAAAATTTAATCAACCACAACTCTCTTATAAAGATCTTGGGTGGTTAATTTGGACCACGAATGATAATAATTTGAAAGTCGAATAATCACGGGTGGTCAATTTAAAAATTTATAATTAAACGTGACAAAATTACTATACTCAGAAGATCTTATATGATATTAACTCTCCGAGTATATATTAATTTTTATTTTTCTGATATAACCAAGCCCAATTCAAAATTAAATCAAACTAGACCGACCCAATGACGCGTGTTTTACACCACCACCAGGCACCAATAACGGATAACATATAATACTACGTATAGCTGGTATAAGTTCCCCATTCAAGGATGTGCAACTGTTGCGCAGCTGACCCATTTTCCTTATTTAATTTATTCAGTTTTTTTTTTTTTTTATTGCAAATTGTAGGAAGTTTCGAATTTTCGAAGCATTACACTTCGCAAGATCTAGTAAAAACTAGAAGGTTGTAGAAGCCTCCATTTGCATATGGCTTCGAATAAAATAAATTATCTTTTTATTTTTGTTCTTGTTAATGACAAGAAGTCAAGAATAGTACTATTTTTTATCGTATTTTTCGAGCTTGTCGGCCTACCAGCGCTCATCTGGTGGCTGGTGCTTATCATCTGCCCTGAATCCAGAGTGGCGACCTCTTTTATGCATTTTTTTATTAATTGTTTTTCTGAATTATTTAATTATTCGGAATATAAAAATATTAACATGCCAACGCGTAAGCATTTTAGCACATGACATTGGCACGTGGCGTGTTGCTCTTGAGTATTAAGATTTGCACGAAAAGTGAAAGCGAATCTCCATAATCTCACCAAAAGATTATAAATAAAAAAAAGTTTGTGTGTCATTAGTTTATTTATTATAGATCCATTAATATAAGAAAAATAATATTTTTTTATTTGTTTAGCTTCGATTGTGGTATCTAATTATTCACTTAATGATTTCCATTGTTAATTTTTGTCCCTTCGTTTTATCAAGAGGTCAAATATTTTACGTTATTAAAAAACAGGTAAACTAAAATAATAATTTGAATGCATTCAAAAAAAAAAAAATAATTTGAATAATCAATTTACAATTGAATTAAAACTAAGAAATTCCAAAGTATCTTTGTTGTCACTGATATTAATACAAATAGTTATTAGTACAGTGACAATCCACAACCACATATAGTTTAAATAACAAAACAAGTATCAAAATAGGTGATTATATTAATAGATTACGATTCTCGTATCAAAATATTACAAATTTGATTATTGATAACACTCTTTCGGTCGAATTTGTTGTACACGATATTTTTAGTGTAATTACCTGTTATGCGTAATTTGTGCACTATTATACAAAAACAAAATTTCTATAGTGAATGCGAGTTTCCTTCGTCATATGAATGCAAAGATATATCCACACTCCTGCCTTGAAGGCAGATAGAAAAAGTAAATGACAAATGTGCTTAACCTACTTTAACAATTCTTCACTATTTAAAAGTGTGCTATGAGTGAAGTTTGAATTGTGATCATAACTAACAAATGTATATGAGGAAGTAAATTAGTTATGACTAAACATCATTTGTTAACTACTTAACTACCATAATTAGATACTAGAACCGACAAAGTGTGAAATCCTTCCTAGGAGCTTTGTGATAATGGAGATGAAGTGCCACGGCAGGTTTCCATGATGTCACCCAATCAAATTTCATAAACTTGCGTTGAAAACCAAAGCGACCATATGTGTGGTCCCATCCCATTCCTCCACCATATCCAACCCTCTTTCCCACCCCCATTATGAATTCCAGAACCTTCCAAAGAGCCTTTTCTCCAATTTCCATTCTGCCAAAACCACAAAACCGCAAATAATAAATAAATAAATACAGTGGATGGGAAGGATGCCAGGAAGTCCAGAACCTTCCATAGGTCAATTATCTTCTCTGTCCGTACAAAATAACGCCTAATTAACAGAAGTAATTACCCTGTAAATTTCCTTAATCATTCTCTTGTTATGGAGGTGTTAAGGTTTTGCCATTGACCAACCAACTTCTTAACGGCACAAACGACCTTCCCAAACGAGAAATCACGGCTCTCTGGAAAGCCCTTTTTAAAGTTCCCCTTTGTCCTTCGTTGTAATGCATGTCAACTTCACGCGAATTCTTCTCGAAAGTTCCTCGCTCTCTGTTTCTTCTTCTTCTCCTTCTTCTCCTGTTGCTATTTTGTTCCTCCAATCCACGGTCAACAATCTCTTTTGACTGCTAGTTTACATAACCGGTTGCTTTTTCTTCTCACGAAAAGTATAAAGCTTTTGCGGTAGTAGTAGCTAGTGGTGATGGATTTAGTTTACCATGTTAAGGAGGAGTATCCGGCGGGATCGAGTTCGTCAGTGGGGGGAGACCCGGTGGTGATTCCGCCGCCGCAGCCGATGGAGGGTTTCATGACATCGAGCCTCCGCCATTCCTGATAAAGACTTATGATATGGTGGATGATCCTGGTACTAATCGTGTTGTTTCTTGGAGCAGAGGCGGCCACAGTTTCGTTGTAATCTCCTCCCCAGATTCTTCAAGCACAACAACTTCTCCAGCTTCGTCCGCCAGCTCAATACTTATGTAAGTTCACAATTTACAAACCTCTCTCCAGCTCAAATGGCTACAGAGTTAAATGCCTTTTTTTTTTTTTCAAACCAAGGTTTAACTTGAGTCGAACCTATAATCTTGTGGTTATCAAATAAATAATCAGATTAACTTAGTTGATTTGCTCGCGAGTAAAATTTCTGGTTTAGAAATTGGAAGATTGAGGGTGTATTTGGTTCATAGATTTATACATCAAAAATGAGAATTAAAATCATGTGTTTCAATAACAATTTTTTAAAACAAACTATGAATTTGATTAACCTCAATCTCATTCCCTAATTAAAAATCACGTGTATCATTCTATCTTAAATATACAAAATTCTTTCACCAAAATTCATTACTATTACCCTCGCGGTGCTCGCCAGCTCTGATACCAAATATAGTACCCCAACGGGATTAAACAAAGAAGAAAAAGGGAGATTGCAGAAGAAAATAACAGCTCGTTTGGTTCGCTGGAAAATATTTGAAGGGAAATGGAATTGAAATTCCATGAAAAATAAATTCCAAGAAAATAGATTACATTGTTTGGTTGGTGGAAAAGAAATTACTGGGAATATGAATTCCATTGTTTGGTTGAGTTTGAAATGGTAAGGAATAATGTGTATAATGACAAATATAACCCTACACAATAATAATAATATAATAATAATAAGAGTAATTAATAAAGAATAATGAGGGTAAAATTGTCATATTAGTTTTCCATGGAAAACTTTTTCCATGGAAAACAAAATGCCTAGGGTGAGCTAGGAATTTATTTTCCTCATTCTCAATGAAAACTTTTTTCAATGGAAAATGTTTTCCATCCAACCAAACAACATAAAACATCATTTTCTTTCACTTTTAGGAAAACATTTTCCATCCAACCAAACACCCCCTAAGAGAATTGCATAAGAAGAAGAGACTGGCAGAAGAAAGGAGGAGAATTTTAGGGTAGACATAGGAAGAAAACTTAATAATTTGTATTCATTTCATCCCTCCTCTTCTCTAAGCATTCTCTGAAAATTTAAAGGAAAACAAAAGTATTTGATTCTCATTCCAAATGTTTTTGGGTGAATTTTGCAGGGTTTCAGGAAGATTGATCCAGAGAGATGGGAGTTCGCGAATGAGGCGTTTTTGAGGGGGAACAGGCATATGTTGAAGAACATAAGGAGAAAAAGGACGCCGAGTTCTCAGCCCGTTCCGCCGCACCAAGCGCACGCAGTGGGGCCGTGTGTGGAGGTAATCGTTATGCGTTGGACCCGTGTCCAGCAAGCATGCTGGACATGGGCAACAGTGCCGTTAGGCACTGTTATCTCCTTTTTTTTTTTTTTTTTCAGACCGCTTCATTGTAAGAGTATATGTTCATAATTTTATTACTATATGTTAATAACTATACATTCATAACTCCATAATTTTACGTTCATAAGTCCATAACTGTACATTCATAACTCCATAACTGTACATTCATAATTTTCGAAGCTCTATGTTCACAATTTTAGAGCTCTATGTTCATAATTTTATCACTATATGTTCATAATTGTAAGTTCATAATGTTAGAGCTCTTTGTTCATAATTCGATCAATAACTGTACATTCATAATTCCATACTGTAGATTCATAATCTCATAACTGTAGATTCATAACTCCATAACTGTAGATTCATAACTCTATAATTGTACATTCATAACTCCATAACTGTACATTCATAATCTTCGAAGCTCTATATTCACAATTTTAAAGCTCCATGGTCATAATTTTATGACTATATATGTTCATAATTGTAAATTCATAATGTTAGAGCTCTGTGTTCATAATTTCATAATTGCATAACTGTATATTCATAACGGCATAACTGTACATTCATAACGGCATAACTGTACATTCATAATCCAAAAAAAAAAAAAATAACGCCGTTAACGGCAAAACGCGCGCGTATTTTTTTTTTTTAACTAAATTACGCGTTTTTTTTTAAAACGACGTCGTTTTGGGCCCGTGTCCACAATTCAATGTGGACACGGGTCCAGGGCATAATTTGCGGCAAATTATGCCCTGGACCCGTGTCCACATTGAATTGTGGACACGGGCCCAAAACGACGTCGTTTTTAAAAAAAAACGCGTCATTTAGTTTAAAAAAAAAAAATCGCGCACGTTTTGGCGTTAACGACATTATTTTTTTTTTTGAATTACGAATGTACAGGTATGCCGTTATGAATGTACAGTTATGCCGTTATAAATATACAGTTATGCAATTATGAAATTATGAACACAGAGCTCTAACATTATGAACTTACAATTATGAACATATATAGTGATAAAATTATGACCATGGAGCTTTAAAATTGTGAATATAGAGCTTCGAAGATTATGAATGTACAGTTATGGAGTTATGAATGTACAGTTATAGAGTTATGAATCTACAGTTATGGAGTTATGAATCTACAGTTATGAGATTATGAATCTACAGTATGGAATTATGAATGTACAGTTATTGATCGAATTATGAACAAAGAGCTCTAACATTATGAACTTACAATTATGAACATATAGCGATAAAATTATGAACATAGAGCTCTAAAATTGTGAACACCTTTCGAAAATTATGAATGTACAATTATGGAGTTATGAATGTACAGTTATAGAGTTATGAATGTACAGTTATAGAGTTATGAATGTATAGTTATTAACATATAGTAATAAAATTATGAACATATACTCTTACAATGAAGCGGTCTGAAAAAAAAAATGAGATAACAGTGCCTAATGGCACTGTTACCCGTGTCCAACAAGCATGTTGGACACGGGTCCAACGCATAACGATTGATAATTTGCCGTGTGGAAGTATGATTGCGGCAGTAGATCCAGAATCAAAATTATTTCTAAAAGCATCCTTCATGTGAAAAAGTATACATCAGAAATAGCAGCATTAGATGAATCTGAATCTGGTCAACCCAAGAAAAATTATTCAAGACTCACCCTTGAAAATGCAGAATCAATATCACCAATTGCTCTTAGCAGTTAGCACTGCTTCCTTGAATATTTCCAATGGAAAAGATTCATCAAAGATTGATGACAAACTCAGCTTAAGGCTATAAGAATAAGGACGGCTCAATTATACATTTATACTCCCTAGGTATTCATGAAATCTCAAAGTAGACATTGGAGATAACACTGTTTAAATTTCTGACAATATGCAAAAATTTCTTTCCATGAATTCTAACACCCCAGTAATTTCTGTAATAAGAACAACCACTGAAACTTGTTCGCAAAAGGAGAAGGACTACCTCCCAAATTTCAACTGATGCTGGCCCAATTCCTCATTACATCATTCCCTCTTACATTTGGTAGCCATCCCCTCAATTTCCTTAATAGGACGGAAAACGTTGTGTCAAGAAGAAAGAACATATGCACTGTAAAGTACTCCAGTAATAGCTTTGATGCCATTTCACTTGCTTCAGCACCATTATGGCCATCAAAAACTCCAACAATACCAACTGTAACCTCTGTGATACCTTTAGGACCTGCAACGGTAAAGGAAAAGGGTGACAACAACCAACAGTGTGCGGATACTAATTCTAGACAAACAGCCCCCTTCTAGTGATTACCAAATCCTCTAAAAATATGTCATCTCAAATTCAGTATCTGGTGAACACTAGTTTTATATCTGATTAGAAGAAATCTATAGTAACAGCAGTGCTCTGCTGTCCAAGTTAATTAGTCATAGTCCTTCAAATTTCAAAATTTAACCAATCATAATTCTTTTATAAGGATCATGAGTGATTAACTTGAACCAAAAATGATAATAATTTAAAAATCGAATAATCACGGGTGATCAATTTGAAAATTTATAATTAAACGTGAAAAATTACTATACTCAAAAGACCTAATAGGATATTAACTCTTCGAACTATATATTAATTTTTATTTTTCAGATATAACCAAGCCCAATTTAAAATTTAATCAAACTAGACCGACCCAATGACGCGTGTTTTACACCACCACCAGGCACCAACGGGTAACATGTAATACTACGTATAGCTGGTATAAGTTCTCCATTCAAGGATGTGCACTGTTGCGCAGCTGACCCATTCTCCTTATTTAATTTATTCAGTTTTTTTTTTTTTTTAATTGCAAATTGCAGGAAGTTTCGAATTTTCGAAGCATTACACTTCGCAAGATCTAGTAAAAACTAGAAGGTTGTAGAAGCCTCCATTTGCATATGGCTTCGAATAAAATAAATTATCTTTTTATTTGTGTTCTTGTTAATGACAAGAAGTCAAGAATAGTACTATTTTTTATCGTATTTTTCGAGCCTGTCGGCCTACCAGCGCTCATCTGGTGGCTGGTGCTTATCCTCTGCCCTGAATCCAGAGCGGCGACCTCTTTTATGCATTTTTTATTAATTGTTTTTCTGAATTATTTAATTCTTCGTAATATAAAAATATTAACATGCCAGCTTGATGACACGTGTAAACATTTTAGCACTTGACATTGGCACGTGGCGTGTTGCTCTTGAGTATTAAGATTCGCACGAAAAGTGAAAACGAATCTCCATAATCTCACCAAAAGACTACAAATTAAACAGAGTTTATGTGTCATTATTTTATTTATAGATCCATTAGTATAAGAAAAATAATATTTTTTATTTGTTTAGTTGCGATTGTGGTATCTAATTATTCACTTAATGATTTCCATTGTTAATTTTGTCCCTTCGTTTTATCAAGAGATCAAATATTTTACGTTATTAAAAAAACAGGTGAACTAAAATAATAATTTGAATGATTAATTTACATTAGAATTAAAACTAAGAAATCTCAAAGTATCTTTGTTGTCACTGATATTAATACTAATAGGGAATATACCATGGGTTACTTATTGAGAATATACCATTGCCTTAACTTTCTGAGCTCAGTCCCGACTTTACATGGCACTCAAAACCGAGCCCATTTACTTAGCCCTCAGAGATGAACCTCATCGCATACACTTAAGCCGAGCCTATTAATCGTTGGTTATTCTGTGATAATGCTACACGTGTATGTTCTTCCTTAGCCACCGAGACCACTGAGTGCATGGAGAACACATATCACGCATGCCAACCTCCGACATGTGTCTCATCATCTTGCCTATAAAATACCCCGTGGAGCACCTAAGAAGGGGACTTTTGAAATTTTCTACACACTATCCTTTAGCTCGGGAACCTCTGACTCATTGTCACATCATCCAAGCTCAATGACTTAAACCAACAAGCAAACTAAGTACTGGGACAGTAGCCGGAACTGACCTTATTACCGTAGAGAATAGTAGAAGCATGTATTTACTACATCAAATACAAATAGTCATTACTGCTAACTAATGCGACAATCGACAATCACATATGGTTTAAAATAACAAAACAATAATCAAAATAGGTGATTAAGCTGATAGTTCACCATTCTTGTATCAAAATGTTACAAATTTGATTATTTACAACACCCTTTCGGTCAAATTTGTTGTACACGATATTCTTAGTGTGATTTACCTCATATGCATATTCTTAGTGAATGCGAGTTTCCCTCGTCATACGAACGCAAAGACCTATCCCCAATCCTGCCCTGAAAGCATGTAGAAAAGGTAAATGACAAATGTGCCTAACTTACTTTAACAATTTTTTATTATTATTTTTTTTTTTGGAGAAATAGGGGGCTACCTAGCTAATCTAGTGCGTCATTGGTCACACCAAGCTCACTATCCATACTCAGGATGTCACGAACCTCCATTGGTGGGCAATAGAAGTCTATCCACTCGTACTGTCTTCGTGGGGCTTCCCTAGCCAACTAGTCTGCAATATCATTTTTCTCACAGGAGATATACTCAATACTAACAACCCACTCCTCCGTTAGCAATTCCCCACTCTACTTGACTAGGGTTCCACAGTGACCAAGGAGATCGAGATTTTCATTTAGCCATTCCATCGTTTTGCAGTTGGATCTTTCGCTTTCCTATAAAGTTCTCAATCACTATCCAAAAGTGTGCTATAAGTAAAATTCGTATTATGATCATAGTTAGCAATCATGATCTAAATTAGTTAATGTTTTCATACCTGACCAGTTCAAATAAAAAATGTCATTAGTTAACTACCATAATTAGATACTATAACCGACAAAGTGTAACAGTAGTAGGTGTGAAATCCTTCCTAGGAGCTTTGTGATAATGGAGATGAAGTGCGTACGGCAGGTTTCCATGATGTCACCCAATCAAATTTCATAAACTTGCGTTGAAAACCAAAGCCATTCCTTTCCACCATATGTGTGGTCCCATCCCATTCCTCCACCATATCCAATCTAGCCCACTCCCTCTTTCCCACCCCCATTATGAATTCCAGAACCTTCCAAAGAGCCTTCTCTCCAATTTCCATTCTGCCAAAACCACAAAACCGCAAATAATAAATAAATAAATACCGTGGATGGGAAGGATGCCAGGAAGTCCAGAACCTTCCATAGGTCAATTATCTTCTCTGTCCGTATATAATAACGCATAATTAACAGAAATAATTACCCTGTAAATTTCCTTAATCATTCTCTTGTTATGGAGGTGTTAAGGTTTTGCCATTGACCAACCAACTTCTTTAACGGCACAAACGACCTTCCCAAACGAGAAATCACGGCTCTCTGGAAAGCCCTTTAAAAAGTTCCCCTTTGTCCCTCCTTGTAATGCATGTCAACTTCATGCGACTTCTTCTCGAAAGTTCCTCGCTCTCTGTTTCTTCTTAATCTTCTTCTTCTTCTCCTTCTTCTCTTGTTGATATTTTGTTCCTCCAATCCACGGTCAACAATCTCTTTTGACTGCTAGTATACCTGTTAGTTGCTTTTTCTTCACAAGAAAAGTATAAAGCTTTTGCGGTAGTAGTAGTGGCGATGGATTTAGTTTACCATGTTAAGGAGGAGTATCCGGCGGGATCGAGTTCGTCGGCGGGGGGCGGCGGCGGCGGAGACCCGGTGGTGATTCCGCCGCCGCAGCCGATGGAGGGGCTTCATGACATCGGGCCTCCGCCATTCCTGATAAAGACTTATGATATGGTGGATGATCCTGGTACTAATCGTGTTGTTTCTTGGAGCAGAGGCGGCCACAGCTTCGTTGTCTGGGATCCCCACGCCTTCTCTACTAATCTCCTCCCCAGATTCTTCAAGCACAACAACTTCTCCAGCTTCGTCCGCCAGCTCAATACTTATGTAAGTTCACAATTTACAAACCTCTCTCCAGCTCAAATGGCTACAGAGTAAAATGCCTCTTTTTTCTTTTCTCCCAAACCAAGCTTTAACTTTAGTCGAAATTATAATTTTGTGGTTATCAAATAAACAGTCAAATTAACTTGATTTGCTGGCGAGTAAAATTTTTGGTTTAGAAATTGGAAAATTAAGGGTGTATTTGGTTCATGGATTTATATACCAAAGAATTAAAATCATGTGTTTGATTGACAATTTTACAAAACAAACTATGAATTTGATTACTCCTCAATTCCCTAATTAAAAATCACGTGTATCATTCCATCTTAATAATTTGTATTCATTTCATCCCTCCTCTTCTCTAAGCATTCTCTGGAAATTTAAAGGAAAGCGAAAGTATTTGATTCTCATTCCGAATGTTTTTGGGTGAATTTTGCAGGGTTTCAGGAAGATTGATCCAGAGAGATGGGAGTTCGCGAATGAGGCGTTTCTGAGGGGGAACAGGCATATGTTGAAGAACATAAGGAGAAAAAGGACGCCGAGTTCCCAGCCCGTTCCGGCGCACCAAGCGCACGCAGTGGGGCCGTGTGTGGAAGTAGGGCGGTTCGGAGTCGAAATCGACGCAGAAGTGGACGGATTGCGGCGAGACAAGCAGGTGTTGATGATGGAGCTCGTGAAGCTCCGGCAGCAGCAGCAGACCACCAGAGCCTACCTGCGAGCAATGGAGGTGAGGTTACAAGGCACGGAGAGAAAACAGCAACAGATGATGAATTTCCTCGCCAGAGCCATGCAAAACCCAGAGTTTCTGCAGCAATTGCTGGCGCAGAAGGAGAAAAGGCGAGAGCTTGAAGACGCAATTACCAAGAAACGGCGCCGGCCGATTGATCAAGGCCCGAGTGACAGTCGGGCCGCCGCCGCCATTAAACCCGAGCCCTTAGAACTCTCCAACGGAGACCCGTACGGATTCCAGGTTTCAGAACTGGAAGCCCTTGCATTGGAAATGCAGGGATATGGCCGAGCAAGAAGAGAGATAGAGGAGGAGGAGGAGAATGATGATCATGGATTTGAACAGTTTCAGAGCGAAAGCTCATATAAAGAACTGGATGAAGGATTTTGGCAGGACTTTTTCAATGAAGGATTCGATGAAGCATTGAAGGAAGAAGGTGAAGAGGGAGATGTCAATGTTTTGGCAGATAGGTTAGGTTTCTTGGGTTCAAATTCAAGTCCAAAGTAGCAACTTGGAGTCAATGTGAAATTGTATCACAGTATGGTCGCTTGGGTTCTAAGTAACAATTTGGAGTCGATGTGAAATCGTATCGTGGTATGATCGCTCTCGTTCTTGAAGAAGCGGATCGAATCATCACTCTTGTCCCGAAAGAGTTGAAGTGGGATCGTATCATCGTTCCGGCCAGCAAGGAGGGTCACATTAACTACTAATGTATTCAATCTCATGATCTTGTGACTTGTGTTTAATGCTATATAGTGTATCTGTCTTGTTCTGTGTAGTTAGGTTCCTTGCCTGAAGATGAAGCTCAAAGTAGAAACGGTAGCTGGAACTGGTTCTCATCATCTCAAATTCTCAACCCCTTGGTAGTTCTTTACATCTTTTGAATGTTTCCTGGTACCCCATTTGGGGTAATTTAGGCCTTTATTGTTAAGATTTCTTCTGGTTTTCTTGGACTTTGACAGGAAACATTCTTCAAAAAAGCATCTATCCGACCACGAAAAAACCTCGTTTTCTGGTGTTTTCAACTCCTCTTATTACCTATTTTAATGCTAATAGATAGCTAGTTCCATTTTGCTGTCCATCTGCCGCATCTCTGCCCCTTAACTCTTTGCTCTTTTTATCCTACTGCAGACTTCAGGTTTTTGCTTGGAAAGATTTTCTTGAAGCTCATCTCCTCATGTCTAAAGGTTACTATTTTAGTATGTTTACATTCAATGATACTATAAAGTATAAACTATATGTTTTTATGTCAATAAAACTCAGCACATTTAGATTGGATTCTCATCTGCATTCAAAAAAAAAAAAAGATTGGATTCTCATCTCCTCCATCTAGTCGACTCATACCTAGAAATGAAAGAAAAAAGTGCACAGTAAAGCATAGTTGGTTTCAGTACACATTCCAATAACCTTGTGGTCTTAGTGATACGAAGTTACTCTCTAGATATTCTTCATAAATCAAATAAAAGCTCACTAGGCATTACACATGTCACATTTTGATTTGAATCTTACCTCGCATGCCACATTTAAATTGGAATCTCACCTAACTTGCCATGTACCTTTAAAAAAAAATGATGCACAGTAAATAGTAGTTTGATTCCTTAGTGGAACAGTGTTTGTTAGTGTCTGATATTTGTGGTCAGGAAAGATTGGTCGGAATCAATATTTGTTGTGATTGGAGCTTCCAAATGTGCGAATTCTAGACACAAGTCTTTGAGAATGAGAAGATATACATATACGGAGTATATAACAAAGTGAATATTCTTCTGTTTCGATGTAACCCATTTCATTAAGTGCACTGGCCCATATTCGTGAAGCGCATGTTGTAACTCGTATGTTGTTTGGGCCTGCTCTAAGAAGCCCACATCAACTGTTGCTTAAAAACAAGATGAGAAAATAGTATGGAGTACAATATTGCCCATTGTTATACCATGGACCAGGGTTCATATTGCATTGTGAATCCTGATACAAAGATATTGTATCTTCAGTTAATATATTCTGTATTTACAGTTAACAGTTTTTGTACATGTAAATAAATAACTTGATAATTGTGACACATAATATGATAGCTACATGTATAGAATGTGTCAACTATAAATATAGAATATGACTTGATAATTGCTGACACATAATATGATAGTTGCAAGTATAGAAACTATTAACTGCATGTACAAAATGTGTCAACTATAAGTACAAAATCTGAAGGTTATTTTTGAATCAGGGTCTACAATGCAAGGTAGACCTTGATCCATGGTATAATTTGCCCAATATTGCGGGACAAAAATAAATATGCTTCCTTGGAAGGAGTGGTCATCCGATGGAGTGGGTAAAACAGGACTTTCGTATGATCGTATCTAAATATTATGAGTTTGATTCCTGCCAGCACTCACTTGCTCGAATCTGTCACACATAATTTTTCTAGTGCGATTTACTTCTTTTATATAATTGCCTGCTTATCCAAATATTTACACTTTCTTTTAAACAATGAAATGTACATGTTCAAGTCCATCCCCCCTATCCCACATCATATGTGTACTAACAGGGAGTTTGGTTGGACTTGGAGGGGGAGGGGGGAATTATGTGGGAAAGGAATTGTAATTCCATGGGAGTTGAATTACTGGGAATAAAGTGAGAATTTAAATTTCAGTGTTTGGTTGACAGGAATAGAATTACTGGGAATTTCAATTCCAATGTTTGGTATATATGGGAATTGAAAGGGAATAAGTAGTATAAAGTAAAAAATGTCTATTATTGTTGTTAGACATTAATTTTAGGTTAAAAAAGGAAGGGATAATTTTGACTCATCACTATTTTTTTTCCCAGGAATTAAAATCCCAGGGGGACATGGGATTTTAATTCCATGAAAATGGGGGAATTACAATTCCATGGAATTGCAATTCCCTCCAACCAAACTACAGAATTTAATGGTCTTTGGAATTAGGTAGGAATTAAGTGGGAAGGGAATTTAAAATCCCTCCAACCAAACGCCCTGTAAAAGTTCATCTCCACGGCTTCTTTCTTCTTTGGAATAAGGATCAAATAGGCCATCGAACTACACTCGAAAATGCAATCAGGCCATTGAACTCAAAAAAAGTGCAATTGGGTCCCTCAACAACACAAAATGTTGCAATTAAGCCAAAAATGACTTGTTTACCTAATGAGTAGGTTACCATATATTAAAATAATGTTTTTTTATTTTTATTTTAATAATTTAAAATAATAAAACTAAATTTAAAAAAAAAAAAAAAAAAAAAAAAAAAAAAAAACAGATTTTCAGTTTCGTCTCCGCTGCCGGAGACGAAGAACGAGTCTTCGTCTCCGGCAGCCTGGAGACGAAGAACGAGTCTTCGTCTCCGGCAGCCTGGAGACGAAGAACCTTCTTCGTCCCTGGCCGGAGACGAAGAAGGTCCATGCCGGAGACGAACCTCTTCGTCTCCGGCAGCCTGAAGACGAAGGGACACGAAGAGGTCCCTTCGTCTCTAGGCTGCCGGAGACGAAGAGGTTCGTCTCCGGCCAGGGACGAAGAGCTCTTCGTCCCCGGTCGGAGACGAAGACCAGGCTGCCGGAGACGAAGATTGGTTCTTCGTCTCCGGCGGCAAACCTGTTTTTTTTTTTTTTTTGTTATTTTAAATTTTATAATAAAATAAAAAAATTATTATTTTAAAGTGATAACCTCCACATCAGCAAGTTAACAAGTAAACAGGTTATTTTTGGTCGAATTGCAACATTTTGTGCTGTTCAGTGGCCAAATTGCATTCTTTTTGAGTTCAGTGGCCTAATTGCATTTCCTTGTGTAGTTCGATGGCCTATTTGACCCTTATTCCTTCTTCTTTTGAGCTCTGGTTTTCTTTATCTGGTGGTGATGATTTTGCAAATTTTGCCTCTTTTGTTTGCTATCGGCTTGTATTGACTAGTGTATGCCCCATGTTCTTTTGTATATATTTCTATTGGTTCTAATTCAATTTACCTGTACCCAAAAAAGAAAGAAAAAACCTCAAAATTTCAATTAAGCAATACACATATATGGATTTCAATATTGCATTTTTTTCTTAGTAATTCTTTAGAGTTAACAAATTTCCTCAAGTACTAAACCAACACTTTTGACGATAACTAATGATCAAATGTGAACACACTAAACAACAACTATTGCATTACACCATAACTATTTAAAAAAAAAAAAGTAAAAAACAAAACGATATTTCCTAGTTTCCTACAATCTTGAAAAGTAGTACCGTGCTAACATGTTCTTAGCTAAACAGATACACTATTTTTAAAAAGGTTAATAATTTTTGTGTGACGCCCGAAATTAACGTTGAACTTAAAAGGAGCATACAGTAAATTCGGTTGTAATAATGTAGCCAACTAGTCATGTTGTTCTCAACAAGTTGAATCCCCAACTCCAAAGTCCTCCACGCGGGCCCGACAGAGTATTTGGAATTATATTGTGGACCGCGGTCCACAATGCATTGTGATCCAGGCATCAAATATATACTACAGTTTCATTTTGTATACACTGCTGTTTCATTTCAACACAATTACAATTTCATTTGATAATATAAAAATGAGACCGTGTCAGTTTAGATATACTATAGTGTATGCCGTTTTGGACCATGGTCCGCAGTATAATTGTTGTCTGGAATGATGTAAATCATGATAACTCAGGTGAACACATAGGCTAGATCTTTACTTACTGCACACAAGGAACCCTCTCACTTTGAGAGGTTACTCCCACACTATTGCTCTCATAAGACTCGATTCCTGGTGATTACTCTCAAATTTCACTTATGTGACCAACTGAATTGCCATGCGGGGTGCAGCCAACTAGCCCTGAAGAGTTGGAACGTTGCTTACGATAATACCATGAAGTGTCAAGTGTCACGTCACAATTGTAAACAGCGCTGCTAGCTAGTGCCGCACATGGATCGGAACACAAAAATAGGTAGGCGAAAGCAACTGCAACTGAGCGTTAAGCAAGTTAAATTGACGCCCCAAAACGAGAAGATTACAGGAACATAGGTGGGGAGTGAGTGAGGAGATTAATGTGCTTTCATCCAACATTAATATGGAAAAAGACAAAACCAACAGAGAGATAGAGAGAAAGAGAGGGACCCTTTTTTAGTACATGCAAAATATATGAAAAAATTGAATAGTTATTCATAAACTTTAACTAATTAGTGAAGGGAAAGAACTCTTGTATTCTATAAACTACAAAGAGCGAGGAAACTTGAAACCATTGCTCTTGGACAAGTTCAACGGTATAGTGGTGAAATCGGAATACCTAAATTATTAAAAAGAAAAGAAAATGAGGATGTATTAATCAAATATTGGCATATTGCTTTTTTTTTTTTTTTTTTTTTTTTTTACAACATTCCTATTTTCACTAATGTGAGACTAATTCAAATTTAATTTGAGTTAGGTAAGTAGGATTTGACTTAATTATTTGGGGAAGACCAAATTCTTTGGACTCTTTGAATTCAATTTGAGTTACGCCCATAAAATATAACTTATTTGGACAAGGCCAAACTCAAAACTTTTTTTTTTTTTACTACTGACTCTGTTATAATGCAGTATCTGTTCATAACTATTTTTTTCAACTTACTAAAGCATAAAAATCAATATATACTGCATTCACTGAGCCTCGAACTCACAACCTCCCATATGGGAGAGCTTTTGCCACTACAACTCTTTAACATAACAAGTATACAAAAACCAAACTTCAGCTCTGACCTTACAATTACAATAACAACCTCAATTACCACTAATGATGCTTTTCTTAACACTACATTATCACCTTTAAGGAACAAGGAAAGAGGCCAAGAGTAGTGCACTTGCTAGCTAGCTGCATGAGAGAATCTTGGAATAGAAGAACCCGTGACCCAAACCTGGCCCGCACCAGTCCCATATATTCTCTCCCCCCCCCCCAACCCCACCCACCCCACCCCACCCCACCACCAGGCTGCTGCTAATAATATGCCCTCTTTCTCACTCAATAGGAAAAAAAATAAATTTATTGGCAATCATAACAATTCACAAGAGCACTTTACTCATCCCTTCTTCAGAAAAATCCAATCACAAAATTTTTAATTTCCTTAAAAAAAAAAAAAAATCGTGTAGTTGTATACGGCAAGATTGATTATTTTAACGTGCGTACGACATTTAGGTAGGATAATGCAAAGTGGTGTTTTGAATATCTTGTAAGTAGCAGCAAGCATCTATTGTACGTTGTCTTTAAAGGTGAACATATGGAACCTTATCGCAAAAGAGATTAAAGTGGAGGAACATGAATCTCAGTGGAAAGTATGGCCGTCTGATTCATTTATTTAGATCAAAGATCAGCCGGCATAGGATTCCCCCTGCAAATTAAATCGACATTTTAACTCTAAATTTTAAAAAAATATCTCTTTTTTTCATCAGCATTTTTTTTTTATCACATAACATCTCACGTTATTATTAGAAGTAGACTTCAAAAGATTCATTTATTTAGATCAAAGATCAGCTCGCATACTATGGATTCCCAAGCTGATTGACATTTTAACTATAAATTTTGGAAAATGTTTCTTTCCTCCGCATTTTTCACCCCCTAGCATATCACGTTACATTACTATTAGGACTAGATCAGACTTTAAAGATTCATTAATTTAGATCAAGGTTGAAAAAATCGCTAGGCGCCCTCTAGGTGTCTGGGGACCGCCTAGAAGACCTAGGCGGCGGGCGCCTAAAGCACCTAGGTGGCCGACCGCCTAGGCGCGATTTTTGCAACATTGATTTAAATCAAAGATCGGCGCACATAGAATTCCCCGCTCAATAGCAGTATTTTAACTCTAAATTTTTGAAAATGTTTTTTATTTCACTTGCAAACATGCTTTCTCATAGTTACTAAGTTAAATGGTCCACTAAGTTAACTCATTTTTACCAATAGAAAACATGATTTGACATTTTTTTTTTGACAACATTTGACATTGTTTAAGTGACAATAAATAAAATGCGGTAAAAATTGAAAAGTGAAGGAGAGTAACACAACACAATTCTTAAATTTTTATCTTTATATTGAACACGCTAGAAACTTAAATTGTTGGGACGAAATTAAAACCCGATCGCCCCCCATTACGACAAACGTCATTATAGTAGTTAACAAGTAATATATTTGAATCAAACAATGAGAATAACTTACAAAAACACTAGACCAAACTATCAAGTCCAACACATACACAATATTAATCCTCTACGGTAAAAAAAAAAAAAAAAAAAAAAAAAAAAAAAAAAAAAAAAAAAAAAAAACCCTAATCGATCTTAAGTAAAATTCTATGAAGAACGACAGTATAGCCCAAAGTGCCACTTGCAACTAAGGGATGTACATTCTAGCAAGAAAATTTGTGGCTCTATACTACTCACAAGTCACAATAGACATGATATATAATTGAAGTCTTGAATTTGAACTTTATTATTAGAATGAGGGTTTTAGATTAATTAGTGGGTAATTTTAGATTACAATTAAAGCTAAATAAGGTAGATTTACATATATAATAAAAGTAATGGTTGGAGAGATGGGTCCTAGATGAGCTTCTTGCATGTTGCCGGCTAGTTGCATGGTTGACACCCCACGTACTCCTTTGTCTTTGTGCTTTTTAAGTTAATGGAATTAAAGGGCTGCCATGCTTTAATTTCGTGTCACCCCATGCCGTTTCAAGAAGCCAATCCCTTATGCCTCTAACTTTTTATAAGTTTGAACTCAAATTTAAGCGTCTCTCACGTACCGTCAAAATAATGGACATATATATCGAATAAATTGAGGGATATAACTTTACTAATAGACAAACCCCCAAATGCTTGTATAACCATAACAAGTTCCCTACACCCGCTGTGACCAAAGGACCATAATGAGATAAATTAGCGTAAGTTGTTCATAGTTGATCGACTCAAACTAAGTATGTCAATAGGCCACACTCTCATTGAGAATCGAACTTCTAACCTTGTGATTACCAAGTCGATCAACAAACTGAACAACTTGATTGGGGTTGTTCATCTCTCTAACTTAGAATGTACGTTGTAAGTTGTAACATATTTCCTTACGTAAAAAAAAAAAAAAAAAAAAAAAAGAAGCTTTGGACGACATAAAACATATACCAATAATCCGCCGTACGTCGTCAATGCAGTTAACTAATTAAGGTAGGATGGAAAAAAAATTGCTTTACTATGGTTATAATTAATATATGATTCATGCATCATTTTTTTCAATTCATTCTTAGGTGGCTTTGGGTTTGGGTTTGGAATAACATAAAGTTGCATAAGAGAAAAGGAAAAGAACTTCTAAAATCTCCCATGGCTGGTTAAACATTTTATCGTAATGAATAAGAAAAATGATACCATTCCTTAAAGACAGTGAAATCTCAATCGGTTAACACGTAGATAATTTAATGGCAATACATTTAGTCGACACTACATTAATGTGTAATAACGTAACTCAAACCGTGAATCACACAAAAAAAATTATGTGCAATGAACTCCATCGAGAGAGTGTTGAAAAGAACAATTATTGAACTTGTAACGTTTTAGTATAAAATTATGTTCTACTCACTCAATCACTTCTTTTCGAGCAAATTGAACTTAAGGATTACATTTATTGGTATAATAATAATAATAATAATAATAATAATAATAATAATAATAATAATTTAGATCAGACAAAGTATGACATGGGGGAATATATATTAACATTATTAAGTGCCAACGGCCTATAGGTGGGGATGCATGAGATATAATTGTATTAATTGCTTAATAATTGAAACGTTTGTAGACTCAATTAAATTAATAATAATGAAGTTAAACATGGAATAAATTGAGTAAAAAATTAATGAAAAGAGAATTGGGGCAGGTGAAAAGGTGATTACAACCTTAAACAAACACTGCATGGGCTTTTTGTGTGTTTGGGAAACGGTATAATTGGAAGGTCAATAGGGGGTATGTAATGCGTAATATAATTCGATTATGATAGAAGTGGGGCTATTTAAAAGCTAAGGCAGAGAGGAGGGGTATGTACAGTACAGTGATGATCATCCTCATCTTCACCATCACCTTTGCCTTTAAGCTTTTATAGCCTCACTACAGCATGCAATTCAAAGTCGTCGCAATCCTTGGCTATACTTTAGGTCGTCCTTATATTTCTCATTCATAAATATCCTTAGCTAGCTACACTTTAGCTTCTTACCAACTCCCTACATACTAAGCTACCAATCGAGATTGACCCTTTTAGGGATTTGCTGGTGTCAAACGAATTAGACACAGAAAATCAGCTTAGGTTCTTCATATTTTTTATTTATGAAAAAGTTTGCAGCCGCTATTTAAAGGTGTGTTTTGGGTGACGAATTGAAGCTTGCTGTCTTGTAACCGATCACAAAAAGGTATAAACCAGTCAACGTTGCATATAACTGATTGACTCAAACCAAGAAAGTTAATAAACAGCTCAGAAGTGGAGTTGAACTTAGAACTTAGTTAGTTGCTCAAATCAAAAAGGTCAATAAGTAACTGTCATAGTTATGGAAGGTCAACTTAAAAATTTGTCATTACCAAGCTAATTCTTAACTATAACTTGATTGGAAGTTGCACTTATTATCTTCAACGTAAATGAAAAAGTTAAATTACAGTGTTTAATAACTTATTCTTCCCAAACTTGTTTAATAAGTTATTAAAAGAAAACCATGTAGATAGACTACACATCATGCTATCTATTCACATCACCTACTTATTCTATGTCCTTATATTACCTAAGAGCAACCTCATTAGTCACGTTTTTCTATTAGTTTTTTGTGAGTCTCATCATCCACTATCTCACTAAATATCAAAAACTCTTCTTTGCTTTTAGTTTTTTTGTTGACCCATCATTTTATTCCACTATATTTTAATTATTATTTTTTCTTTATTATCATTATACAAATTATAATTACAATTATTATTTTCATTATATTGAAATTAAACATGTCAAAATTAAAATAAATTTATAATTATAAAATTTCAATTATTCTAATAATATGGTATCAAAATTATATACTACATTTATAATAATAATAATAATAATAATAATAATAATAATAATAATAATAATAATAATAATAAAGATTGACAAAATTAAATAAGGAAAACTAAAAAAAAAAACAAAAAAAAAAAACAAAAACAAAAACAAAAAACAAAAAAAAAAAAAAAAACAAAAAAAAAACAGTAGAGAAGTTGGCCGTTGCACGGCCATTGTTTTTTTTTTTTAATAAAATAAAATAATGCATGCATTCAGCGTGGTCGCCGGCCAGCTATTACACATGATGAAAATTTATGAATTTATCCAAAACACATACACCCTTAGATAGTGAATGTGTATTTCTTGATCACTGAAAAATAAGCTCATCATTGGTATTGTTCTCGAATTATTATATTGGTTTATAAAGTTCGGGTTATTATTATTGGAAATACAAAATTGGAATTGTACAAAGATGATTTTTATTGAAAAGAGAAATGCATTAATATAAAACCTCTTACATAAAGTCTTATCTGTTGCAATTAATACTATACAATATATTATTAGTACTGTGTATGTAATTTAAGATCTAGATTATGGAGGTTACCCCTAAATATGACTTACCTGCCCCCACCCTACCCCACATCCCAACATTGTAATGGAATGTGAAACTGTCATTTTCACAATTAATTGGCTAATCTGATTTGAAGTGAACAAGATAGAGATTATTGCACATGTTGGTCCAATTCTTAGTCCCATACAAAAATCATTGTTGGTCCAAATAGCAGTATAGTTATTGTAAAAATGTAATGAATCATGGAAACACTGGCACCTATATTCAAATTTTAATTAATATATGTAATATTATGATGCCACCACCCCGGCCCCCTCCTTCATCTTAGTCTGCCACAATAATCATCACATTCTGTATGCCTTTTTCTACCTACTGATAATTTCCATGTATACTCGCATACACTGTCACCCCCTTTATTCACATATATAGATACACTGATAGCTCTTATAGGAGAAGTGTCATTGGGTAGTGGGTAGGGAAAAGGAAAGCAAGTATTACTGTACATACATTGCCTGCCATCTCTCTTTCTTCCTGATTATTGCATGGTGTAATAGGCTTAGCACGTTAATTTTTGAGAGTGGGAAACACTATATATATATATATATATATATATATATATATATATATATATATATATATTAATTATCAAATTAATTATAACCCATCAAAGACATGCAAACCAACATGAATGCATACAATCTTCTATATACATACACACAAACTATTCCAAGGAAGTTTGTATGCATTTATCACGAATGGAAATTATGGAATTTCCGACCACCTGAAAGTGATCTTAAATCAAATCGAAAGCAAAAAGTGGTCGGAAATAGCAACAAAGGTTTTTCCGGATACCAAAAGTGATCCAAACAAGACTTTCGATTTGATTTAAGATCACTTTCAGGTGGTCGGAAATTTCATAATTTCCAACAGTGTATATATGTACAAGTTCGCAAGTTCTCATGGGATAAGGTCAGGGGTTCTCAGCTCATTGTGACATATATATATATATATATATATATATATATATATATATATATATAAATATATATATATATATATATATATATATATATATATATATATATATATATATATATATAGGGGATTGAGATCAAATGAGAACTACCCCGGATGAGAAGGTAAACGTTATAAAAAAATTAAAAAAAAAAAACTATTTGAAAAATAATTGACAATAATTTTTTAGAAGAGTTTTTAAATACAAAATCAGGCATTATATTTTTTTGAATGCAAATCAGGCATTATATATTTATACAAAAGTAATTACAAAAATGTCACCATTTTTTCAGGAAATACTTAGCCATGCTTTTCCATATGCACAATCAACATTACAATATAGTAATTTGTAGTTCTCACTGGAGGGAGGTTTTCATGATATCCTGCCCCCCTCTCTCTCTCTATATATATATATATACACACACATATATGTGTGTGTGTGTTTTGGTTGCTGCAGAGTTTTGAACAGACAAGCTATCTCTGCAAACCAAGGTCAGATAGTGACTTTGAGAATCACATAGCATCATCTATTCTCTCATCAGCAAGTATTTTGTCTTCTTTATTTTTTAGCCAATTACTATCCTTTCAATGGATGATGGTGAGGCCTTTCTGGGCTGGGGTACGGTCTAATTATCACTGCCATCTGTTACTATATATCGAACCCTTATTAGCTGTGTGTATGTGTGTGTGTAATCTAAAACCTGGGATTCTCTAAATCCTTGTCTGCCTGTCTTACACTTGTTGTTTTTCCGGCAAGCCTGTTTACTACGATTAAAAAAAAAAAAAAAAAAAAACAGAAAGATATTTTTTCTCTTTTTTGTTTGTACTTATCTGCAGATGCTTCAAGAATTCAAACACCAAACACACCTCCTCCTCAACAAGTACCAGAATACTTCTTCTTCTTCTTCTTCTCCTTCTTCCTTATCGTTACAAGCGGCCATGTTTCCTTCTGACCAAGAACTCAGTGTTTCTGCTTTTAACCCCATGCTTCATTCTGCTATCCAAGATGAACAGCCCCAGAAGATGAAGAAGAAGAGAAACCTCCCTGGGAATCCTGGTATGTATGTTATGATTTTCCCAGTAATTAAGTGGTGCAAGTTGACTAGGCTTATTAAGTAGTTTGGTTGGACTAAATAATTGATCGATCGTACAGATCCGGAGGCCGAGGTGATCGCCTTGTCGCCGAAGACGCTGATGGCGACGAACCGGTTCGTGTGCGAGATCTGCAACAAGGGGTTCCAGAGAGATCAGAACCTGCAGCTTCACCGGCGAGGCCACAACCTGCCATGGAAGCTGAAGCAAAGGAGCAACAAGGAGAACCGGAAGAGAGTTTACGTTTGCCCGGAGCCCACCTGCGTTCACCACCACCCTTCTAGGGCTCTCGGAGACCTCACCGGAATCAAGAAACACTTCTGCAGAAAACACGGCGAGAAGAAATGGAAGTGCGAAAAGTGCTCCAAGTTTTACGCGGTTCAATCGGATTGGAAAGCCCACTCTAAAACCTGCGGAACTAGAGAGTACAGATGTGACTGTGGAACCCTCTTCTCCAGGTATATATCATCTTTTCATATCCATTCTTATCAATAATTAAATGAATTCTCGTCAATTTTAAAAAACCATTTTAGTAAACAAGTTTAATACTGCTTTTGTTTCTTCAATTTTCTAATTTTCTAAAAAAAAAATGACTCATTTCTTCAGTTACTAACCACACATCAATTTTGGTGGTTTCTTCAAAAGTAGGAATAGAATTCTCATATGCCATTAGAACAGAGGGCAAGTTTTTTGTTTTTCCTTTGCCTTCTCTTTTGTTTTATGTGTTGTTTGGTGGTTGTTATCCACAAGAGAGCGGTAAGCTCTGAGTGGGGATGTCTGCTTTTTGAATGTGGTGACAGATAGCATAGAAACAGACACCATTAATGCAAGTCCCAGTTCACTGAGATACATTCATAGATTATTTAACAAATAAAAAATAATTGCATTCTTCTAAGTATATTTTGGTTTATATTGAAAGCTAAGGAAATTTCTGGGAAGGTTAATAATGGAGGGTCACGGTGTCTGAGAACAAATGATGAATTTCTTTTTTTGTCTACCCAAAAGATACAAAAGCTTGAGGACTTTTGTACCTATGCGTACACTCATGGCTTGAGAATCTTGACGCTGTTAAATTTTCATGGAGGGCATGATTGAATCACTTCAAAAAATGTGACAATTAAGTGCTCCAATTTCACTTTCTCATAGGCAAAATGGTCTAGTCCATCATTGTACTAGTTAACATTTTTCATGAATTTCTGCAACCTATATATGTGGTCTCTAAGAACGTACAGGAATAATAGGTAGAAATTTAGACAACATTGTAGTGGTTTAGGAGTTAGTATGGTACGATGGTATGTTCTTTCACTTCTTTGTTTGTTTGTTTTTAAAGTGATCAGAAAAATTCATAATCCCTATTCGAAGTGTGCTGGGTAAATTTCACCATGTAATCCCCCGATAAAGGATTACAATGAGATAAATCAAGTTTAGATTGTTCATTTTTGACCAGTTCAAATCAAGATGGCCAATAAATTATTCTCAGTATAATTTGTAACGCATTTTTGCATGGTCGGAGAGGCGCAGATTTCGAGAAGGTGTTTGAGGCAGTGCGCTTTCGTTCATGGCCAGAGAGAAAGGGCGTTTTGCTTTGCATGCGGACATTTACATTAGACATCAGTCAACTGTCATGTCTCTATCTCTCACTCTCCCCAAAACTTACGTTAGTTTGGTCTCTCATTGGACTTTCGTTTTGACCCAACAACGTAAAATCTTATAATCTAAAAACCACATAATTGTACGTATGCCTTGAATTCTGAATGGTGATGATGGAAATTGTTTAGGATTCACCGTAATTATATGCGTTGTTCATTTGTTCATTTGATTACTGTTGTTGATCCATAGCTGATATGTATGTTTATTGCAGAAAGGATAGCTTTATAACGCACAGGGCATTCTGTGACGCTTTGGCTGAAGAAAGTGCGAGACTTTCTGCAAATTCAATATTACTCATGCACCCTACTTCCACCGCCTCGCTTACTACTGGGGCGCCGCCTAATACTGCTCAAATGCAACCCAGCTTTCATCTCAACCCTTCATCGCTCTTCCCCAACGCGGCGGTGCAGCACCACCAGCCGCCGCAGCGTCACTTTGCGAACCCGCCGTCACCGATTATGAGCGGCGGCCATATCTCTCTCAGTAGCCCTTGGGACGCGCCGCCGTCTCAAAACCCTAATCATAATCATCCTCTCCCCATGATCAAGACCGAAAGCATGAGCGTTCCGCCGTATTTTCAAGAGGCGCCGCCGCCGCTGCCGCCTCTGATGGCGTCCGGGTCGGCGGTGCTGTCGGCCACGGCGCTGCTCCAAAAGGCAGCGAGCATAGGCGCCACAGTGGGTCACGTGAACTCTAGCATGGCCCAGCTGGATAGGGGCACTGTGGGGCACGTGAACATGAAGATGGCCTCACAGGACTACCTAGGGTTTGGCACGTGGCAAAAAGGCGACCCTCTGACCAGAGACTTTCTCGGCTTGACAGCTGACCACGGAAGCACCACCGCCAATGGCAGCGGCAGGGACCATGACCACCACCACCACCGTCTGTTATCGTACGCCGCCGCAGGCGGCGGCGTTGACGAGTTGTTCCCCAGCAGCAGCACCAACAACGGTATGTATAATGATGGCGACAATTCTCTGTTCAAACACCACCAATTAAGCTTCGGTTTTGCCGCCGCCGAGACAGCCTCGGAAACATGGGGAAACTGTTGATGATCTATTATGGGACGACGAGGAAAATGAGGAGGATTCATATTCCCTGGTCGAGTTTCGAGCTTCATGCTATGAAGACACATGTTCTGTACTGTGTCGATAAAACATGAACACAGAGAAGCTAGCAAAGCAGTTGGAGATGATCTGATCATCTTCAAGAAAGAGAATGAGAGAATCAAATTAAATCATGAGCGAGTCCTTTCAATTTAATGTATTTTGCAAGAATTCAACTTTTTAGTTTTTCTTCAATTTTCTCCTCTAGCTGGATTTGTAACGTTTCCTTGGGACATTCTGATGATTACTAAGAAATTAAAGCTTGGTTTAAATTTTTGCAGTTCATTAACAATAATGTTGTCCTTCAATTTCATTGGATATAATTCTTGAAGAAAGCAGGGTAATTATCAGCTGTGTACTGAATTTTGGATGCATATATATTTCTTGAAGAAAGTACCAGCGCAGCTGCCTCTGAAATATACTGATGAGGGAAGTAGTGCATAATTGTAAAGCTAGCTTGATGCAGTCTAAAGGAGAAATGATCTGAGCAGAAACCCATTCCCTGACAAAATGCATGGGATAATTAGTATAAATATGCATGCATACTCCATTGCATATATATTCCATAATGTCATCGAATTCGGTCTCTACTTCCAATATTTCAGAGACCATGCATGCATGGCCATCATTTTCTAAGATCATGGTGTCAGCTTGTAGATGTTGTACATGATGCTAGACCTTAGATGTACGTACTGTGCATTCTAAGTGCCCACAAATCACAAATCTTTGTAGGAATAAGGTTCAAATTGGTCACCATCAATTTTAGCATGTTACATGCTTACTTGTACGGGACATTTTTAAATAATTTTTAATAAATTTTAATAATAATTTTTTTATAAAAAAATTTAAAAAAACGAGGCCGTCGTTTTTTTTTTTTAATTTTTATAATTTTTTTTAAAATTTTATTTTTAAAAATTATTAAAAATGTCAACTCGGCTGCCACGTAAGTAGGTAACCTGCTAAAATTGATAGTAACCTGCTATCCGGTGAAATTTCATACATTTGGAGTGTTCAGTGACCTAATTGCATTTTTTTTTTCGTTTAGTGACCTAATTGCATTTTCAAGTTACGTTCAATATAATGGCCAATTTGGACCTTGTTCCATCTTTTTATGCCAATTTATAGATTATATTCTCACTCGTATCTGTACACTCTGAGCACAAGTGAAAAATTACACTTAAAACGCATGCACTTCACTATAATCCGAGCAATATAATAAAAGATATTTTTTTAAAAGGGTGTCTTTTTTTTTTCTTTGTATATATGATCACAAGTTTGTTTGACCTGTAGTTAATTAAGCACCGAGGTTAATCTTGTTCATATCGATAGAACCTCAAAAGTGATAAACAACACTTCTTCGTGACTTTAATTTTAAAATAGCTCTGGTTTCAGGGATCAAACCGGCCTAAAACCACTTGTTGCATAAGCGTGTTTTTATATTAATTGCAAAGCTCTAAATCCAAATGTAATTAATCAAGATATATATGATCACAACCGGGGTGCATTTCCCTTTCCAATAAAATATTCACTAAGAGACTAGCACGGCTAAGCGGATTGGATGATGACTTTTTGACGATATTTTAAGATAACATTACTTACATTTTTGTAATTTATGTGATTTTTGTTAAACTTGATCGAATTCAATTAGATGGCATGCATTTCCATTAGCAATACAAGCTTTTGAAGCGTTGCTAGTGCTTCCCACATATAATTAAGAGGATTAAGTAAAAATCCCATGGAATTCCGATCCACAAAATTGTAATTCCAAAGCCATACTAATCATCAGTCCACGGGAGTGTTTAAAACTACATTTAATAAGATAGATATTAAATGCGCACACACAATCTAATGATTTATTAAATCAAATAGTAATAATCTCATTAATGATAATAACAACGTTATTTATGCAAAATAAGTCATTAGTGCAATAATAATATTTGACTATGCACTAATGATTCTTATCTGTCATAATAAATATATTTTAAAAATTTTTCCTGCACTAATCATTCTTATCTGTCGTAATAACTAAAGTTTGAACTCAATGAAATCATTAATATTTGTCCTACTAAATCAGTATTATCTTAATTCTATTCTAACACCATATCATAGCACAAATTGATTGGTTGACAACTATTAGGCTAATGTAACTGAGTTTTGACCAAATCTTTCGGTGGCAACTCTCTCTGTATGCTTTAAGCAGTTCAACCTTCATCCACTAAGCCAACACATTTTTATTTTTCCTTTTTTTTTTGTTGGATAAATTCAATCATATCTTATTTGGGCCAGCTCTCCATATATGCTTAAGAGCTTCAACCTCCATCTCCACTTAGCCAAATGCCTTTTGTATTTACTCTCTTTTTTTTTTTTTTTTTTTTTTCAAACACTACATTTACTATTAGTTTTTAATTCTATTTTTTACTCAATACTAAGGCATGATCTAATTTACCAAAAAAAAAAAAAAGACATACAAGGCATTCATTTTCTTTTCTTTATCCAATAAAGTCAAGATGTGGTAGATCTCATTTTTACATCTGGTTAACGTGACACGTATTGATTGGTTCAAAAAAAATGAATAAGGGTAAAAAAAATCACTCGATTCCACACCAAACTGCAATTAAGCCATCAAATTCGAAAAAAAATGCAATTGAGTCCATGAACAACACAAACTCATGCAATTCAACCCAAAGTGACTTGTTTACCTGAACATATGCTAATGTAACGGTTTCTCAATTTAAAAATAATTTTAAATAAAAAAAAATTGAAAAAAAAAAAACACTCACCGGAGACAAGGGTACCTTCTTCGTCTCCAGCAATGGAGACCAAGAGACGAAGAAGGTACCTTTGTCTCTGGCCAGGAAACGAAGGGACCCAGTCGGAGACAGAGACGAGCGGCTGTTTTTTTTTTTTAAATAAAAAAATTTTTTATTTAAAATTATTTTTAAATTATGTAACCGTCAGGTTAGCATATGTTCGTAAACAAGCCATTTGGAATTAAATTGCATAAATTTATATTGTTCAGGGACTGAATTGTATTTTTTGCGTTCAATTACCTAATTGCAGTTTGGTGTGCACTTAAGTAGTACCCTTATTTCCAAAAAAAAAATCTCAAATATTTCTTTTATCTTTTCTCTGTGAGACTAAAACAAGTAACGAGATTTTGAAGTACGGAGTAATACTTTGTACAAGTACACTAAGCATTTTTCTTCCTAATCTTGGTGGCACATGAGGCGAAAATTTTCTACATTGGTGACACACTGACACCTCGAAGACGATCTAGTATTACTTATCCTAAACTCATACATATAACATATCCACCTTATTAGTAAATGTACATATATATATCTTAAGCATCGGTCCGGGTGATTGGTTAGCTTTTGCGTTGTTGAAGAAATACGACGTAAAATTCGAAGCAGCTTATAGCCTTTTCTAAAGGGGCAGTGGGAGGGAGCTGTAAAAACCTGCAATGAGCGTGAGAGTGCAATAAAGGGGCGGGAGAGGGACTACACTTAGTTGATTCTCTTCTCGCCTCTGTGTTTGTGTGAGTGGTGGTCCGCTAATTAGTGGCACAACCAACAAAAGCTAAAGAAAAGAAAAGAAAAGATAGGCGAAATAATGGAAACAAAAGATGGCAAGATTAACGAAAGACGAGGTCGACAATGTCAACGGTTGTGAAAATGATGCTCGATGAAACTTTTTTTTTTTTTTTTTTTTGGTATTATGTGGCAAAAAAAACTCACAATAATTATCTAAAGATGTGTACTAAGAACATCCTTAATAGTGCTTCTTAGTGTGATTTTTGAAGAGCCTAAGCTGAGGTGGAGGAGAGAGTAAAAAGAAATCTCATCTGAAAGAACTTGGTTTCTGTCAGCATTGTGGGCTCCACCAAGAAAGAATACGAGCAGTTGCACCTAGCGTGAGGCGCAACTCTCGCAAAATCTTTAATTTTAAATTATTATTTTTTTGTTTACCAAAATTTTGTTTTTGTTTTTGTTTTTTTTCTCCTCCCCTCCCATCTTCTCATTCGTAGTGACACATGCAAAAACTACTCAAAAACTACAATTATTGGTGATGCTCTGAATATATATACCCACAATGAGGTAATCCAGTTTAAATTGCCCGACCAATTCAAATTAAGAAGGCCAATAGACTATTCTCACTGAGAGTCGAACTTAGAGCATCCACAATGGTTGGGGAGAATTGGGGGATAATGTAAGAGTGATTAGGATAGAGAAAATGGGAAGAGAAAGAAAAAAGGAAAAAAAAAAGGAAAAACAAAAACTAAATAAAAATAATATTATTTTATTAACTGTCCGGCGCGCCTGACGCGCCCAGCTGGCGCGTCGCAGAGGTGACAGCCACGCATGGCTGTCACACATGGTTAAAAATTGTGGTGGGTCCCACATTTCTGAAATCTCCCCACATTTGAAGGAGGATCTCATTTTTCTCTTTCTTCCTTCTCTCTCTTTCACATGGCACTAATTTCTGACATTATTCTCTCATTATGCATTGGTGTGGTTGCTCTTATAACTTTATGATTATCAAGTCAACAGTGGGCTACCGTGACTAAAGTTGTACCTACTCATAGTGCTCAATGAGACATTTGAAAGGTGATTTGGGCAAAATTGTCTTGAGGTTCATGGCTCCCCCTTTCTCAAACTCTGTGCACGTCCCCATGCTACAGCCTTAAAGAAATTTTCAAAAATACAGACTGCCTGCCATGTACGTGTTGTAACTACGTAGGCACCAAAACCTAAGAAAATGAAAAGCAAAAAAGGTTTCGAAATAATGAAAGCAAAATTCCTGAAAACGACGTTCATCTCTCCCTTCACAACCCAGATTATGCCAACGTTTTCACACCAGAAATGATTTATAAGCACCAAAATTCAACTCAAAACTACTACAAGCTAAGCTCGAGCCAGATGTGTCCAAGATAGTATTAGTATGATTGATACCTGAATTGAAGTTAAACCAGGGATTACACCAATCTTCTTTCGCTTTTGCTGACCAGAATTTTCTGTCAAGTAAAAAAAAAAAAAAAAAATCAGAAATCAGAATCTTGAAGAGTCATCATATCACACACCAAAAAAGAAAGAACATGTATAAGCATCCAAAAAGAAAAAGGGGGCAGGCAAGGAATCACATTCCACTAGAGAATTGCGCAAATTAGAAATGTAACAAGGAAGGGGGAGACTGAGTTAATAGAATTGCTTTTTGTTAAGTATATATTCAACATCTAAAAGTTGGAGCAGGGGTAGTGGGCCTCAAGGAATTATAAAAGAGAAGTGACAAAGTATTATGGTATATCCAAGCTTTTAGAAAGGATTTGTAAGATGCAGGTTTAAGGTACAATCTATATACCAATTGCCTGCCTAAAAAAGTCACCTCTTTTTATCTTTGCCCTGCAGCACATAAAAGCTTCTCTTCTATATATCTATTCTTTTACCCTCTCCATTTGAGCTTGAAGATGTCATCTATCGTCAGGGAATCTCATCTCCCCACAGGCTTACCTTTTATTCTTTTCCCTTGTCCCTTCCAAATCCAATAATCACCTCACCTTCTTTTTACCTGTGTTTTACTTTCCTTCCCCCTTCTACTACAAATCCCCATGTTAGTGCTTCTTCTTTCCATAATACCCTAAGTACCATTTACAAGGTATAGCCTATGGTCTCCGCTTCCAAACAAAATATCAACTTAGCTCAAGTACAACTTAATCCAATCTAGTTAACCTGGGGTGTGGTTGAGTAGAAGGGACTCATCTATCCTTAACCAAATGCCAAGGGTTCGATCCTTAGCTTTGGATATGGAGCAGCATTAAATCTCCAAGTCAGTTGTCCCACCCAATAGAGGTGCCTACAATTCAGCGAGGTGATTTAGTCACTGTGTCCGATGGTGGAAACCCTGGACTATACCCCCCAAAAAAAATCCTAATCTAGTTGGGTTTAGGCATTTAGCTTAAATTATTCAAATTCTAAACTTGCCCACAATCTGCCAACTGAGCTACCCGTGTGGGCTATTCAAGTTCTAAACTCATTTAATGCCTATTAAAGTTCTTCATCCTTCTCCTCTCCTATGCTTATTACTAATTTACTACTATATGTTATCATGGCTACTACCCTTTTCACCAATTTTAACAGAGATAACACTCTCCTTGAAACATGACAAATAATGATAAAACTGACCAGGCCTGACAAAAGAGCAAGACTGACTCTGAATACAGAGACTATTTATTAGCTTGGCAGATATACAGCAAAGAAGTGACTAGATTCTTTGACTGATTAGCAAGGAAGTTCAAATGAAAACATTCAAATAATCACTCCCAGGAGTTCTATCGCACTTAATTATAAAGCTTTTCGAGTGTAAAGACACAGGTGGGCATAATCCTCATTTACTTCAAAATCAAATGATAGTATAAGCTTAAATTAGCAGTTAGCATTCCATGAGTCACCAAACTTCTGCTCGTGCCTAATTCATAAATGTGGCAAAGTGACAAAGGATAGGTTTACAGTAAAGCACAGGGAGAGATAAACCCGAGTTTCTAATCTAATTGATATACAACTGTTGAGTGATAGATTTCGAGATGAGCATAGTTAGAGTAGCTCACATGCAAAGCTCAGATGTACAATAAACCCTATAGTTCCTAACAATCTCAAAATACAAAACAGCCAGTATTAGTGTGGACCTATAATAGGTTACCGTGGCAGACTCACGTGTTTAAGAAAAAACTGAGAAAAGAGAGCTTCTTCCATGAATCCAACTCAATTTGAAGGAGGGACCAGAATTTTCTTTACAGAAATTGGCAGCAGTAGATGTCTCATCACACTTGTGGTTTAGGCCCATCAAAATTAACTCCCAAATATTGATCCAGAACATTCTTGAATGCCTGTTGCAAGAAATAAAGCGAATAAGAGTCAAAAGTTACTGGATATTTTTTTTCATTACATGCAGTCTATCTCGTATAGATGTATAGTCAGACTTCAGACCATTTCCATATGGTTTCTCTGTCGTGCTTGGGTATAATATCTGGTGAACTGTAGACCAGGCAGAATTGATCACAAGTATGAATTTAATATACCATAAAAATCAAGTATTCAAGGAACAGCTAGTTTTTTCGGTCAGGCCATGAGGTGTCCTGAGTAGGCCCTAACTGTAGGAGGTACCTTTAAGCCCGTAACATACTCAGACTAATCCCCATTCACACCGGGCCGGCCCAATTAAGGGGCAAAGTGTTGGCCAGAGCCCAGATTGGTTTTTCCATATGGGAGGGGGTTCGAACTCCCGACCTCTCTTAAGGATGAGAGTGCACGGCCACTCACGCCAACCAAGCTGGTTAGGAACAGCTAGTTCATCAGTCTAGAAACAGAATGTTAGAAAGAGGCATATTCCAGTTATACATGGTCATAAAGGCATGAACATAGGTAGTGTCCACACATAATTGGAGATGGAAAATGAAAGTAAAAGCACAAAATGATCTTCTGCGTCAGTCACTGAGGTGCTGATTATTCTCCAGTAAAAGCTCATCCAAACAAATGGAATCACAAATAAGGCTGCACATGCAGTTTATCCACAGGGTATATTCTAGCCAAGCATAATTGAATGTTGGAAAAAAAAAGTAAATGAGTTCAAAAGACTAATGTAATGATTAAGGTCACCTCACATAGTAATACCTACAAGATCTACAAAGATACATACAGAAAAATAGACAAATATTTTTGTGTTGTGTATATATCAAATGTAAAGCTTTATCAAAAATCATAACGCTGATAATAGTAACCCACAAAAATACAATTGTTATAACCTGTGTAATAAAGTTCTGAATTAGGTGTCTGCACAATGATGCAGTAATTAAGAGACATCCCCATTCAAATGCTTTTGGCATTACAGATTAAATACAAAAAATTTGTTTCATCCAACTATGAAAGTCCTAAGTCCTAGCATATGAATGCATAGAATGACTCAATATCTGAAGCATAACATTTTGTAATTTCAGAATGATGAAATACAAGTACAGTGTACACTGGTCAAAAAATATGTGGCTACAAACTCCATATGATTATATGAGAGAAATGAACCCAGCTACAAGTACCTGACACGCAAATGCTTCTTTCCTGTTTAAAAGTGCATCCATTGCAGCAAATTGATCATCAAACACACCATAAAAGATCTGGTAGAAATGGTTCCTACAGACACCAAATTAATGTGAGATAATACAAACAAATAGAGACTTCTTTCTCAAAGGACAGAACTGCATTAGAGATATAGGTACCTGTCTTCCTCGGCAACAATTTGATCCATCTCTTCAAATTTACGAGTTAGTATTTCTGCTCCAAGAGGAGATAATGCATGCAATACTAAAGCCTCCAGAGTTCTTGGAAAATTGTGCTGAAAAGACATTAAATTAGTTTTACACAGTTGTGGAAGGGAGAAAAGGCAAACAACAAATGAATGGTGGAGCAGAATAATGTATCTCAGAGATGTGAGATCCTCTCTAAATACAAGAGAAAACAATAAGATACAAAGTGGTCTCACAGAAAAAGGAAGAAGATAAAAACAAAGCAAAACAAACAAACAGAAAACTACAATTCTCTTCAGCCTTCAAGATGCTGAAGTGTTAACAAGTATAATGGAAAGAGACCAGAATCACCTCACTAAAAGTATTTAACAACCTTTACCAACAATAATAAATTTTAAAAAGTGAAAAACGATAATACTTTTATAAGGAGAATCACACCAAAAGTCTAAGATTTAGAGAAGCACAAGAATACAGAGTATTGAGGTCATCATGAGGATTCAAGGAGCTCTAGTGTGGATGCAACTAGCTTAGGTTGGGTTCAAGGAAATGCCTCTATAAAACAGAGGCACAGTTGCATCCATCCAACCCCCCACCCCATTCCCCACCACCCAAAAAACAAAGAAATAAGTAGCATTTTTTGTCTGAGAGAACTCAAAGATAGGAACTACTAAAATACTAAACCTGCATAACTGAGAGTTGATGAGAAAACTGCTAGCAGTAATAGATGTGAAAAGAAATAATGAACTCACTGCCATGGCAACAAAGACAATCCTAAGCATAAGTGGATTAAGAGTCCAAATAAGATTCGCTACTGGATCTTCTTGACAGTTATGAAAGACTTCCTTTCTGTTATCCATTTGATCATTGGTTTCAACTCCTGCAGCCTCAATAGAGCTGCATCCCACAGGTTGTCCTTGGTTGACATTGTTGTGGACTAAAGAAACAAGTTCATGTAGAGACTGGAGTTCAAGGGGCTCCAAATCTTGCAACATGATATTTTGTTTTAGTCTATTTCTGTTTAAGCTGTCATGTCCATGGCTCAAGGCAACAGTAGGATCAGTATGATCTAGCAAACAAAATAGCATGTAGTCACAACATCAGTGTGTAGCAAATATACAGAAAAATATCCTGCTTCTTAGAAACAGAAAATGATTTTGAAACCAATATTTGAAGCTAGGAATTAAAGTGTTATATGTTAACCTCCATGTGCATTAGAAGGCTGGCCACTTGTAGTGGCTGCAATTTTACCCACAGTTATAGAAGGTTGATGCAGTCTTTGGTTCTGCCCCAGTCACAAATAGAGAATGAAATGAAAAATGAGCCCGCTACAGTTGATATCCCCACACAAATTCTTTTTGTAAGCCATCCTCAGTATTTAAGGGCATTAAGGAATACTAAAACAGACAAAACAATTTAACTAGCATAAAATCCTTCAAAATGATGGATTAAGAGTAAAACTACTCACCATTTCTTTGTCAGTCAATCTTCATATTTTAATTGGAAAAGCAGAGAAGCATCAAGGAGAAATGATCAGTATGTTATTCTTGATGTGTAAAAGAAGGAAACCAGAGAATAAAACTGCAGAAATCTAAGAGTAGCTTTACTACCTTTTCAATATTCTTCGCATGTAATATGCATCCATGTGCTCTAACATATCAGACATTATCTTTGAGCGCCACCAAAAGTTAACAGCAATCGTTAAATTTTCACTATCCACTTGATGAAACCTGGGTTAATGAGGAACACTAGTCATGTAAATGTAATCATTTTAACAGCAGACTGAAAGAGGGAAAATATAAAGGCAATGGAAAAGCACTCATTATAATACAAGATATCCAACCATTATGCATAATGCACACACAGAAAAGTATGACAATCTGGGGTCCATAAAACATAGGGCATTATTGCACATGCACACACACAACTTTGTAGTCTTAATTAAGGTAAAATCTTATTCTTATTAACCAACTAGTTGCCATCTTAACAAATGCCAGAATATCAACAAAGATTATATTACCATCCTTCAGGAATGAAAAGTGCATCACCAGCATGAAGAATGACCTTCTGGGAATACTCATTTAGATATTTTGCCCTTGGGTACAGTGACAGGTTTGGGTTTTCTAACGTAACAGCACTGGAAAGGAAAGAAGTAAGAATAACAACCATATTTATAAACCTACAATATCCATCAGACAAAAGAAACAATGATTACATCAGACTTTTCAAAATATATTTAGGTGAAGTACCTGTGGTTTGACGCTTCCCCATATAATGGCAGCGGATATAAGAAGGGACTTGCAGAAGGTGGCCACAAAGAAACTGGTCATAATAAAATTTGGACGAAATGCATCAAGGGGCATGCAAGAGAGAAAGCTCACTTATAATAGCATAAACAAAGACTGCATGGAAACAGTGTAATGACTAGAAGGAAGCAATTGCCATTTCCTTAAAAGCTTAAATATCTACAAGTCTAATAATCAGATCAATCCTAAACAAAATGCCATCCAGTGCTAATCCAGCATATGTTCAAAGAGCACAAAAATGAAAGAGCAATCCATAGGCAGCAGTTAAGTGCAAACAGAGAGTGTGATGAAATTAACCTTGTTTACATCCAGAAACTATGCATAAAAGGTTATTGTGTGGATCATAGTGAGTGCTTGATCTGGTCTTAGCACTATTCATCCACAAATTGACAGAAGCCATGCTTTTTGTCCCCAAAAGCAGAGGCTGTGCAGGTTAGAGAGACATTCAAAAAATAATAATAAATAAATAAATAACAAAAAAAAAATAGAAGAAGACGATGATGATGATGATGATGATGATACTGATGTTAGCTCAGCGCTAAAATGGGTGGGTGGGTGGGAGGAAGATGCAGATAAGCAACCCACAGACCTTACGTATGTCTTCATTCAAACACTTCAGTTGTATGGCTTCCTCGTTCTCAGAATTTAGAATTGGCACCTGGTTCACAACTATGATTTGTTATAGATTGGGAAGATTATTTGCTACATAAGTATTAAACGAATGAGTTTGTCAGTCCACCTGAGCTAGATAGATTTGCTGAGCCTCTCTAATACAGCAATCAGTTTGCTCAATGCCACATACTTCCACCCTATTCTTCTCTGAGTGACGAGGGTTATCTTCTCCATCCTCTCTATCTTGTAAAAGATCCATGCAATATCCGATAAAGGTTGAGAATGGCAATGGAACCTTAGAAAATATATGACAGAGTTTCAGCTGAACTAATCTAACCAAGAAAGGCATCGCTCTGGAACTTAAAATCTATTCAGAGGTAATTAAAGTTACCCTTTCGTGGCTTCTAATATCACCGTAAAAGACTGGTGCAGATCTGGACAGCATTACTTCCACAATGGTTGAGCCAACAAGTTCCTTATTTCAATGCACAGGTAACTTAAAATATCATATAAAACACAAAATCTTCCCATTGCCATAGGCAATCTACGTTAGGATAATTACTTATTGTACATCCTACACCACAGTAAAGGAAAAAAAATAATACGAAACTTGTGAAATGAAATGAACTGTTGCAACATATTTCGCTCTTGGTAAAGTACTTTTTCGCTAAAAGTTCAAATTTTCAGTCTCGAAATGTTTATAATATACATCAATGCGTGCCGCAGTATAGAACTACAGACATGGTTCGACTTCTAAAGAGAACATGGATTGCTTCGGGTCATGTGATTGCTTCAATATGCTGCGGAATAAAATAGACGAAAATATTTAGAAGAAAAAAAAAATAGAAACCTGCAAGTAAGCGAGGCCACCATTTGAGGGATTCCATTTGGAGAACGCCTTCCAATTCTTGACGCATCCTTCGAAAACCTTTTCCCCAAAATACAAATATAAAGTTGCGAGTTCATTTTCGGATTTTTTAAGATAGTGCAGTAAATTAAGTTCTTAGTAGGAGACGATACAGCTGGGACGTTCTTCGGTTCAATATGGGAGGCGAATTCTTCCGCAGACGGAACTTCGTTGAATGTTTGAATGCGAAGAGATTCCTCCACTGCCATGGCTCGCTGACCTCTACGAAACTGACGTGAGCTCAACGTTTTACTTCTACAGAGGTGACATCTACCATTAGCGGGTCGGTTTAGGTTAAACCGTTAAGGGAGCGCGTGATTTTAACATGAAATCGAAATTAAAATTTGGGAAAATGGTCAAACAGGCCCTCAAATTATTGCTCAAAAGTCAATTTGGCCCTTTAATTTTTTTAAGAATCAATTACACCCCCGAACAATGTATTTTGATGCAATGAAGCTCAAATACAAGTAAATGACCTGCTATCCCAGGTCATTGCAAATCCGACGACATTCTGACTATTTTTAGGCAAAAAAGTGACCGGAGACCCCTCTCAGAGAAGGCCACCACACTCGCCGGAGAAGGCACCTAGATCTGGGTTGCCTTCTCCGGTTGAGAAGGTCACCACAGTGGTGGCCTTCTCAACCGGAGAAGGCAAAAGGCAACCCAAATTTGGGTTGCCTTCTCCGGCGGGTGACATGGCAGTTCAGCTTCAAGAAAATCCCGCTGCTAAGCGACTCTGCGCAGGTGGTGGAATGGATCACGAGAAGAATCAGTCCTATTGGATCGTGCTCTAATCTTGTGAACATCTGCAAAGAATGGCTATCCAAAGATTGGGAAGCATCTGTGAGCCACACCTTCAGGGAGCATAATGAGGTGGCGGATCGGCTCAGCCGAATTGCTGCTACAAGAAACTGTGAATGGATCGAATTCCACGAGCCTCCGGAGATGGTCAGAGAATTCATGGATTACGATAAGGCTATAATAGCTTTCTACATGAATAGCTAGTGTGATATCGGCTTCCCCCCTCCCTCTATTCCCCACCAAAAAAAAAAAAAAAAAAAAAAAAAAATGTTTGAATTGTTGTTGTTTGATGGCTCTCTTTGATCAAATTTGGGTAATTTATGTAAAGCTTGAAAATACATATTTATGGCAAAGCAGTTGTGGAAATTTTATTTTATATGTTTCAATGTGTTTCTAGTATAAATAATGTGGTTGTAAGCAGTTGTAAAATGTTTCAAAATGCTCCACTTCTTTAAAAATACGAGCAAACTAATGTTGACTTTGTAGTAACTTGAATGTTTACTCTCTGAAACTAAGGTGAGTATTATGTGAACTCCTTTTTGTTATCCTCTAGCACTATTGCAATTGAGCTCTACTTTGATAATTTTCTTTGGTTCTCTCTTGATAATGTTTGATACTGCACGGATGCTTCAAAGTTCGTATGCACTAGTGGTTTGTTTATAGTCTCACCCAACAGTAATGACATTTTGTGTGGCAGTAATAATTGAGAAGTGTGACATTTTTGTGGCAATTGTTATATGGTCTCAGTTTTGAATGCCACATCTGGTATATTATTATTTTGGTTGTCTTACTTCTAATTCTTGAATATTTGATTAATGATTAAAGATTAGAGACTACCTTGTGTTTTATTCCTAAAAAATGTGCTTTGGTTATGTTTATCAACTTATTTGTTTGTTGGAAAATTTCATAAAATTATATATTTGAGCTCTACTTTGGAAATTTTCATAAAATTATATATTTGAGCTCTACTTTGGAAATTTTCATAAAATTATATATTTGAGCTCTACTTTGATCATTATACGTTTGTTGGAAAATTTTATGTTTACGCAATCGGACAAGTGATAATTTATTAAATGATTGCTTAGTGTCGTATGTTGAACGATATATATATATATTTAATCAAGTTTCAAACGAAACAATTATACATCAATTTCAAAATATGAGACATCGTAGGAGTATTATCCCGGAGTTCTTCAAAAACCTTATAGTGTATTTTATAATGTATATTTTTTTTGGTGAAGATTTTATAATGTATATAATGTATTTGTAGTTGAACAGACTTATTCGTATTTTGATATTTTGTATTTGATCATTTTTTAATTCATGTTACCTTCGCTTCTTCGTCCCCACCCAAAAAAAAATTATGATTCCGTCCCTGTGTATAATTGTATAAATATTTTTATTTGAAAGGGGGCCAATATGGCATATATTAAAAGTACTCAGAAATAGAGTCTGGGGGGACATCGTCCGAATACATAATCGTAGAATAATTAAAAGCAGAAGCCGCTAAACTATGAGCTAAATAGTTCTCTGATCTAGGAATAAAATTAACTGAGCAGTAATCAAAAGAGGTAATGCGCGCTCTACAAGCACTAATAGCGTAGCCAACATAAGTCCGAATCGTGACAGCTTGATTCGTCAAATACTGTTGTAGGGTCAAACAATCTGTGAGTAAGCGTACAGAGCGTTCCCCACGATTCCATAACCAAGACAAGGCTTCCTTACATGCTATTGCCTCAGCCATAAGCGGGGAGAGACAATCTGATAGGGGTGCATTGAATGCCGATACATATTCCCCTTCCTCGTTCAACAAAATCGCGCCAACCGTAGCTCTTCCTGTAGCCGGCATAAACCCGGCATCGACATAACATCTCCGTATTAGCTCGGTTGCCTCCAGCCGTACGCCCTCCTCGGCAGCCACAAGGTCGTTGACAGCGGTTCGTTGTTGCTACTGCCGTGTCGCGGCAGTGGCGGTAATAGGACCCTGTGCGGCAGCTTGGTGGTTTGCTTGGCGATGGGTCGGGTGGATACATTGCCATGCAAGTGTGGTGGCTTCGGCCAAGGCTATCACTTTCCGTGGTCGCGGTAGACATGCATCCCATACCGCTCCGTTTCTGGTCCTCCAAATATAATATAAAAGTGCAGCTGCATGAACAATTTGGTTAGTGTCTAAAATATTTAATAGATCACTAAACCAAGTATGAAAAATATTTGTTGTTATCATGGGGATTGGAAGGTGAGATTGTGCCCAAATGGAACTTGCATAACCACATGTTATTAAAGCATGCATTGTGTCTTCATCCATTATCCCACACATAGCACATGTTGGTTGTATTTCCACTCTCTTTATAATCAAATTTGTTGTATAATGGTATAAATATATTATTATTATTATTATGCTATTTACTTAACTCTCAATTTCTCAATGGTACATTCATATGTCGAGCCCTATATGATTATGACGATATTTAAAAAGTAAATTTAAAAATAAAAAAATTGAATAAATACAAGCACAACAACAACAAACAATTATTAAAAGAGAAAATTTTAATTTTGGTCCACTGATTATTGGAGTTGTATTAATTGCAATACTTGACTTTCAAAAATGTTAATTTAGTACCTTGACTATGCAATTTCTATCAGTTTTGGTCACGCCGGCCAAATTGCCGGTCAAATCTCACCAAAAAAAATTAATATGTCAAATAATGAGGGTAGTTTAGTCATTTTACTCATCCTTTATTTCTTCTCCGATCTTCTCTCCATTTCCGGCGATAATTTATTCTACGATGAGCTTCGATCATTTGATTTCCTTTATGTTCTTCAACATACATATCTTTTATGCACCTCAGGTTCATAGCAGAGTAGTAATCTTCAACCTTGGTCGTCCCACCATCTCCATTAATGCCATTTTCTCGCGTTTCTTTCAGCAATTTCTCTGTCGCTTTCTTGGTTGATTCCACGAAATGGAAAACCATGTCACTATTGTACACTTTGTCTTCACATTTTTCCAATTATGTCAGCTTTCTTGGGGACGATGATGATACTCGAACATCATGGTTTCGATAGTTGTCGTTGTCGGCGAACCAGGTGAAACCGATGTACAACTCCGGGGTTGTCTTTGAACATAGCCGAGATTTGTTTGTCCACTCGGAGGATGTCTCTGTGGGCTTCGAAGTCGGTAACCCCTCGGAGAAACGAGGCATAAACTCCATCGTCTTTGGAAATTTTCTGAACTTTGCTCACGAATTCGACGACCTCGTTTAGAACTTGCCTTCGTCTCTTCAACGATAATTGGGGCGTGGTGGGAACGTCGGCGCGGGGGAGCAGCAACTTGTGATTCTCCGGTAAGAAGTTGTTGAATCCGGCGATCAAGTCACGACGGCCGAGTAGAAGATCGGAGACCTTGGAAACGAGAGTGGCGGGTTCTGTGTTTCCATCCCTGAAAGCCTTCAACGCTTCTGAAATTGATTCGAAATTTGGGAAGTTTTGCTTCAATGTTTTGACAAATGCCAGTGCTTCTCCTTATTCACGATAATCCATGGTTAGTTTGTGATGAAATTAAAGACACAAGCATAGAAACAACGGCTACTGGTTATATATATATAATCATCGGAGAAGGAATCGTCACCGGAAATGGGGGGAAACTCATCGGAGAAGAAAGAAGATGAGTAAAATGACTAAAATACCCTCATTATTTGACATATTAAATTTTTCTGGTGAGATTTGGCCAGTAATTTGGCCGGCGTGAACAAAATGGATAGAAATTGCATAGTCAGGGTACTAAATTAACATTTTTGAAAGTCAAGTGTTGCAATTAACACAACTTCAATAGTCAGTGAACCAAAATTAAAATTTTCTCTTATTAAAAATAAAATAGACTTTTAAAACGTAAATGTAATAAGTCTATATCAATAAGTTACTTAAAGTAGATTTTTTATTTTCAATTTATTGACGTCAATAAGCTAAGTCGAAAACAAATTTACTAAACACTCATATTAACGGTTAAACAAGCTAAACTCCGGTTGATAAGTCATTTTCCAAAACATCCCAAAACATATGAAGTTCATATGAAATTATCAGAAACTTGAGTGGTTCAACTGAAATTATTATTGAAAAATCGTTTATGCAAACTTGAAGGTAAAACAAGTAAACAACAAAATAAGTTTTTACATGTTAAAATTATTGCAAACACTATTTCAATTGAGATTATTGCATAAGGTATTTAGAGTGCAATTTGTCTCTCTTATATAATTTAAGTAGTATTACGTAAGAGTGAAGTTTACATAACACATATTTTCAGATAGTGAATACAAGTTTCATTATTATTTATATAATTTTTTTTGTTGAAAAAAATAATATTGCGGAGTAGTACAATTGGAAACATTTGGCGACACGACGACGTTCTGCAATTATTCTTATTGAGATTGAGATAGATAGATATTGAGATATTGGTTCCACGTGGAGAATTAGAAAGCGTGGATCCCACGCCGACGTGGCAGGAGATTTAAGAGAAGGGTTTATAAAGGGTAATCCAGTAAAAAGAGGAGAGAGAAGAATCGGAGTTTCAGACTGTAGAACGAGAAACAAGGCGCGAGAGGTCCGTCCGAAAGCAGGCGGGAGTCTGAAAGAAAGAAAATAACGAAAGAAAATCAAAACGATAAGAAAAATTAAACAGAACTGCAAAATCCTTCGTCCTCATCGTCGCCATTTATCATTTCGCTGTCACGAACGCTTGTTGAAAAGCAAATTGTATCAAATTCAAAGCGAGATCATAAGACGAAGAAGAAAACAGAAAGAATCTGAGTAGTTGTAATTATAATTGACGTATCTGGACAAAATTAAAAATTATCCAGGTCTTGCAGCTTTCATCTCCGTGTTACTCTGATCGATCAGCTCAATTAATTTACTATTTTCTTCACATTTTATTTTATTTTGTAAATTATATCATGGATGCATAATTTTTCAATTTTCAGCTCATGTATGTTTATGCATTGGGGGTTTATCGAGCTAGGTGATCATTCTAGATAGGTATAGAGGGGTTCGGATCTGCGCGGGATTGAACCAAGTGGAGATTGGTCGGTTTGTCGGATGAGAGACGTTATTGAATTTGAATGTTTCAGAAATCGCCCCGCAGAACGATGAAATGGGCAACATTGCTTAAAGACTTCAAGGAAAAGGTCGGCTTTTCTCATTCCTCATCTGCTGTTTCATCCTCTTCTTCTCCTTCCTCGTCCTTTCGGGAGAGCTATGCTTCTCCAGTCAATCAGGACTTCATATTTTCGCCTTCAAGGTATGCAGATTCTTTCCACTAATGATATCAACCTGTGCTTTTACCAAATTTTGTTGCATTCGTCCATATTGATTACTCTGTTTTATTTTAAGCTGTAAGTATGAATGTGACATTAGTAGCGCATTCGTTTTGAGGTAATCTTGCATGATTACACGCACTTGCTATTTGTTAAGGAAAAGTTTTTGATTTTACTACTCAAAGGATAGACCTATCTTTTTGTGCCTGGTCTGCAAGTTTATGCTCCAAATCCATGAATATTTACCATAGAAGCAATTAAACAGACAGCATTAGTCAGGTTTGTGGATAGGCCTTGCTCTAGTTATTATGGTAAAAAAGACCATCAACTACAAAAGGTCACATTTATTTATTTTTTCACTTCATGCTGCTTTTAAGTCCTTGCTAGAAAAACTTTTTCCATTATTCTCGTTTTCTCTTTCTATGACCCCCTTCTTCACCAAGTTTGAACAACCTTGCCTTGGACAAAATGTAGGAGTAAGTTGAAAAAGAACTGAGAAATTACTGACTATATGATAGCTAATTAATAAAAAATTTATACTTATGTGGTAATGCAGTGGCAGCTGTGCTCTGCAGATAAAGGCCTATAGGAGTAAAGGAAAAATATATATGGTTGTGCCAGTTATCAATTTAGATTGATCATTTTTTACTTCACAACTTCATCAGGAAATCAAGTGTTTTTATGTAAATGCTAAAGATTTCCCTTGAACCAATATGATATTTGAAAATATTTCCTTGGATCACCTTGCCTGATGCTCTGAGTTACGAGTTTGCATTATAATAATCTGCAAGTGAATCTATGAAAGGAAGAAAATTAAATTGTGAAATTGTCATCACTTACTTAAATATTTTAGATTTATATTTCTCTTTGTTTCACCTCTGACCTTGAAAACAGAGGCAAACGGGAACTGGAATTGGACTTCAGGATATATTGGGAAGAGTTCCACTCTTCAAGTTCGGAAAAGGTTTTTCTTAGTTTGCATAAAGAAAAGTTTAATTTTATCAATTCATACACTGGACAACATCATAGTGTTCTTTCTTTGGGCAGGAAAAGGAAAAAGCCTTGATTATGGCTGTTGATGCTTTCTGTAAATTAGTGAAGAAGCAGGCAAATGTAGCTCAATTAATTACCAAGTAAGGGAGTAATTTTTGCCTCCTCTTAGCTTATTTCCCTGTAGTGTGTCATTCTTTTTATGCCATTTAAATTTTAGAGTACTAGAATATTCTCGTGAGTTGAAATGATGACTGGATAAAGTTGCAGTTTAAGAATTTGTGTTTTCAATTTCATTTACATTTACATTCTTAGATATAATTATTTATTTATTCTGTTATCAAGTACTCCATAGTAAAGGTTTTTTTTTTTTTTTTTTTTTAAATTTATTTATTTATTTATTTATTTTTACTTTGCTTATATCCTTACCTTTTGTACATACAGTTTACTTTGCACTTGATATTTTGTTTAATAATATCATCTGTGAGATATAAGTACCCCAGAAAAAAAAAGTTTCTCATATAGAGATATATTTATTTTCTTAACAAATTATAAAACTAGTTGACTTTCCATGGATCCTTATATTTTGTTTTGTACAGGTCAATTCTGAGTTAATAATTTGTTTAATCATCTGCTTTATAACTGTGAACTTTATTTATTTTCTTCTTAAGAAATTGTAAAGAAATTATGTATTTCTTGGATACTTCCCTTTCTTTTGTGCAATGTAATTTTGAGTTAATGTTTCATTACTTCTAACTGTGAATGGGAATTTTACTGTTTTTTTGGGGGGGGCTAAACTTCCATTTAATCTTATGGTGATTGTAAACCAAGTTCAAACTGTCTTACAGGTTAGTAGAAACACATATATTTTCCTTTGTTGTGGGAAGAGCATTTATAACAGATATTGAAAAATTGAAGCTTAGCAGCAAAACCAGATCGTTGGAAGTTGAGAAAGTCTTGAGCTTTTTCTCTGAAATCACAAAGGTTATTAAATAACATTTATACGTGAATCCTTTTGTCTGTACTTCATAGTTCATATTACATTTTAACCCCATTTGTTGTATGAGTTATGCTGGTCTAATTGTGACAATATTCAATCATTATATTCACAGGATGGTATTAACCCTGGTGCAAATTTATTATATGCAGTGGAGGTCCTTGTTTCTGGGGTATATACTCTCATCTTTTTTCTATATCTACCAATAAGAAACAGTTGACTTTTATTTTCACTGCTTTGATAATCAATATTTATTATTTGAATTTTGTTTCAAAAGACTCTTTGTGTTTGCATCAAAGTTGTAATTCAGCCTGTCTAGATTTTGCTAGGCACTGAATACTGTAATATTAGGGAGTAGACGTATAAGCTGGCAAATGTTGGGCATTCCCTTTCTGAATTGTAATTGGTATACATTTCCTACAGCCCACTGATAAGCAGTCTCTACTTGATTCTGGAATCCTGTGCTGTCTCATTCATATTCTCAATTCTCTTTTTGGTCCCAATGAGGGTCATTTGAGGCAAAATGTTGGCAGTAATAAGGAACCAGTAATGGCAGAGAGAAATCTTCGTGGTGACACTGAATCAGTGTGTTGGCTTGAGGTAGTTTCTCTACATGCCTGTTCTGTTTACTTGTTACTTTATTAACTGATTTTGTATTTCTAGCTTTTTGAGTGTATGTTATTGAGTACGAATTTGATAGTTGTTTACTATTTCTATTTGCATTATGCTTACTACCTTATCATTGTTTATTTGATTTCTTTCTATGTTTCTGTGGAGATTCATCTTGTTGGCAAGAACTTTAAATGAGTCTTGACAGACCATAGCATTGGTCTGATTGGGGAAATATGAACCTGCCCAACAGGTCCCTATTGGTAGAATAAGGGGATGTAAAGTGCCAGTTCTTTTTTTATTTTTAAATTTTAATTACTTTTTTAATAAATATTTTCTGAACTGCAGTCTGCCTTTTGTATGAAAGCTAAGAAAGGGTTATTTTGGCCTTATAGAAATGAGGATGAAAGGGATCTGCAGCTTTCTGTAAATTGTCTTTTGTTTTTATGTCTGATTTTTGAAGAGAAACTATTTCTTCTTCACCAAGCTAAGTTCAATCACAATTATGGTTTAGGAAAATATGTAGTATTTTTTTTTTCAATGGTGGTGGTGGTGGGGGGTTAGTTCTATTGCATTGCAACATAATGAAACTATTTCCGTCTTTAGTGTCTTCTGAGCTGAAAATAATTTCAACTAGAAGGTTTTGAGTTTGCTTTATTGTAATACTAATATAGAGTTTTGATATTAGCATTACCAAAATGGCAAAAAGGGTTTTTGAAGGTGACTTGTAAATAACTTCTCTGTTCATTTTTGCACCTGTGCAGGTAGAAGAAAGTATTGTGCATATTATGAAGGCATTGTGTAGCCACCCTTCTGCTGCTCAAAGTTTGATAGAGGACAACTCTCTTCAGCTACTATTCCAAATGGTTGCCGATGGATCTTTTATTGCCTTTTCTCGATATAAGGAAGGTCTTGTGTCATTGCACACTCTTCAGCTTCACAGACATGCTATGCAGGTATTAGCTGATTGTTTTTCACTTCCAAAGCTGTGTACATATTGTCAATTAGTATGAGTAGGCTTTGTATATTAACTTTGATGAATGGAACTTCACCTTTAATGTGTTGTTCTTATATTGGATACTTGATCCAGGTACTCGGTCTTCTTTTGGCTAATGACAATGGCAGCACTGCCAAGTACATACACAAGCATCTTCTGGTATGCCCTGCGACACACTGTGATTCTTATCATTAATTATTAACTCCAATCAAGAAGCAACCTTCCCATTTAGCTTTTCTGGAGGGAAATCAACATCTTGTTAAGTTACAACCTTATTGCTAGTTGACTTTAGAATTTCTGTCCTTTTAATAGTGTTTGGAAAACATCTGAAATCTGCCTGAAATACTCTTGTTGCTAGCTAGGAAGAAATTTTAAGGCTTCATTATTTTGATTGCATTCTAGTGGAAAGTTGCATTGACATCATTCTACTTATCAAAATAAAATAAGAAGTTGCATGGACATCTTTTTTGGTGTTTCAAACTGACATTTAATTTTCTGTTTACTAGGTTTATCTTTAGTTTATCATTTTTCCTCTGTTATAGTCTCGTCAGCTTTCCTCATTTCCCTTGAGAGTGCTATGTTGCTATTTGAATCCTGTCACATGACTCATTATATAGCCCTTACCCTTCAACATTATTGTTCTTCTCAATGCTTACACCTGTATAATTTGACATTTTAAATTCCAGCAAAAATCATAATACGTTCTTCTTTATGTTCATGCTCTTTGAGATTTATCTTGCACTTGATGAATAATCTTCAAAGTTTGCTGTATTGATAATTAGCCTTTTCTATGTCCCAGATAAAAGTACTTCTACTGGCTGTGAAGGATTTTACTCCTGATTGTGGAGATTCTGCCTACACAATGGGCATAGTAGACTTGCTTCTTGAATGTGTTGAATTGTCATACAGGCCAGGTAAATGGTTTGATTTCTTGCATTTCACTTGGATCAAAACTAGATTTGGAGAGTATACTTTGTTTCTGAATGGCTTTCAAGTTGCTATAATGCTGTATACTATCATAACATAAATTGAGTACTGCACATTTTTTACAAATATAAATTGAGCAAGATCGTTTTCAAGTCCTTACAATGCTACAAAATTATCCTTTTGGCTTGGGGTGGTGCTGATTCAAGATAGTTTTGACTTTTAGGGGCTGGTGGTATCAGGCTCAAAGAGGATATCCATAATGCTCACGGTTATCAATTCCTTGTTCAGTTTGCTTTAGCACTTTCTAAGGATCAAAGTGGCCAAAGTTACTATTCAAAGTCTCTTACGGATCAAGAGCTTGCTGCAGAGGCTTCTCCGCAGAATGTCTGTCCTACGCTGTCTCGGTTGCTTGATGTTCTTATTAGTCTTGCTCAAACTGGTCCAGCTTTGAAAACTTCCAAAAGTTCTCATGCCAATCCTACTGGGCATAACAGAAGTCGTACCTCATCATGTGACCAAATTAGTGTTGAATTTTGTGAGAAGGATAATGGCCAAATTAAAGATCTAGAAGCTGTCCAAATGTTGCAAGACATTTTCATGAAAGCTGATAGTAGGGAGCTGCAGGTTGAAGTCCTCAACAGGATGTTTAAAATTTTTTCAAGTCATGTTGAAAATTACAAATTGTGTCAGGAGTTGCGAACAGTACCCCTCTTTATCCTTAATATGGATGATTTACCCCCATCTTTGCAAGAGATAATTTTGAAAATTCTTGAATATGCTGTGACCGTGGTGAATTGCATACCTGAACAGGAGTTGCTTGCACTTTGTTGTTTATTGCAGCAGGCAATCACTTCTGAATTGAAGCAGACTATCTTATCATTCTTCATAAAACTTTTATCTTTTGATCAACAGTACAAGAAAGTACTGAGAGAAGTTGGTGTACTAGAGGTTCTTTTAGATGATTTGAAGCAGCATAAGTTTCTTTCTGGTGTAGAGCATCACAATGCTGAATGTAGTTACAATAAACACATGGACAATAAGGATTCAATCATTTCTTCACCCAGATTGATGGAATCTGGTTCTCGAAAACTCCTTCTCTTTGAAGTAGAAAGCATAACAGCAATTGCTTGGGACTGCATGGCCTCTTTATTGAAGAAAGCAGAAACAAATCAAGCATCATTTCGCTCAGCTAATGGGGTGATCACTGTACTTCCTTTCTTGGCATCTAATATTCATCGTCCTGGTGTCCTTCGAGTGATGTCATGCTTAATAATTGAAGACGTTGCACAGGTTTGTTTTTTCTTCCCTAGACTTTGAACTATTAATAGATTTATGTTGGGTCAATGCTTTCAACTAGAATTACTAAGATTTTAGTTGTCTTTTACTCTCCTTTAGTTCACTCCTTTTAGTACATAGTTGTGGTTACATTGTTTACATGGATTTAATCGAATCAGCACCCAGAAGTGAGGTAGTCTCATTAGTATTTGTAGGTAAGTGTGCCAACATTATGTGATAAGGATATGTAAGACCCGCTTGAGCATGGCATAATGAGATAATGACTTAAGGAAAAATAAATAAATAAATAAAAGGAGTAAGAGAACATTCAAGTTATAGCTTGGGAGTATAATGAAAATCACATACTTTGTGCTAAAGAAAGAAAAAAGTTAAAAAGTACAAAAAAAGGTCCAATCCCAAGCTTGTTCGGTCCACTGTGGTCCCAAGCTTGGGATTGGACCCTCCTCCTGAATCGGAAGTTTGGACGCCACCAATACCACAGGCAAACACCGGGTGAACACAAAGTGGACTGAACAAAACGAATCTCAAAGAACACATGCATACATAATTCAAGCCTGTATGTGTACGGGACAAATTGATCTTAGAGTAGAAGTCACGGAAGACATAATGGTCCAAACTAAGTCCAGAACCGAGGCAAATGGACTCAGGCGACCCAGAAGACACTAGTGCTCCTCCCCAGGTGAACGGTGACGACAACAAAGCGAAAAAAAAAAATTTATCGTAAAGGCTCAGATACCATGTTGAAATTGAGGGATTGAAAGGCCTGGCGAGTGGAGAATAACAACCACTCGCCAGTTAGGCGGAAGCAAAATATGTGAGAAAACCAAAGAAGAAGAGAATAGAAAGAATATATTATATTATTATAATGAAAGATTACAATAGATTGTCTCTTTGTGTACTCTATATTTCTATGTATGTTAAACTATGTAAGGATCCTATATTTATAGGAACACGAGGACTAAACCAACCCTAATAGGAATAAGAAACTATTAATAAGAATAGGAAACTAAGACCACTCTTACTAGGAATGAGACAAAGGTTTCCTAATATTCAACACGCATTATCGTTCGGGGCATGCTTCCTTTCCATTGTTAAAGAAATTTGGTCCTCAACTTCAAAGTCTATCTTCTTTACCTTGTGAGTCATAGCTTGTCCGGTCCACTTTGTGTTCATCCGGTGTTTGCTCATGTTATTGGTGGTGTCCAAGCTTCCGTTTCAGGGGGAGTGTCCAACCCCAAGCTTGTTCGGTCCACTTTGTGTTCACCCGGTGTTTGCCCGTGGTATTGGTGGCATCCAAGCTTTGGGTTCAGGGGTAGGGTCCAATCCCAAGCTTGTTTGGTCCACTTTGAGTTCACCCGATGTTTGCCCGTGGTATTGGTGGCATCCAAGCTTCCGGTTCAAGGGGAGGGTCCAATCCCAAGCTTGTTTGGTCCACTTTAAGTTCACCCGGTGTTTGCTCATGGTATTGGTGGCGTCCAAGCACCCGCTTGTTCGGTCCACTTTGGTGGCATCCAAAGCTTTCGTTTAACGGGAGTGTCCTGAGTGGGATTTGAGTTAATTATTTGTGTAACAAGTTGGACATGATTAATATCTATGCTCCAACTTGAGGGGGAGTGTTATGGAATGTACAAGTATTATGGAAAGTATATATATTAGGCAGCCTGGAGATTTATAGGGATTTGAGTAGGTTATATGGAAACTTGTTTCTTTATCAGAAGTCTTCTAACATGTATTTATAGGGTTGTGTATTCTCTTTTCAGTGAACAACATATTCAGAAATCTTCTCTTTACTTTCGTAACATGAAAGATATTGAGTTATGTGCTATATCTCATTCAAGAGCTCAAGCTATTAGAGAAGTGATGCATTTGATATTTTATTTGTCATTGTTAATGTGCCCCGTCATGTGTGGCTTGGATATATGGATATTTTGATGATGGGTGGCAAGTGGGACTAAAATCCAAGACTGACCTATTCTCTCTCTTTGTGTGGGTGGGTGGGGATTACACACTGACTTGATCTTATGCCATATTAAATTAGATGTTCCACCTAAACTTAAAACTCAAGTATTTGAGACAGGTGACTTAATATTTTAGTTATCATAACTGATAAACTTAATACTTATACCTGTAACATGGAGGTTCTAAGGGTCTTTAAGAAATTCACATAGTATCAGTTTTTATTCATAGGCATTGCTGCCTTCTGACAACAGCATCTTCCTCTTTTTTTATAGTCCTTGCTTGTATAGCCTGACTCTCATAACACTAAGAGTGCATTCTTGCCTTCAATAAATAGATTAAATCCATGTTGGCAATTGCATCAGTTTTCTGTCATGGCAACTGTAGATATTAGAAAACTTCTACTGTATGCTGTAAAAATGCTGATGGATTTATACTTTTTCAGTCTCATCCCGAAGAGTTGGGAGCAGTGGTTGACATTTTAAAAAGTGGAATGGTTACAAGTGCTTTGGGATCTCAATATAGAATTCAAGATGATGCAAAATGTGATATATTTGGAGCTTTGTGGCGCATCCTAGGAGTCAGTAGTTCAGCTCAGAGGATCTTTGGTGAAGCAACTGGGTTTTCTCTTCTATTTACCACACTCCAATCTTTTCAAAGTGGCGAACTTATAAATGAGTTTTATTTAGCCATTTATGTTAAGGTGTTTACTTATCTGTTACGTGTGATGACAAGTGCAGTTTGTAATAATGCTGCTAACAGGACAAAATTGCAAACAATCATATCTTCCCTTACATTTTATGATCTCCTCTCGGAGACTGGAATAATTTGTGTTGATTTTGAACGGCAAGTTGTACATCTGTTATTGGAACTTGCTCTTGAGATAGTGATTCCACCATTCATGATGTCAGAAGGTGCAACACTGCCGCGTGTTAATCAAAATGAGTCTACATGTTTTCTTCTTGTTACGCATTCTGGTTCTCTCGTTCCTGACAAGGAATGGATTTTTAATGCTGGTGCTGTTAAAGTGCTATTACGTGCACTGTTGCTCTTTACTCCAAAATTGCAATTAGAGGTATTAAGCTTCATTGACAAACTTGCTTGTGCTAGCTCCTTCAACAAGGAAAACCTCACATCTGTAGGTGAGATTCTGATGATTTTGGTTATCTTTTAATACCTGTTTTTAATCATGACCTTAGCAATTGATGTCTATGATACTGGTAGGTTGTGTGGAACTCCTACTTGAGACGATATACCCGTTCCTATCAGGCTCATCACCACTACTATTGCATGCTTTGAAAATCATTGAGGTCCTTGGGGCATATAGGTAATTACATTTTATCTAGTCAAGGACTTCTCTCCAATGTCAACAATCATCTAGTACCTCTAGTGAGATGAGCTCTATAACTTTCGGTTACAGGTTATCAGCGTCTGAACTTCGAGTCATTGTTAGATACATTCTGCAAACGAGACTTGCTACATCTGGTCATTTTCTTGTAGATATGATGGAAAAATTGATACTCAAGGAGGATATGGCTTCAGAAGATGTTGCTTTAGCACCATTTATTGAGATTGACATGAGCAAAACAGGGCATGCTTCAATTCATGTGCCGCTTGGGGAAAGGTCTTGGCCCCCTGCTGCTGGTTATTCTTTTGTCTGTTGGTTTCAATTTCGGAAATTTTTCAAATCACTGGCAATGGAAGCAGAAGCTTCAACTGTTGGATATTCTAAAACACAGACCCTAGCTGATGGTCAACATCATGAGCCACATGTTTTGCAGTTGTTTTCTGTTGGAGCTGCAGACAGTTCAACTGCTTTCTATGCAGAACTTCATCTTCAGGAGGATGGGATCCTTACTCTTGCTACCAGTAGCTCTTTTTCCTTGTCATTTTCTGGGTTGGAAATGGAGGAAGGTAGGTGGCATCACCTGGCTGTTGTGCATAGTAAACCAAATGCCTTGGCGGGATTCTTCCAATCTAGTGTTGCTTATGTATATCTTAATGGGAAACTGAGACACACAGGGAGACTGGGGTATTCTCCATCTCCAGCTGGAAAGGCTCTGCAGGTAGTTATTGGAACACCAGTTACTTGTGCTAGAGTTAGTGACTTGTCATGGAAGCTTAGATCTTGTTATCTTTTCGAAGAGGTTCTTTCACCTGGTTCTATCTGTTTTATGTACATTCTTGGAAGAGGATATAGGGGCCTCTTCCAGGACACTAATCTGTTGCAATTTGTTCCTGATCAAGCCTGTGGTGGGGGCAGTATGGCCATTCTTGATTCTTTGGATGCTGACTTGCATTTGACTTCCCATGCACAAAAGCCTGAAAATGCTGGCAAGCAAGGGAGTTTCAATGCTGAGTGTAGTGGTTTTGTTTGGGATTTTGAACAATTAGGTAATCTCTCGCTACAGCTTTCTGGCAAGAAGCTCATATTTGCTTTTGAGGGAACAGGCACAGAACTTCCTCGAGTATCTGGAGCTGTGTCTGTGGTCAATCTAGTTGATCCAACATCAGCTGCAGCCTCTCCTATTGGGGGTGAGTCAATGAAGAATCTCTCCTATCAAACAAAATAGCATTTTTGTGATGTTTCTAATAAAATTTGATACATATGATTTACTAACTACAGTATTCAATTTAAATTTTTCTGGATCCCACTATAGGTATACCACGCATTGGGCGGCTTGTTGGGGATGTCTATATTTGCAAACACTGTGTCATTGGTGATACTATCCGCCCTATTGGTGGCATCGCCGTTGTTCTATGTCTTGTTGAAGCTGCTGAAACTAGGGGTATGTTGCATATGGCTTTGACCTTACTTGCCTGTGCTCTTCGTCAGAATCCTAGAAACTTGAGTGAGATGCAGCAACTTAGAGGATACCATCTCCTTGCTCTCTTTCTGCACAGAAGAATGTCATTGTTTGATATGCAATCACTTGAGATCTTTTTCAAAATTTCTGCTTGTGAGGCCTCTTTTTCTGAACAAAAAAAGTTTGAGACTACTGAGAAGATTCTACCAACTGTCTCAACCATCAATGAAGTCAGTATTGAGGATCTTAGCTTGTCAAAATTCCACGAAGACTTTTCTTCTGTAGGATCCCACGGAGATATGGATGATTTTTCTGCTGCAAAAGATTCTTTCAGTCCTACTTCAGAGATTGAAAACACTGACGTGCCTACTGAAACTTCTAATTGCCTTGTCCTGTCAAATGCTGACATGGTTGAGCATGTATTGTTGGACTGGACTGTCTGGGTAACAGCCCCAATACCAATTCAAATTGCTTTAGTTGGCTTTCTTGAGCATTTAGTTTCAGTGCATTGGTATAGGAAACACAACCTCACTATTCTCCGTAGAATTAACCTAGTTCAGCATTTACTTGTAACTCTGCAAAGAGGTGATGTTGAAGTTCCTGTGTTAGAGAAATTAGTTGTACTATTAGGATTAATATTAGAAGACGGATTTCTTCCCTCAGAAATAGATTGGGTGGTTGGGTTTGTGATTATGACCTTCAATCCCCCAGAGCTGATATCACGTCACCAAATCAATAGAGAGTCTATGGGGAAGCACGTTATTGTAAGAAATATGTTGCTTGAGATGTTTATTGATCTACAAGTGACAATTAAATCAGAGGATTTGCTTGAACAGTGGTATAAAACTGTTTCTTCAAAACTAATAACCTACTTCCTTGATGAAGCAGTGCATCCTACAAGTATGAGATGGGTCATGACTCTTCTTGGTGTGTGTCTTACATCTTCTCCTGCATTTGCACTTAAATTTCGTTCAAGTGGAGGTTACCAAGGTTTGGCTAGAGTGCTCCACTTCTTCTATGATACCCCTGATATATATTATATTTTGTTCTGTCTGATATTTGGCAAGTCAGTATATCCAAGACTACCTGAAGTTCGCATGTTGGACTTTCATGCTCTTATGCCTAGTGATGAAAATTATGGAGAATTGAGATTTACAGAGTTGTTGGAATCTGTGATCACCATGGAAAAATCAACTTTTGATAGGTTGTCTATGCAGTCAATGCTTGCCCATCAAACGGGCAATCTTTCACAAATCAGTGCTGGCATTGTTGCAGAGCTTGCAGATGGTAGTGTGGACTGCTCAGGAGAACTTCAAGGTGAAGCCCTTGTGCACAAAACTTATGCTGCACGGTTAATGGGTGGAGAGGCTTCAGCCCCTGCTGCTGCTACCTCGGTCCTTAGGTTCATGGTTGATCTGGCAAAAATGTCTCCTCCATTTTCAATCGTTTGCCGACGTGCTGAGTTTCTTGAAAGTTGTATTGCTCTATATTTTTCTTGTGTCAGGTTTGTTGTAAAATGTTTTTCTATATTCTTGTTGACAAATTCTGCTTTCTCTGCCTAAATATGCTGGATAACATATGTTCTGAAGTGTACTGGATGTTTTCTGACATATAGGGCTGCACAAGCAGTGAAAATGGCAAAACAGCTCTCTGTAGCTATAAAAGAAAAGAACCTGAATGATGGTGATGAAACTAGTAGCTCCCATAATATGTTCTCTAGCTTGGCTCATGAACAGGAACAGTCAATGAATGCCTCTATAAGTTTGGTAAGCTTTCCTCAAGGACATGCCAGCTACTCTGAGGATATTCCAGTGGTGCCAAAGAATGTAAGCAAGGATAAAAGTGAGTGCACAATTGCTGCAACCCAAAATGATTTGAGCAAAGAGATGAAGAATGATGCACAACCTAATCTGACAATAGATGATCAAGTGGCTGACAAGGTCTCCACTGCTGCTTCCAGCAGCAATGACTTCAGCTTGTGTGATAAAAACACGCCAGATCTTATCCATCAAACAAATTCACAAAGTTCTCCATCCTTCACGACTTTTGAATCTCCTATCGTATCTGAGAAATCTAATACCAGACTTCCACCACCATCTTCTTCGTCACCAGTAAATGAGAATAAAGGCCAAATAGCTTCCTCTCCATCTACAGATTCTGCTGCATCATCTTTCAATGGAGTTCATTCTTCTTCACACACAAGGTCCAGTTCTCATGGACAACAGGCTGCAAATGAAATACCATTCACTATTAGTTCAAAATTGCTCCTTGAAGTTGATTATTCAGGCTATGGTGGTGGTCCCTGCTCTGCTGGAGCTACTGCTGTTTTAGACTTTATGGCAGAAGTTGTGTCTGGTTTGGTGACTGAACAAATGAAAGCTATGCCTTTTATTGAGGGTATTCTAGAGAGTGTTCCATTAGATGTTGATGCTGAATCTGTTCTGGTCTTTCAGGGACTGTGGCTTACTACATTAATGAACTTCCTTGAAAGGCGTCTCTTGCGTGATGATGAGGAAAGTGAGAAAAAGCTGGATAAAAGCCGTTGGTCTTTGAATTTAGATGCATTATGCTGGGTGATCGTGGATAGGGTGTATATGGGAGCTTTCCCCCAACCTTCCAGTGTGTTGAAGGCTCTGGAATTCTTATTGTCTATGCTACAATTGGCAAACAAAGATGGTCGTGTTGAAGAAGCAGCTCCAATTGGAAAAGGGCTCCTATCTATTGGAAGAGGAGGCAAGCAACTTGATGCTTATGTACATGCAATTTTGAAGAATATGAATAGAATGATTTTGTTCTGTTTCTTTCCATCATTCTTGACCAGCATAGGAGAAGATGAATTGCTTTCACGTTTAGGTTTGCAAACTGAATCAAATAAAAGACAGCCCGTGAACTCAACATCAGAAGATGGTGGGGTTGATATTTGCACGGTGTTACAGCTCCTAGTTGCTAACAGGCAGATAATATTCTGTCCAAGCAACATTGACACTGATCTAAATTGCTGCCTTTGCGTAAATCTAATTTCCCTTCTTCATGATCATAGAAGGATTGTAAAAAACATGGCTGTTGATATCCTCAAATATCTGCTGGTGCACCGCAAGGCTGCATTTGAAGACTTGCTTGTTTTTAAACCAAACCGAGGAATTACTATTGATGTTCTACATGGTGGTTTTGACAAACTTTTGACTGGAAACTTGTCTGCCTTTTTTGAGTGGCTTCCTAATTTTCAACTAGAGGTTAATAAAGTATTGGAACAGTCTGCTGCCGCTGCATGGGTTCAGTATAACTCAGCGTCAAAGAAGTTTCCTGGAGCAAGGATTAAAGGCATGGATAGTCGCCGAAAGAGAGACGTGGGAAGAAAATTAAAGGACTGTACGAAATTGGACGACAGACGCTGGGAGCAGGTTAATGAACAAAGAGTTGCACTTGAATTAGTTCGTGACAGAGTGGCTACTGAATTAAGAGTTATCCGGCAGGATAAGTATGGATGGGTACTGCATGCTGAAAGTGAGTGGCAAACTCATGTTCAACAACTTGTACATGAGAGGGGGATATTTCCAATATGTAAACCCTCCACACATGAAGAACCTGAATGGCAACTTTGCCCCATTGAAGGTCCTTATAGAATGCGCAAGAAATTTGAGAGGTGCAAATTGAAATATGATACTATCCAGAATGTTTTGAATGGGCAGTTTGAGTTAGTCGAACTAGAACTGCCCAAAGAGAAGACTGAAAATGAACTCAATGCCTCTGATGCTGAATCAGATTACTTCTTCAATTTTCTGAACGGCAATCCTCAACGATATAGCTTTGGTGGTGAGCTTTACAGTGGATCAATTATCAAAGATTCAGATGATTTCAGGGATGCAACTTCCAGCAAAGCTGGATGGAATGATGATCGTGATAGCAGTGTAAATGAAGCCAGTCTCACCTCTGCTGCTGAATTTGGTGAATCCAGTGCAGCCTCCACCCGAAAAGCTGAGAGTGTACATGGGAGGTCTGAACATGGATCTCCAATGCATTCTTCATTAGTAAAAGTTGATGAAGTTAAGGTGCCAGAGGACAGATCAGATAAAGAGTTAAATGATAATGGTGAATACTTGATTAGACCTTACCTGGAGCCTGTTGAGAAGATAAAATGTAAATATAACTGTGAAAGAGTTGTGGGTCTTGATAAGCATGATGGGATTTTCCTGATTGGAGAGCTATCCCTGTATGTCATTGAGAACTTTTACATTGATGAGTCTGGATGTATATTTGAAAAAGAGAGCGAAGATGACCTCTCAGTTATTGATCAGGCTTTGGGTGTACAGAAGGACTTCTCTTGTAGCATGGATTCACATTCCAAGTCAAGTTCCTCATGGGCTGCAACAGCAAAAGCCTATGTTGGGGGTAGAGCATGGGCATATGATGGTGCATGGGGAAGGGAAAAGGTTGGAACTAGTGGTAATGTGCCTCATCTTTGGCGTATGTGGAATCTGGATAGTGTCCATGAAATTTTGAAACGTGATTACCAACTCCGTCCTGTTGCCATTGAGATCTTTAGCATGGATGGTTGTAATGATCTATTGGTTTTCCACAAAAAAGAGAGAGAAGAGGTTTTCAAAAATTTGGTTGCGATGAATCTTCCGAGAAACAACATGTACGCTATTCACTTCAAGCTCTATTCCTTTTTTTTTTTTTGCTTGTTGCATTTTACCCTTAAATTACTGATCTTCTGCATTTTCTGTTTATTTGGCATTTTGAAACATAATGTGGAAATAATTAGGTGTATTGAATGATATATTCCACCTGAAATAAAACTTTAAAATGGTGAGGAAACACATTTATTATTTTAATGGGGTCCATTCATCTCTAAAAAAAATCCTTTTCATCCAGAAAATTGTTTATTTGAAGGTATCAATTTTATAATGGGAAAATTTTAACTATTCATGTTCCTATTCTCTGTTTCCATAGACATGGTTCTAGACAGTGGTCAGGATAACAATGTTACATTTACTTCAAATGCGACTATGTGAGAATTACTTCAATTATTACTTGGAAAAAACTCCTTAATTATCTCCTTAAAGGCTCGGTGCCTTACATTCATTGGTCTAGGTATTAATGCATAATCAGCATTGTTTTAAGATGTTACACGTGTTTCGCTGATTTATATTTCTTGTACACTTGGATAGGATTAGCAAATGCTGGATATGTGCAAGGCTTGTTGACCATTATGCTTTCTTTTTTTTTTTGTTTGACATCTATCAAACAGATTGGATGCAACAATTTCAGGATCAGCAAAGCAGGAAAGCAATGAAGGCAGTCGCCTTTTTAAGGTGATGGCAAAATCCTTCTCAAAGAGGTGGCAAAATGGAGAAATTAGCAATTTCCAATACCTCATGCATCTCAACACCCTCGCAGGTCGTGGATACAGTGACCTTACCCAGTATCCAGTGTTCCCCTGGGTTCTGGCAGATTATGATAGTGAGAATATAAACCTGTCAGATCCTAAAACTTTCCGTAGGCTTGACAAGCCAATGGGTTGTCAAACAGCACAGGGGGAAGAAGAGTTCAGAAAAAGGTTGGCCCCACATCTCAATATCCGCTGAAATATTCCTGCTGATCTTGCGTTCTTCTCCACAGTGCACTTTTCTTTACAAAATTTATTTCATATGGAAGTATTTGTTTGTGTACTTTCACTAATATATTATTCTGTTTCCTCAGATATGAGAGCTGGGATGATCCAGAGGTACCCAAATTCCATTATGGCTCTCACTATTCTAGTGCTGGAATTGTCCTCTTCTACCTCATCCGCCTTCCACCTTTCAGTATTGAGAATCAAAAACTGCAGGGTGGACAATTTGACCATGCAGATCGTCTTTTCAACAGTATAAGGGATACATGGTCAAGTGCTGCTAGGAAAGGCAACACTTCGGATGTTAAGGAACTCATTCCAGAATTCTTCTATATGCCTGAATTCCTTGAAAACAGGTTTAATCTTGACTTGGGTGAGAAACAATCAGGGGAAAAGGTTTGTCTTGGTTTCAAATTATTATATTGGATCATTGTCCATTTTAAAAAGCTATAACTGAAAATTCTGTTGGATTTGTTTCTTTAGATCATTGTATCCTTATACATTGGCTATTACTCAGGTTCACGATACCATTTTGCCTCAATGGGCAAAAGGTAGTGCTAGAGAGTTTATCAGAAAGCATAGGGAAGCACTGGAGTCTGATTTTGTTTCAGAAAATCTTCACCACTGGATAGACCTTATCTTTGGCTATAAGCAGAGGGGAAAGGTAAATGTCATGACAATTGGGTATCCCATATTTAAATTTCCTCATCAACATGTTACTCTGAAGGAATTTCTCTCAGTGATACCATGTATTTGGTATTATAAATATTACTCAGTAGTTATGAAAAGAAGAGACCAATTGCAGTGAATGATGATAACAATTTCAAAATGGAATTTCTCCCAACTGTTTATCAGCTTTCCTTCTCTCCCTTAGTCTCATGTTTGACTTTTGGTGGCAGGCTGCTGAAAAAGCTGTAAATGTTTTCTATCATTATACTTATGAAGGAAGTGTGGACATTGACTCTGTAACTGATCCGGCAATGAAGGCTTCAATTCTTGCTCAAATTAACCACTTTGGACAAACGCCAAAACAATTGTTCCTCAAGCCCCACGTGAAAAGGAGAATTGATAGAAAGCTTCCTCGTCATTTATTGAAGCATTCTTTGTATCTTGTTCCTCATGAAATCCGTAAAAGCTCATCTTCTATATCTCAAATTGTAACCTTGCATGATAAAGTTTTTGTGGCAGGATCAAATACATTCCTGAAGCCTAGAACATATAGTAAGTATGTTGCATGGGGATTTCCTGACCGTAGTTTGAGATTTATGAGCTATGATCAAGATAGGCTTCTTTCTTCTCATGAGAATCTTCATGGAGGCAACCAGATACAATGTGTTAGTGCTAGCCATGATGGTAATATTCTGGTTACAGGAGGTGATGAAGGATTGGTATGTATTTGGAGAATAGGCACAGATGGCCCTCGTGACCTAAGACACTTACTGTTGGAGAAGGCGCTTTGTGCACATACAGGCAGAATCACATGCCTTCATGTAAGCCAGCCTTACATGATGATAGTAAGCGGATCAGATGACTGTTCTGTAATCGTGTGGGATCTTAGCTCCATGGTTTTTGTTCGGCAGCTTCCTGACTTTCCTTCACCAGTTTCAGCTATCTATGTTAACGACCTGTCAGGGGAAATTGTAACTGCTGCTGGTATTATGCTTGCTGTTTGGAGCATCAACGGGGACTGTCTTGCAGTGGTCAACACGTCACAGCTTCCATCAGATTCCATTCTCTCCCTAGCAGGTTGTTCGTTTTCTGATTGGCTTGAAACTAACTGGTACGCCTCTGGTCACCAGAGTGGAGCCGTTAAGGTCTGGAAAATGGTACACTGCTCCAGCGAGGACGAGTCTCCCCATAGTAATCCAACATGCGGTTTATCACTTGGAAATAGATTGCCTGAATGCAAGTTGAACCTTCACAAAGTGCTAAAGGGTCATAAGCATCCTGTCACCGCTCTCCACCACACTAGTGACATGAAATATTTATTCAGTGGAGATTATGGAGGGAGCTTGCATTTGTGGACTCTCCAAGAAGACAGCATGAAATCTGCAGCCAGTCGTGGGTAGCCAGCCATTCTGCATCCATCCCAGCTGAAGTAGTTTTGCTACAATCAGTCTTCAAGGGCTCCACAGCACAGCCTTTTGAGGTATAATAAGGGGATTCCAAATTTTACACAATAGCACCAAAGCTGCATCCCTTGCTACCTACTTTGTCAATGCCACAGACGACGTGCTTGATGCTTCAAAGGTTGAATCCGGTTCACAATGAGGTCGCTAGTCGTGTTCCAGGGACTTTAAAATGTAAGGATTTTTCTGGCTTAAATATGTGATTTAGCTGTTGTATGTATCAAAATAGTGTATAATGAAGTTTGTATAAGCTATCAAAATTGCCAGGAAAGGCATGTCAGCTAAAAAATGATCCAGCTTCACCAATTTTGAGTGTTGGCCAAGTCAGATGGCCTGGACCACTTTTCTTTGTTGAACACCAACTTTTATTCTATTCAATATATTCAAAATAAAGTTGAAGTTGGAAGAAGGTAAATTGGTTCCCTTGTTACACTCTAAATTGTTCTTATTCTCCCTGTTTATTATGCTACATTTTCATTCAGTAAATTTGGTTAAAGACTTACCTACAAATTAAACTACTCCGTATTTATAAGCTCGCGGTTAGCTGATCAGTGGCGAGAAAACTAATCCATGCAAAAGCTGTGCTAATTCAATCCGTGAGAGATGGCTACGCTAATCCATAGCTTACCTTTGGTCTCCCCGTTAGCCTCAATATCAAACCCAAAATCGGCAAAATCCCAGAATTTTCAACCTCTTAGGGTGGCCAAAACCGTTGTAACACCCACCATAGCTCCTTCCCTTAAAGCAGCTTGCGGGAAAGGAAACTTGAGAGAAGCGTTTGCATTGCTCGGGGATATACTTTCCCAGGGAAACCCATCTCAAACATGCTTAGACGAAGCTTACGCATTGCTGATTGAAGCTTGTGCTGCACAGAGGGCATTGTCATGTGGCCAACAGATTCATGCCCGTGTTGTGAAGTTAAACTGGGTGAACGATGTAGTATTCTTGAACACTAAGCTCGTGTTTATGTATGGGAAGTGTGGGTCGTCACTGGACGCAGGGAAGGTGTTTGATGGAATGCCTGAGAAAACTATTTTCACCTGGAATGCTATGATTGGAGCTAATGTGAACGATGAGGAACCTTTGAGAGCAATCAAGTTGTACGAGGAAATGAGGGGTTTAGGAGTTCCCCTTGATGCACATAGTTTTCCATCAGTATTAAAGGCATGCAGTGAAGTCGGGGATTTAACTCGTGGGAGTGAGATTCATGGATTGGCTATAAAATTGGGCTTTCTGTCTAATATTTTCATTGCAAACTCTCTTGTGGATATGTACGCCAAGTGCAATGATCTCAATTCAGCAAGGCTCTTTTTTGACAGAATGAGTGAAAGAGAAGATGCTGTTTCCTGGAATTCTATAATTTCAGCTTATTCCACAAATGGGATGATGGAGGAAGCTTTGAGTCTTTTCATAGAAATGCTCAATACCGGTTTGAAACCCACTACTTATACTCTCGTGGCTGCTTTTCAGGCCTGTCAGGAGCCATCCTTTGGAAACTTTGGTACTGAGGTTCATGCTCTTGTTATAAAATATGGCCATTGTCTTGACACATACGTTGCAAATGCTCTGGTAGTTATGTATACAAGGAACAATAAAATGTATGAAGCTGAAAAACTTTTTACTGCTGTTAACGAGAAAGACAACATTTGTTGGAATTCCATGATATCTGGTTATGTTCAAAATGGTCTTTTCAGTGAAGGTATTAATTTGTTTCGCAAGATGAGGAGTGCAGGGAGGAAACCTGACAGTGTTTCACTTATGAGTGTTCTCTCTGCATCTGGAAGATTGGGAAATTTGTTACATGGAAAGGAAATTCATGCATATACAATGAAGCATGGTTTAGATGGTGAGTTGCAAATTGGAAACACCCTTGTAGATATGTATGCAAAGTGTGGCAAGATGGATTACATGGACTGTGTCTTCCACAGAATACTCGATAAAGATTGTATCTCTTGGACAACTGCCATTGCTGCATACTCTCAGAACAACTATCACCAAAAGGCCTTGCAATTGTTCCGGCAGGTTCAGTTGGAAGGAATTAATGTTGATGCATTGATGATTGGAAGCACCCTCCTTGCTTGTGGAGAGCTAAGGTGCAATCTATCAGCAAAACAAGTTCATGGTTACGCGATTAGAAGAGGGTTATATGATAGTATCACACAGAAAACTCTTATCAGTGTTTATGGGGATTGTGGGAACTTGGATTATGCAAGGTCCATTTTTGCGTCGATTGATGTTAAAGATGTTGTGTCCTTGACGAGCATGATGTATAGCTTTGTACACAATGGTCTTGCGAATGAGGCTTTCGACGTTGCACTTTATATGAAAGAAGTTGGCATTGAACCAGACTACGTCGCAGTCCTGAGTATGCTCTCTGCTGCTGCTAATCTATCTGCTTTAAGGAAAGGAAGGGAGATTCATGGATACTCAATTAGGAAAGGCTACAATTTACAGGGCTCAATCGCAAGCTCTCTTTTGGACATGTATGCCTGCTGTGGAACACTTGAGAACTCATTCAAGATCTTTTCTAGTGTAAACGATGGAGATCCTGTTCTATGGACAAGCATGATCAACGCGTTTGGAATGCATGGATGCGGTGAAGAAGCTGTCAATTTATTCCTCAGGATGGAAGAGGAAAATATCGTTCCTGATCATATCACCTTCTTGGTTCTTCTCCATGCATGCAGCCATTCAGCCCTAGTAAATGATGGCAAAAGATTTTTCGAGATAATGAAGAGCAAGTATAATTTGGAGCCTTGGCCAGAACACTACGCCTGTTTGGTCGATTTGCTTGGCCGTGCAAATCACTTGGAGGAAGCTTTTCGAGTCCTGAGAACAATGAAATCAGAACCCACAGCAGCTGTTTGGTGCGCTTTTCTCGGGGCATGTCATGTACATTGTAACAAAGAATTAGGAGAAATTGCTGCAAAGAAACTTCTTGAATTGGAGCCAGAGAATCCTGGGAATTATGTGCTTGTATCCAATGTATATGCTGCTAGTGATAGGTGGGAGGATGCAGAAGAAGTGAGGTTAATAATGAAAGGGCAAGGGATGAAGAAAGAGCCTGCATGTAGTTGGACTGAGACAGGTAACAAGGTTCACACATTTGTAGCCCATGACAAGTCTCATCCAAGGTGTGATGAGATTTACCAAAAACTAGCTTATATCACCAAGAAACTGGAGATGGAGGGAGGCTATGTGCCTCAAACCAAATATGTCCTGCAAAATGTAGAAGAAGATGAAAAGGTTAAGCTGCTTAATGGACACAGTGAGAGGCTGGCCATGTCATATGTTCTACTTGTTACAAATGACACAACCCCAATTCGCATCATGAAAAACCTTCGCGTCTGCACCGATTGCCATACCTTCATCAAGCTAGCTTCAAAACTCCTCAAACGAGAAATTATCGTGAGAGATGCCAAAAGATTTCACCATTTCAGGAATGGGGTCTGTTCCTGTGGAGATTTTTGGTGAAGATCAATTTTAGCAGTCTCCTAATAATCTCAACAGTCTTGAGTGGTACAAATTTGAAGCTAGCCCAGTTCTTGTGCAAGCATGAACATCAAGTTTGTAAGAAGCTACATTTGTTTATTTATATGCATATATATATATATATATATATATATATATATATATATATATATATATATATATATATATATATATATATATATATATATATACAAGTAACTATGTAAAAATCTAACTCTTATAGTCCTATGTATATGATAGTATATAAGAGGTTTTAGTCTTTCCATCCTTCTGTTGCTTCTGTCTAATGAAGAACAAGTAATTGGCTTAGTGCTACCATTATGAATGGGTTATATTATAGCAGATTAGTTCATTGTGCCACTTGATCTTTTTAACTCTACATGTTATGGAGTGGCAAAAATTCCTATTAACTTTGTGTGCAGTGAAGAAGGGATCTTGGAAGAGTTGACACTCCATTCTTTTCTGGGAAAAGAATAATGCCATGTTCTTAACTCAGCCAGGCCAGGTAACTTTCAGCCACCTAACTTCTAGCACTATAATGTTCAAGTTTTATGGAATCCATTATGCTAAAGTTGTTTCACAGCTGTTGGGTGTCATAACTGCTTATCTGTAAATTGCTGTTCTTTATGACTTCTGTAGTTCTGTTGTGACATTAACTCTCATGCATCACTTTATGAATCAAATAGGTTAATACCCATTATATACTTCTCAGTTGCATTCTACATTACATAGCATTGCAGACTGAATTACTTGAAGATCCATGTGGAGTATTTGGGTTCATAGAAGCAATTACCTTTCTAATAACTCCTTTTTTTTTTTTGGAAAAGGGTGAATAGTGTATGTGAAATAACAATTAAGGGTGTGTTTGGTTCATGGGGTTACAAACTAAGAATGAGAATCAAAATCATAATTATTGTTTGGTTGACAACTTTTTAAAACACAATTATGAGATTTGATTACCCATTCAATTAAAAACATCATTCCCTAATTAAAAACGAGTATCATTTTATCTTATCCCTTATTTGTCACCAGTTTTGCCAATCGTCAAAATCTCATAGATCTGTGTCTAACTTCTGCCCGTCTTCCTCATTATTCTTATCGATCAAACACCTATAGATATAATTTTACAGTGATTTTGTTTAGATATTGAAGATGTTTCCTTAAGATGACGATTTTACCCCTAAAAATATAAAATCCGACAACATTTAGTTGTTATTTTGGCTGAAAGGACTAAAATTGATAAAAATAACAAAGTTAGGCACTAAAATTAAAAAAATTTAAAGTTGTGCACCAAAAGTGAGAACCTCAAAAGTCATGGGATCAAGAGTGAAATTAATTCAATTTTTTTTTTTTTTGAGAAAGAAATTAATTCATTTTAAAACTACATTTTCAAGATTCATATCTCGAGACTTCTGATTAAGCAAATTTAAACTAAGGGTGTGTTTGGAAACCTGGAAAATGAGTTCTGGAAATCATTTTCCGTTGACTTTGGAAAATAGGCTTGTTTTGGAGGAAAATGACTTCCCCTCTTTTTGGGGGGAAGTCATTTTCCAACTTTTACACCAACATCACACCACCACCAACATCATCAACACCATACCACCACCACCTCACTACCACCATCACCACCACTACTGTCGCCACCACCACTATACCACCGCAACTACCGCCACCACACCACCACCAACACCATACCACCGCAACCACTACCACCACCAACACCATCAACACCATACCACCACCACCACCACTACTGTCACCACCATCACCACCATACCACCGCAACCATCGTCGTCGCCACCACCATCATCACTACCACCACAACCACCGTCATCGCCACCACCACCACCATCGCACCACCATCGCCGCCGCCGCCGCCACCACCACCACCATACCACTGCCGCCGCCACCACTACCATACCATCGCCACCACCACCACCATCACACCACCGCCACCACCACCATACCACCGCCACCACTACCACCACCGTCGCCGCCACCACCACCACCGTACCACCGCAACCACCACCACCGTACCACCGCAACCACCGTCACTGCCACCACCACCACCATACCACCGCAACCACCGTCGTTGCCACCACCACTACCATATCACCGGCGCCACCACCACCGCCACCACCACCACACCACCATCACCGCCACCACTACCACCACCACCACTACCACCACCGCCGCCGCCACCACCACCATACCACCGCAACCACCATTGCCGCCACCACCACCATCATACCACCGTCGCCGCCACCACTACCATACCACCGCCACCACCACCACCATCACACCACCGACGTCGCCACCACCACCACCATACCACCGCAACCACCGTCGCCGCCGCCGCCACCGCAACCACCGCCACCACACCATCACCACCACCACCACTGCTACCACTGTCATACCACCACCAGTTATTATTATTATTATTATTATTATTATTATTATATAACAAATAACACCACTACCACTACACCACCACCATAATATTTTTGATATATTATTAGTTATTTTTTATTATATTTAAAATTATTATTATATTATTATACATGTTGTAATATTCTAAATAAAATAATTAAAATGTTTAATTGTACAATTCTACTCATTTTTCAGAAAATGAACCAAACACACAAAAACAGTTTTCCAGAATGCAACCAAACACCGGAAAGGAAAATATTTTCTGAAAAATGACTCATTTTCCAGAAAACATTTTCCAGAAATCATTTTCCTGCTTTCCAATCAGACCCTAAGAAAATAATATGCATCTTTAGGTGGGATATATCTTGTTTGATAGGACACATGCATAATATTAGTCTATAAATAATTACTTGAATTAAAATTGACATATTCTTCGTACTTGGGTGAAGAGTATAGTCGAGATCAGTAATGATGGTAGGAATATTATTTGCTTCTTCATGGAGAATCTATAGATTGTAGGCACGTTCCCATAAAAAGCTAAAGTGCGGTTACCTTTTCTTGTATTACAGAAACATAAATGGATTTCTTGCATGTTTGAGTTTTGGCCATCAACCAAAAGGTGAAGGGAAAAATGGAAAATGGTGTAGTACACTAGTACTATAGTATAATCAATTATAGAAGCCAGAGGGGGTGAGTGCAGAAGTATGCACCATAACTTACATGGTGCCAAATCCTGCTGTTGGTTTTACGGTTGAGGTAGTCGGACGCCGGGTCAACATAACCATAAAACAAGTACAAAGGAGATTAAAACGGCAAATGAGCATTATTATTACAAAAATATCACCACATTTTAAAAAAATTAATAATGAGAACCATCAAGTTTTTACAGATGTAAGATTGAGAGTTTGTTCTTAGTTTTCTCCTGGGTGTGTTCTCATCGGATCTGATGGGGATTATTCCCCTTCGACTTATCAATCGTATCATGGTCGAATCCGAACCCACCCCCGAGTGGAGCCCAACTCGATCACCGCCGACCCCCAACCCCAAGAAGGCAACTCGCCGACATTGTCCCGCGTCAAGCATGGGGTCAGGAAAGGCGGGTCAAAGAATGGTATTATCAGTTCATGCCCGACCCCCGGAGGTCGGGACTTCCTACCGACCTAGTTCTTATGACTGGACGTGGGGGACCGCGCCTAAGGGAACCAGGAATCTAACACCATGTGGTTAAGCCCCCCCCCCCCCCCCCCCCATGTGGTTAAGCCCGCTTTGGCCCCGGTCCGCACCCCTGCATGAACTCCACGTACCAGTCATGTCGAGAGCCCCGTATCCGTCTCATGTCTCTCCTATAAATACGGCATTAAATACTAGGAAGGGGGACTTTTAGAGCATATCTAGACACTAGCTATTAGCTCGAGACTTACTGTCAAGTATTCCAAACTCCAACCCTTAAACTAAAAAGCAGACTAAGCAAAAAACCCGAATCCGATCCTAACACCATATTTGTAGTCGTAACTGATCGTATATACTACATCAGGATCAAAATCCTATATATATTAGAGCAGTGTTTTACTCAGGAATAGGATATTTGTAGCTAGCATTGGAATATGAGCTGAAATGGTTGAATAGTGGTGGGAGTGTGTATTTTAATCCTTTAATAACTTCGTCTCTGTAATATTAATACTCCGTACTGGTGCAGGGGTAGGTTGATTCTGAACAGGATTCCTGAGCTGTTTGGTTTAGTTTTGTGCGCCCAAGAGATTGGATGGATTCTGTTAGCACATGAAGAGCAAAAGACAAAACAATACGTTAGGGTTTGTTTGGTGGTGATCCCCTAGGAACACCTACTCTGCATCCCGCATAACTTTGGTGTGTAACTTGTTCTGCAATCGAGTTATTGTATAATAACTCGTAAATCATACTAAAAAAAAAAAATGATTGAAAATTATAAGAGTTGGAGGTTTTTTTTTTTTTTGGTATGTCCAATATTTTCACCGTCGAATACATTGACTAATTTATTTACTGAAAATTTAAAAGTGTAAGCACCTTTTTTGGGTGAGACAACCGACCTTAAAGATTTAAAGATACTTTATACATTTTACAATTTATTTTTCCATTAAAATTTGAAAATGAGAGTGGAAGATACCCTCGAGGGTAACGAATGCAAGTCTTTATTAGTAGTGAGGTGTAGGGGTAGTATTATGTATGGTAGGTAGAGGTAGTAGCTGGCCTGGGATAGTCTGGCTGGGTGTGACTACACCAATTCAAAGTAGCTAGGAAGGAAGGACCACACTAATTGCTAGCTGGCTGCGCTGCTGCATCTTCGTCTGGTGTTTAAATAACTGCTCACTCCTCAAGTTTCAGCTAATTATACGGTGGTTGTTTGAGGAATGCTTGCCAGATCCGACAATTTTATTTTTTTTTTAAACAATCCAACATTTCTTAACCACTCATCATGTATTACTTTTAATCTACTACTGCTCGCATAGACAGTTCAGTTGATCACAGAAGTAAAATTTGAGAAGGACCAAAATAGAGTCTCACCAACGTCAGTGTGAAAGAAACCCCTCAAAGTGAGGGGGCTCCTTGTGCGCTTTAAACAAAGGTCTAGCCTCTGTGACCGGTTGAGTTGCGTGAAAACAACCCCTCAAAAGTGAGGGGTTCCTTGTGCGCAGTA